ACTGACTGATGAACAATGGGTGGAAATCGTGGAAAACTATTTCAACGCAAAATGTTAATTGTGGTTCAATATTCAATTTGACCACCCAAAGGAACCAACGCTCAACAAATTAGTTATCTATAGGCGAATAAAAACTGGAAAGCAACTGGAACTGTCCAAAATCATAACAAAAGCTACAGTGGTAGACTCAAAATTGCCAGGTCACAGCAAGACATCAATAATTAAACATCAATAATTAACAATTCATGTCATTTGATGCCATTTAACTTCAGCAAGAATCAAAATTGAATGACCCTACTCTGTTCTGCTGCCTTCAAAATATTTAGACATTACTTTAAAACATGTGGGAATATAATTAATGGGAGAAAATATTACTGAGAAATAGCTTGTTACTTTTTTGGACCACTCTGTATTTCTACATTGATTTCATGATTATGTAAATATATACATATAAATCAATCATTAAGAATGAACATATATAAATATAAATGGCCTTCCAAATATTAGATGCATCACACACATGTACGTCAGTGTCTTAAACGTTCACCTGTCACCAGAATCTTAAAAGGATTAACAGGTGTAAATATATATAGAATAAAGATAAATGTGTGGTTTAAGTTCATTTAATGTAACCCATTGTTTGGATGGAGAAAATCTTTCAGAAATAAATTCTCCAAGCAATTTTGTTTCAATGTGTTCATTAACTTCCAGTTCGTGATTAAAATGGTTCTGCAAATTTTCTTTCATCAAGTTTAATTGGAGATTTTTTCTAATAATATCTTTATGGGAAAATTCAAAAATGACTACTATCCTTATGTCCCATTACCCCAGAAAGTAAGTGTGTACCATATTCAATATACATTGTATTGTATTTTGTTGATAAGATCTATCATTTATAGACTTTAAATCATGTAATGTCTAATTGGGTTAAACCTTCCAACACTTGATGTTTTAGAGGATGAACATGACATTAATATGACAAAATGTCACTGCTGAAATAGTTACAAAGTGTAACAATTTGTCACAGATACCAACCCCAGATGATGAGTACCAATGCTGAACTATGTGCATGTTAATGAAAAATGAAAGCTCTAATTATTTGGTGGTGACATAAAAATAACTGGAAAGTTCCTATGACTATGATTATACTATAATGTCAAAACACCCTGATATTGAGTCGGGCGACTCTGGTCCCATTAAAATGTGGTTGGGAACCTTCTAATACATGTATTTTAAATTCTAATTTGTTAAAATCCATCTTTCATTGTACAATTCAGACAGCCTTAAGGCTCTAGGTCAAAACTTCATATTTTTTGTATAAAATGCCTCAAGTCAAATAACTATATAACTGCACTTGAATGTAATCTAATTTACATGTGTGTTAATTAATGTATTTTTGATTAAAGAGAATGCTGCGACAAGTGTGTGTACAATATAGTTAACTTTTATTCACCATTTAATTTTCTCACAATAGACAATATTTGATTAAATCTTTAATTAATTTAGAGTGGAATTTAACCAAAAAATTAGTTTCTAAAAGTCGAATTTTAAGGTAATATATATGTGAAGTTAATGATATGGAATTTTTTGGATAAACATTTATTGATTAAATTACTTACACTTTTGAAAAAAATCTGATTAGACTTTCCGTTGTGGTAGATGGTAAAATTGTGATAGGTTTTAAAGTAAATAAATAATGTTTGAAGGGAGGTTAATGATCCATCTTTTCATTCTATATGTTACAAATTTTAAAAATTTGAACAAAAATACTGGAAAATTGAAACAATATCAGCTAGCCCCATAGGGTACACAAATATAAAATATGAAAAAAGCAGACAATCAGCACAGCAACAGAGTTATCACCTGGAGAGCTGGAAGTTTTCTTTTCATAAATCTTGTGCAATCTTGTGTCAAGCCTCTGAATCCCCCCTCCCATCCTGGGTTTTAACCTGCCATAGACTTGCATGTTAAAAAAAACTTAAAATGTGAACACCTGCCCATCTGAACTTTTGGCTGTTCCGAACGGACATTAGACAGGAAATACTGTTAGTTGAAGGAGAAAATGTTACTGGACTTGTCATGCAAAAAGGTTGGAAATGACATTATGTCTACTACCAACCATGTTATTTCAACACAGAAACATAGCATTATTATCTCAAGAAGGAATATGCTTTGAGATTGAGCAGATAATGTCACATATAAACAACATGTGCAAATATGCCAACTTATTTATATTCAAACAAAAATATAAAACAATAGAACAGAACGAAAGAAAATGCATGAAGTGATAAATATAACGGGACAAAAAAAGACACAACCTGATAAATAATTGCATCTGGTTGTAACAAAAGTGTAACAAATTATTACAAACATTGATGAAGACCACTGGTCACTGCTAAAACAACATCTCACTATTATTTGGTGGTGACAGAAAAACAAAAACAAAAAATAACACATATTAATAGCAACAATAGCATAACAGAAAATCTTATAAACTATAAAAACGTAAAACCGAAATAACTTACCATCTTCTTGGCTCTGTGTAAGTCCAACTAGAAGTCCAAGGGTCAGGAATGTACATAATCTCACAAAATTCATCTTTCCAGCATTACCAGCTATCATATGTAAATATCCAGCATCCATTCATACATTTATTTCTTGTAAAATACTCAAAAAGATTACTCGCAATATGTGTTTTCTGAATATACGAAACTAAGGTTTTTTAAGTCAGGATTTTATTTTGTAGATTTAGGAATTTCAATCTTCAATCCTTTTCCAAAAAATTTCATTTTCTTAATCTTATCATGTGACGTTAATCCAAGGTTCAAGGTGCGGCTGTTATACTCCAATTATCAAAGAATTTTTCATGTTATATTTTTGTTTAATTTGTGTGGGGAAGAAATCAACCTGTAAGTAGGAATGACATCTGTGCAGTGCTAAGTATGTCCAGCTGCCTCTTTGATAACACTTAATACATAATGTAAAGATCTCGCTCTTGTTTTGCACTTAACTTTGATGCGTTATAAGACTGATCTGGAACTTGTTACATCATTGAACCCGCCATGTCCTCATTAGTCCATTGATTCAAAAAATCTCACCTTTCAGTTTTTTCCTGCAATTTGATCTACTTTTGTAAGTTAACAGTCCACAGTTCCAAAATGTGCGTTGTGTTCTATTATATTGAAATCTATTTTGAGAATTAAATTCCTGAAATGTTGATCAGTTGATTCAAAATTCAAAATAGGTGTTATTCATTTGATTTTTTTGTAATTATGTTAATAAACGATGCTTCTAACACAGTTAATTAGATTTAAATTGGGCTACAATAGAATTCATATTCATCATAATCACGGAAATTGAGCCTCTGGCTATAGTGTGTTGGATACTGTTATGTTATTTTCATTCCATCGATGATGAATTATGAAGCCGTGTTTAAAACTAACTCACAAAATTGTCATTTCCTAAAGTTTTGATTTGATTTGATATTGTCAATTTTCATATATATTTTCCAAATATGCATTTAAGTAAGAATTTAAGACCTGACACCCTCATGTCATAAGATCCTCCAATTTTGAACTCTCAGTCACAACACTTTTAACCTGTACCAGCATCATTAACATTTGTCAGACTCATTTTCAAAGAACTTTTCCAAGTTTAGTCAGATTTTGTTGATGTAATCAATGATATATTTTATTGAGAAATTGCTTCTTTAATTCAGATGAAAGTTTAGGCTTTACAAAATGGGAGGGTCAGTGTCACTTGGGGTATACAGAGTGTTCATTAAATCTATAATAATCTCAATGACAATACAAAGTCTGTGTTAAGTGTATAGCCTTTATGAACACACTGCCCCCCCCCCCCTCCCAAAAAAATAATTAAATAAAAGATAAAAAAATGCTTACTTATTATTGATTCTCTGCTTATTATCACTTATTGCACTAAAGGACAGTTCAGAATCACTGCTGGGACTCTGGTAATTCAGAATTGTGGTGTAAAGTATTATAATTCAAAACAAAACAAAAGTTATTGTTTTACATTGTAAATTGTTGTACATTGAATCTGTTTAATTTATTGCAAACATGAGAAGTTGATCATTTTGCTATTTATACTTTGGAAATGAACTGGTTTCAAATGTAATGTATAATATTACATACTACATGTATAATCCAATAATTCAAATATCTTTGTCTCGGGGCATTGAAGTGAATGTCCGGTGAAGTTTTACTCCAGAGCACTCCAATCTATTTTATTGTCCAAAAAAAGTACTGAAGTTACGTCACATCAGAAGTTAGCATTTACTAGGGGTGGGACGGATAACCGAAATACCGAAAAACCGTGGTTCATAGCCTTCGGATCGGTTTTCGGATCACGGCCCTACTTTCGGATCAGCTTTTCGGATCGTTTTCGGATTAATATTTCATTGGGCAAGTATCAATAAAACAGTTAAAAACACTGTTTTACAGCAACATTTTTGATATTCCTAGTCCCTACCTTGTCTGTCTTGTCGCTAGCTCACTCGTTTACTAGATTCGTTTCGTATCCGCGTATTCGTATCCCTCGGTAATCAATCATGTGGTTCCTGGTAAATAATAAAGGTTTCTACAAGCATAAATTAGTTATTTTATTGGTTGTATTAAAAGAAAGTGACAGTCAGCGCAGTGAAGTCAGAGACAAAGCAGCTAATCATGTCAATCAATACAAATCCTTAAAATGAATGAACCGAACCGAAAAAAACCGAACCGACGGCTGATGATCCGAAAAACCGAACCGAACCGAACCGAAACGAACCGTCCCATCCCTAGCATTTACCATACTGATTTAAATCCACACCTGTCTTTAACACATGTGAGAATGATCTAAGAAAGTGTCTCACTCTGTAATAAGATTTAAATCTCATTATAAATATATAAGGCCAGATCGTTCCTTATCTACCTCACTCTTGATCACATGATCACCTTTAACCAATCAAAATCAAGTAATCCCAAACATAAATGAGATTTCTACTTAGATGCGACATACTTCACTTCATCAAAAGCTTTCCTAGCTTTTCTCAATTCTTCACTCATTGTCAAAAGTTCACGAACTCGAGAATACTTTTTATTGTCCTTCCTTATTAGGAAAATCAGATCCTCAACGGCTATTCTTCCCTGACGCCCAACATCTAAAGCTTTTTTAGTCTGAAATATAAGTTGGAAAAGATTTTGTTGTACCAAATTATTAGCTGCTTCCTCATCAGGCCTTCCCACCTGGGTGCAAAAATTCTCAGTTTTCTGAACAGGAAATATTAAAAACTAATCCAATGGTCATTATCAAAGAGGTGAGACGCTCCCCTTTGTCATTAATAGATCAGTATAGTTGATGACGCTCTTCGGAAATGAAATACTTGTATACAATGTTCTCTCTCAAGATTTTCTCTAAATTATGTACCTTTTCTCAGTTCAGACCAAACTTAATTCGGTTGAAATTTTCTCTGATTTTGAAGTTTGTACAATGGGTTCTCACATGGATGCTTGCATATTTTCAAAAAATGAAACTGATGGTGCACCACCAATCTTTTTTCAATGATGGGGAAATCGCTTGTATGTTTTTTGTATGTAATATGCAAAAACTAAATACATGTAAAAAATTTAATAAACTTATCTTAATAGCATGATACACAATGAATCTCCAACAATGAGCATACATCAACAATACATGTATTCATAAATTAAGAGAAATGAAAATTACTCATTATCAAGCATTAGTCATCATTAAGAGAATTCTAAGTAAATATCTAAAATTACTATCAAAACAATATATAATAAAAAACTTTAAAAAAATATAATTAAACCAATAAAATAAAGTTCAGCCAGAGCTATACCTTTTTAAGATTTTTGGGGCTATGAGGTTTCAACAAGATTGACAAAGGGGCATAAACTTATTTAAGCAGAAGTTTCATTAGCAGCAGGCAAAAGGCAATTTCCCGGTTGTTTTTACAAGATCACCTGTTGTTTTTAAGGACTTTTCAACTTTTCCATGTTAAATTAATGATTTCCGTTGATTTTGCCTGTTGTTCTCAATTATTTAGCCTGTTGTGAGAATTCTAGTGAAACCCCTGTTAAGCACGCTTAAACAAATTATCAAAATACATTTACTCACAGTTTCTGTAATGTAGTTCACGACCAAATCTTCAAGCAAATCCACAGATTCTGTGTAAGGGTTTCTGTCATCACCAAACCCATACATCATGCAGCGCACTGGAGAATAAAATTAAATCTGTATTCATTCTCAAACATAACAATTTACATACAATACTATAGGCATATTTGGTGTTGATTTTGAACAATTGTCAAGTTTTAATGGTCACTGAATCAATTTGAATTTTATAGTTTTATATATATTTGTTGTTTACAGAAAAAAGGCTCGCTTAAAGTCTATCTATTGTACAAGCTATAGGTTGTTACAAATTATTTTGAATTTTTAGTTTTTATGTAGTTACAGGTTGACCCAATGCATGTTCTTCAAAAGCTGTGTTAATTTTAACTTACATTCCTTTGAGAAGATCTTCTTCCTTTGTTGCAGTGGGGCATCATCATCCTCGTCTTCAAACTGAAAGAAAATGAGACAAGACACTACACAAAATGTCACCACCTGTCATTTATTACATATACCAAACACCAACCACTGAACACCATCCACAAAAATGTGGTGGACCAAACAATATGTCACCATTTGTGGTGGTGACATAATTATAGATGCTCCTTGTCTTTAGATGAGTGCAGCAGATATCACATTTGTGAAACTTGTATCAGAATGGTGATATCAGATTCTGCATAAAGAAAACACTGATATATCTCGACACATTATACATTATCACTTTGCTCTCGCTTTAGTTGAAATCCACTTCCTTCAAAATGTAGCAGTGGTTGTGTTTTGAAGACTAGGTTAAAATACTGATACATCTTTTACAACACAAATAAACTTTTCATTGGACTCCTTTTAAAACTGGGATTATCTTACCCTAAACTCAAATTATGGCAAACTATCATTTATGAATATGCAACAAGACATAGGGATGACATCTATATTTCGATGCATTATTTTTATCATATATTTTCAAAGATTCAAACATAAACTGTATGAAATATAATTTATGAATAACCTCTTATTAGACATCTATCTGAAGGAAATAGAATTAACATTAATTAACATGCATTCATCTTCAAGCAAGACCAATTAAAGTGAATGTCATTCTGTTCAAACCAAACCAAACCAGACATAGAGAACACTTGTCCTCATAATTCATAACTTACATAGAATTTGATTATAAAGAAATAATTCTCTTTCTAAAATATATATGTTTTTGATACCAGCAGATGTTTTGGGGTCTAAGAGGTAATAAGGGAATGAGATTTGAAGCAAGGTAAGAGTCTGAGCGATAGCCAATCTCAATACTACTATTTAGATATATCTGTGGTGATGCTATGAACTTATTGTAGTAGTCTCGGTATATTTGGCATAGTATACACCCTATGCAGAGCCTGTGGGAAATATTGGGTGGGGAGCAAATGAGCGGAGGGTGCGGAGCTAACGGTCATTTTTTAATTTAAATTTGGATATTTCTGAAACTAAGCCGTTTTGGGACTTCAAATATACCAAGATATGTGTATTTGACACCAAATATCAATAAAATTGTGAAAATAGTAGTGCAATTCATTTTATAGCGACGCAGTATGCCTTAAACATTTCCCAGACCTATGTATTTTGAGACTATCCTTTTAATACTGCGTCCCCAGCATTCATAAAAAATGAATTATTATTATTATTCATATCATTCTTAGAAAAAGAAAAAAAATGAAAAAACTGAATTTAAAATCGATCTATTTTCCTTTTAACTACAGCCATTATTGTTTCAAATTTCAAAGATTGTATCATTTAGAGCAATATATTAGACACATTTTCTGAAAAAATCGAAAGATTCTGTTTATTGACCTTTCCTGAGCACCTACTTTTAGCTATTTTTCAGTCACATTTTCAGAGGGCTGAAAAGGTTATTTCATCATGTTTATGGTCATTCTGACCATTTTCATTGTGTTCCCGGTCATGTAAATGATATGTGGAACTAGTTAAACTGACTGGAGGTCCAAACAGAACTCTGTTATTTTGGTTCAAAAAATTTTCAAAATCCAGCATGGTTTTGACATTTTTTGTTTTGTCATTTCCTGTTAACTTCCATAGCACCTTAATATTCGTAGAACGCTAGCTGGAGTCGGGAGACAGTGTAATCGACGAAAAATGTAATTGGAACTTGTTATTTCTATGTCGTCTTACCAGGAAGTCTTGCCAAGGTGCATGTGTGTAACAGGAAGCAGAAATCTCATGGCTTGGGGGCGCATGCGAATTACCAAACTTCCTGAGAAGCCATCTTGGTAATTATCGACTCTTCAACATTTTTCGTCAGTTACGCTGTCTCCCGACTCTGGTTAGCCCGATATGGTTAGAAAAACTTTATTTTAGAATGTTATATGCATCGATTAAAGTAGGGTAAATGTTTCCAAGATTTCTTACATATTTCAAAAAGAACTCTATAAAGGCCTGGGAATATCGAGTTTTGCATAGCCATCTATCTAAAAGATGTGCAAATATTACCTTCTTCTAAGGCCACTGTATCGTGGCCTTCCAGTACAGATATATTCCCGCATGAACAACTGGTCATGTCGTAATCATAAAATTTGAAATCATATGTCCGCCATTTTTCCACATCACAATTTGAATTGCGAGTTTTGGTCTTATTACCTCACCAAAAATTCCAAAACACACATAAAGTGATCAGTGTATTAGTTCACATCTTCTGGATTGCTAACTTAGAATTTAGAGCCAGTTACTAATGTCAGACGTTAACGACATTTCGTCCAGTTTTCGAACATCGCCATTTTTCTTGGAGCCATTTTGTTTTAATTTTAAACGAAATCCTGATGAAATCATGTCATATCTCATCAAGGAGCCGAGCTGGGTCCGGTTTGATTAATGATTTATTTTTCTGGCGATTTTTAAAATATTCAATAAATTTATGACACCCCGGCCAGCTTTTTTCAAATAGAGTTCACAGTATTCCAGATGAAAACCCCTCTAGCCAAGTATTGGCTAGAGACTCGAGTAATGCAAATATAGTAAGATAGGCTAGGCTAATGGTCTCAAACAAGAAAATGCAGCAAACTCCTCCAGTCGAAGGTCTCCAAGTCAAAAAAATGCCTGACCCTCTCATATCTGTTGATTATCCCTGTTTATAACTGATTCAAGAGCGTGGCACTGAACGAACCTATATGCCTATTTGTTATTTGTTTAGTTGTTGGTTGGGTAACATGTTAATGACATCACAAATGATGCGAAGAATCTTTAAACCAATCAGTGAAGTCTATATTAATTGTTTGTTTAGTTGTTGATGTGGCAATACGTGTCTGACGTCACAGGTGATTGCATCATATTCCAGTCACGCCATTTTACGACATTGCATAATTTTAGCTGATTTTGGCTTCATTTCACTTTATTTAAAAGACTTTTAAAAATATATCAATGAGTCAGTATTTTTTCTTATAAATATTAATATTTGAATTTGAGGTCAAAGTCCGAACATTTGATCAACTGATTGAAATCACATTTTAAAGAGGTGAAGAAGTGAATAATTACAGGAGCAAACGTGATCAATGGTTCGAGGTCTCCCGCAAAGTAGTCGCTACGCTCCTACTTCGCGCTGCCTTCGGCAGAGGAGACCTCAAAAAATCCAAAGAAATATATATTTTCAAGACTCATCTGGACAATTTCTACCCTTAGCTTAATGAAAGATAGTGATTGAACTATATCTAGAACTTATATACTTAACCATACGGTACCTTAACACATTACATTGACTATAATAAGCGTAGATAGCATTAGCAAAGTACCTGATCTTTGGGAGGCTCTTCTTCACCTTCCGCCATTTTTTCAAAACAACGTCTCACTCCACAGTTTATGTTAAATTCGAGATTTTGTTTAATGAACTTTAAATGTAATTCCCCATTCGATTGGAAGAATTTGTATCCGAATATGATACTTCTAAATATGATGGTATATTTATGCATATTTGAATATAAGTAATAGAAATTGTACTCTTTCATAACTAGGTCAAACTGTGGTACCTAACCATTTTAAAGCTTCCATTACTTCCGGTTCGAGAAAACACGTGCATTTCTCTAGTGATTCTATTATTTTTCTTCAAAATGGCAGACGATCAAGCTACGTTGATGCCGTATGTGTATCAATTTCTGAAGGACAAATGTAATAAGGCAGCTGTGGTCCTGAAAAAACAATTCCAAACGGTAAGTACAGTTGGGGACAAAAATAAATGACAGGTCGATTTTCGATCACCATTTCCTAATTATGGTGGTCTGAAAGCCCATAATTTCCAATATTGTCTAGATACATATCCCTTAAAATTTGTATATTTTACATTTTGTATAATCTCATCCACTGATTTATGGCCTCTTGTAAATTCTCTTATTTTGAACATGGGAAATCCTCACTTCAGCAAATCCACCTGTCATTTATTTATGCCCCCAACTGTATAGTGGAGGTATTCAAGATTTGTAGAAAAATTAAAAGTATGATAATGCTCACACCAGCATGCCAGGTGAGATTGCGCAGATTGTGAATTTTCTTGTTTTCAAATGATTGCAATGCTACACTATTTAGGGCCAGGCAACCTCAAAGGTTGGGATTTATTAACGACTATGATACAAACATTGATATTTCCTGAAATATTGAAATCGGCAAAGGCTTCTACATCCGTTCATCATCATCATCCGTTTAGACTTGTAATGTAACCTCGTGTTACCTTTTCAAAGGCTGACTGATCTGATTGACCAGCCTATGCACACCACCTATCACTCAGATTTTTGATGGCTAGAAGCGAAAAACTAATACCAGATGCTTGCTTTATATCTTCAAATGGTTCCTATATCACCATCCTCTGTTTATATATAATATGAAAGTCTAAATAATATGAAAATAGTATGTAAGTTATCAGCTACTTTGGTGCCGATCTGGCCGGACCTATCCTTATCCTCGAGTGGATATTCTCCACTGAGAAACCAAAAGAAATTCACGAAGTTCGGAGATTCCTGAATGAGATTTAACGAATGACTGAATCTCCAGATCTCCAGATAAAAAATAAATCAATTTAATTATGATTTTTACAACCTACACCTTTTATAATTATCTAAGATAACTAGATTTATGGTACATCTGAGTAAAAAGTTGCCTACAACAGATACTTTACAAGTACCGTTGCATGTACATTTCATACTGTCTATTTTCGTTTGCCATCTAGATTTACACGAAAGTGAAAATAGCCTGCAAAACAAATCATGAGAAGGAGATAAAAGATCGATAGTTTTTAAGTTAACTTCAGTGCGCGAAATAGACGTCCGACATCGGCCATTGGCCTGACAAAATTATAGATGGCTTGTTTTGATAAAAACACCCAGACATTTTGGCCTGCCAGACATTTGTGGCATTCGTTAGATTGCCCATGAATAGAACCCACATTTCAGTCCGGAAATCCTCCGAATTCCCAGCGATTTCGGCTTATTCCATGACTTTTGTTGAAGATTTAAAAAAATTTCAAATATTTTTGTTTTCATACTGAAGCCCAAGATATAACGTGACTTTTGATTGGCTGTTGTTGTTTGTTGAAATTACGGTGATTTTGATTGGCTATGGATGACTCATTTCTTCATCGTCGTTCGCAAATCGAGTGCATTATCAGTATGCCGGATGTAGAAAAGAAATTGAAAAATCGAGCCGGCATCTAAGTCCAAAAAGTCGGCAGTTTGGAAGTATTTTGGGACTCCGATATCACAAGGTAAACGAATTGGTGATAGTTCACCATGCAGACTATGTGAAATGCCGATCACATTCACGGCAGATGCTTTATATTCGATTTTAATTGACGTATTTCTGAATATGATTTTGAAAAGTGAAACTGTCAGTGAAACTGTCATCATCAGACATTGTATCATTTTTAATGTTCTGTCCCGTCCTGTCTCGAAAGTATCGTGTCCCGAGACCATTTGTACCGTTCCGTTCAAGTAGTGAATGATACATGACATGCAATGGAATTAGTTTTACTTTGTTAATATTGTACTAAACTAAATCTCATTTTAGAGTGGTTGTGGAGAAATATGGAAAATGAAATTTTTGGCCAGAAAAGTAAGAAATAGGCTGCAAAAAATTGGCCTGAGAAAAAATGATATGGCTGGTTAAAATCTGGCTGGCCTGCCAAAATGTCTAGGTTAAAAAAATCCTTATTTCACGCACTGAACTTTGGAGTTTTACTTCCAGTTGATCAAAACAAATGTAAAATGATGTGCGAATTATGCCAGGACACTGTCATATAAACTTATCAAGTATGTTTGTTTCTTTTCTGTTTCTTTTCGTTTATGGTCTGAAAGGGCTTCAGAAAGTTTAAATTCCGTAAAACAAAGTTCCGATTTCGGAAACCTATAGCTGTATATTGTTGCATTGAGATGATACTTTGACTGACTAAAAAATAATGAATCTGACAAAATATGACAAGTAAATTTCAAATGTGACAAATGAAAACTTTGGAATTTTAAAGGTGACGAAAGGGACCTCATTGCTCCCTCTTGGGGAGGCCTCTGTTCTATCAGATCAGTTTTTTGATACTGTACAGGCCTGTATCCAGAATTTGCCGAAGGGGGTCAGTTTTTAAAGATTTCCAGGGGGGTTCACATTTGACATTTTTGGCCCAAATATGGCTAAATTCACTTGGGAAGTGCTCAAAATGGTGAAAAAAAAATTTGGCGAGGGGGGGTCGCCCAAACCCTGCGAACCCCCCTGGCTACGGGCCTGCTGTAAGACCTAATTCTCCTCCCTTCACAATTGAAAGATAAATTCCTCCAAAAATCCTTTGACTTAGCCTATGTAATAATCAGAATAAGGTTGTCCTAAATCCAGTGATACCTTTTTATGTCTTGAAAAATAGCTGCCATTAAATTTATATTCCAACTCTCAAATTCAGCTACTTCTTAGAGTAATGAATATTGTATGAAATCAAAACTTAAATCTAGATTAAAAGAAAATCAACTTGGAACCCACCTCTATTCAATTATTAAGCATTTCACATACATATGTTGGTAAGATTTTTCACTTCCCTAGGGGTTTCACTAGAATTTCTCACAGCAAGCTAAATGAATGAAAACAACAGGCAAAATTAATGGAAATCATATTCAACATGTAAAAATTTAAAATACTCTAAAAATAACAGATGAATTTGTAAAAACAACCAGTGAAAATCGCCTGTTGCTAATGAAACCCCTGCTTTCCAGTTAAAGCTAAATAGATAATATCTTTTACATCAGCCCTTAGTACAGGACTTCATGCTGTCTGTTTTCATAAACTAATAGTCTATTATACATGTTTGGTAAATATCATGTTGTCTTATTGCAGATTGATCCTCCCTCACCAGAATCTCCAAAGCTTACAGACTTAGTGGGGCATTTAAGGTAAGGATTAAGTAAGAAATAGTATAAAGCACTATCTTGTCTACTTCACTTTCAGGGTGAAGTTTGTATCGCTGAAGGGATCAGTGAGGGGATCACTAGGGCTGGAACAAGACTATAAACATGCTCTTTGTCTGACAGCACACTGCATTGTTTACCTAGTCTCATAGTTTACAGACTACATGGTTCATTAATAGAAAAGCATATCCTACTTATATTACCCTCAATTGTGTCAGTCTCTTAAACATGCAGAATATAAATATATGCACATAACAAAAAAGGTGTTCTTAGTATTCTCCACAGAAGTTTGGCCTCAAGTGGATGTTAACTTTTTAAACCTCAAATGAGTGCATTGCTAACTTGATTCAGTGCTTGGAAACGTAATGTTGCCAAAATGTTCACATAGAACCCAATAAATGTAACTTTAGATGCACATTTTGATATACTGTAGTTCAATAAAGTTAAGATAAATGCAAACATTTATCTCTCTGATGTATGAAATGAAGAAGTGTAAGCTCTATTGTAAGAAATATGCAATGTTTTGTTATAGACCCAAACGCAAGACTGAAGATCTAAATAACTCTGCAGCAAAGAAGAGAAAAAAGGAGGCAGCGGTTGAGGTAATCCTTGTAACTATTTTGGATCTATAAATCAGTTCTACCTTATAACAGTAAATTTTATGGAATTATATTATTTTTCATTCATATTTATGGATTCTGTTTTATTTAGAAAGAGGGCAGGACTGCAGTGTTTGCTTTTTTACATCACAACCAAGTAGGGGCATATTGTTAAAGCCACTGTATTTCTGTGATTAGCCTTTGCATCAGCTTTCCATATTTGTTACAAATGGTTACTCTCGTAATATCAACCAGATGGTACCATTTCATGTTCATGCTTTGTTAAATCAGTTTGTGATGTATCTAGATTTTTTATTATTAAACCTTTTTATATATGAAAGTGTGTTTTCTCTTGTATTCACACAGAATTACTTTCTTTTTACTCCAGGAATCCAGCAGCAGTGACAGTGACTCAGACAGTTCAGATTCTGACGAACCTGCTAAAAAGAAACAAGCCCTTACCCCCAAGAAACAGACGCTGTCAGCTAGAGAAAAACAAGCACGTAAAAAAGTGGAAGCGAAGAAGGCATCGTCGTCGTCATCGGATTCAGACTCTGATTCAGAAGATGACGCCCCTAAACCTAAAACAACCCCCAAACCCAGTGCTCCTACCCCCAAGAAAACTACCCCTGCCCCTAAAAAAGCCACTAAAGATTCCTCATCTTCAGATAGTAGTTCATCTGATGACTCAGATGAACCTTCCAAACCAGTTATTGCTAAGGCTGCTCCAAAGGCCACTAAAGCAAAGGCCACGGCTGTTAAGAAAGCACCAGTGAAAAAAGCAGATTCCTCATCCTCAGATGACAGTAGTAGCTCTGAATCTGAAAATGAAACCAAGAAGCCTGTAGTAGCTTCTAAGAAACCAGTTGCCACTAAAAAGGCAGAGTCTTCAAGTTCCTCAGAAAGTAGTTCAGAATCAGAGGCCGAGGCAAAGAAACCAGTGCCCAAGGTTGCTCCAAAAGTAGCAAAGAAAGATTCCTCCTCATCGGAAAGTAGTTCCAGTGAATCTGAAGATGACAAGAAAACCCCTGCTGCAAAGCCGACACCAAAAGCTAAAGTGGCCCCTAAGGCTGCTCCCACAAAAGATTCATCTTCATCATCATCAGATAGCTCAGAATCTGATGAAGAGCCTAAGAAAACTGCAGCAAAACCTAAACCTACCCCTGTTAAGAAACCAGAGTCCTCATCAGACAGCTCAGAATCTGATTCAGATGACGAGCCAAAGAAGCCTGCAATTAAGACCCCAACTACAAAGGTGAATCCAGCAAAGAAACAAGAATCCTCTTCAGATTCTGATTCATCAGAGGAAGAAGTGAAGAAACCCACTCAAAAAGCTACACCTGCTAAAAAGGCAGAATCTTCTTCAGAATCATCAGAAGATAGCTCAGACTCTGATGAAGAACCTCCAAAAACAATTACTCCCAAAGTTACACCTAAAGCTACAAAAAAGGCTGCCCCTAAAAAGAAGGCAACAGCTGCCACTCCTAAGGTAACTCCTAAAGCAGCGCCCAAGAAGAAAGCAGAATCATCCTCTTCTTCTGACAGCAGTTCAGACTCTGAGGATGATAAAAAAGTCTCTAAAGTTGCAGCAAAAGTGACACCCAAAGTGACACCAAAAGCTGCAGCCAAGAAAGAATCAAGCTCAGAAGATAGTAGTTCAGAATCTGAGGATGAAACCCCCAAAAGTAAACCTACTACTCCCGCCCCTAAATCAACCCCTAAAGTAACAAAAAAGAAGGAATCAAGCTCAGAAGACAGTAGTTCAGAATCTGAGGATGAAACCCCCAAAAGTAAACCTACTACTCCCGCCCCTAAATCAACCCCTAAAGTAACTAATAAAAAGAAAGAATCCAGCTCAGAAGACAGTAGTTCAGAATCTGAGGATGAAACCCCCAAAAGTAAACCTACTACTCCCGCCCCTAAATCAACCCCTAAAGTAACAAAAAAGAAAGAATCAAGCTCAGAAGACAGTAGTTCAGAATCTGAAGATGAAACCCCCAAAAGTAAACCCACTACCCCAGCCCCTAAGTCAACCCCTAAAGTAACAAAAAAGAAAGAATCAAGCTCAGAAGACAGTAGTTCAGAATCTGAGGATGAAACCCCCAAAAGTAAACCTACTACTCCCGCCCCTAAATCAACCCCTAAAGTAACTAAAAAGAAAGAATCAAGCTCAGAAGACAGTAGTTCAGAATCTGAGGATGAAACCCCCAAAAGTAAACCTACTACTCCCGCCCCTAAATCAACCCCTAAAGTAACTAAAAAGAAAGAATCAAGCTCAGAAGACAGTAGTTCAGAATCTGAGGATGAAACCCCCAAAAGTAAACCTTCTACTCCCGCCCCTAAATCAACCCCTAAAGTAACTAAAAAGAAAGAATCAAGCTCAGAAGACAGTAGTTCAGAATCTGAAGATGAAACCCCCAAAAGTAAACCTACTACTCCCGCCCCTAAATCAACCCCTAAAGTAACTAAAAAGAAAGAATCAAGCTCAGAAGACAGTAGTTCAGAATCTGAAGATGAAACCCCCAAAAGTAAACCCACTACCCCCGCCCCTAAGACCTCAAAATCGCCCAAAGTAAATAACAAACAGGAATCTAGTTCCTCAGGAAGTTCAGAGTCTGAAGATGAAGCACCCAAGAGTGGACCTGCCACCCCTATGGTGAATGGCTACCACGTAAGTCACTTCTATCTCTCATGATTATTTCTGCATGAATGGCATATCTCAGTCTAGTTTGTTTGGTCAGTCTCCATCTATTCATCAACCTTAATACTTGATAAATGTAAACTGGATAATATTCTCACTTTCATTACATTTGTTTGAAGAGACTAATGTAAAATTAAGAAAGATAGAGCCTATGGGCCCCGCTACTATCATAATGGGGTTCTTGATCTTTAATTGGTACATTAAGGATCTTGGTAGCCCATGGTCTTCAATTCAATTTATTTCATCAGTTTTATTTAATACAAAATATAAGGACAAGCTGCTACACACCCAGAGAGCATAGTACTATTTTGTGGTGTTATAGAAATCATTGTTTTTGATTAAAAATTATCTGTTCATCATCAAGGACATTTTTTGCAAAATTAAACTAACTGTCATCATTTAAAACATTTTTGAAAAAGTATTCCTGATCCAATTTAACCTGTGAACAGTTTAGAACCAGAAAATGTTTGAGGTGTGGAAGTAGAACGTTTTTACATGTTATTGTCCTTTTATTATTTCAGTCTATGAATGGAGATTCTCCACAAACCAGCACACCTATAAATGCAAATATCAAACAGAAAAGAGTAAGTTGGCTTTAGTTACTTAAGTAATATATATAAATGAATGAAAAGGATTTTCAAGTCATGAATAGGATATGTAACGGATATGTTACAGATATTTTGCATGGTGCAATTTAAGGTTCTCACTTTTGTATTAAGAAATGTTACATTCTTTTGAATTTTTGTATCCTTTATTCAGAACACAAAATTCTTCATATTTCGACCTTCAAAATGCATTACAAAACGCGATGGAAGTGAGTTTTGATTTTTGATTAATTTTTACAGCCTGCAAGCAACACACCATTCAGAAGAGTAAAGAGTGAAACTATAAAAGTAGACCATCGCCTGCAAGACAACTCATTCGAGGGAAAGGTAGGTTTTAATTATCACACTTCCTCAAATTGCTATGATATTGATGTTGTCTTGTAATTGATGAGCTGAGGGGCTATATAAACCTTATTAAAATTCCAGGAAAACTGCTTGTCAGTTCAACTCCAAATTCTTACAGATGAGCATAGTTGGGAGAAGGTTTGATTAGGTTTTGGGGATGCTGGGTAAATAAATTGGTGGCCATTTTGGATTTTGATAAAAGTGTGATATTTATGACCTTGTGTCCTGTTACAAATCTTACATATGGCGTGGTGTCCAAATATGAAATTCTGTTCCAAAGAAAGTGAAATTATGGTTTTCCCCTCCTAAAATTAATATGAAACTGTTAAAAAGAAAATGAAATAGTTTTTTCCTCGTCTAAAATTATTATGAAACTTTCTGTTCTCACATTACACATAAATTTATGTGAGGGACCAAGCCTTTACCTCCATCAAACAAATACTGTATAAGTGGTAATTTTGCCTAATCAATTAATTTGCCTATTTCCTAATTTTTGCCAGGTTCGGAAAATTAAATGTCAGAAATATTGTCTTTATAATGTTATCCAATGGGAGGTTTCTTGTCATTAGGAAAATTATAATTCGGAAAATGATGAAATTTGACCATTTGGAAAATTAACCACTCGGATTAAATACCACTTATTAACAGTAATAATCAAACAGAATTCTTTTTTTTTACCTTGTTTCTGGGAGTAACAAATACGTATACATATACATTTAAGGGTCTGTTATTTCTATTCCAGTCAGGCGCTCATGGCTCATGGGGAGAGAAAGCCAATAAGGACTTGATTCACACAAGGGGAAAATCTTTCCGTCATGAAAAAACTAAAAAGAAGCGTGGCAGCTACCGTGGTGGCCCCATAGACTCTGGTTCCATCCACTCCGTAAAATTCGACTCTGATGGTCAATAGTTATGTTTAGAGGGGATTATAATGAGGAAATGGAAAAACTAATATTGAACACTGGGATTATAAATTGTATTGTCTATTGTCCAAAAGAATGGCTTGGAGACACTGTATAAATAAGAAAAAAAAACAGAAATGTATTACAAGATGTATAATACTGAGCACATGAGACACAGATTTGTTGCATAGTGTCTCTTATGTAGGAAAATACAAAGATATGTTTTATGAGATGGAGATTGAAATTGATGCCATGATTAATGTGGCATTCAAGAGTAAGATAAAATATAAAATAGCATATATATTTTGAGTACATGTATAGGTTAAAATTATAAATGGTATGGCAAGAATTTAAAATCTGTTAAATAACATGTTAAAACATGCTCTTAATAAATTTTTGATTTTAGAATTCGCAGTACGATAATTTGCGTACATGTTTTCAATTTAATGTACTTATATATACGAAAATAAAGTCAATTTACAAACATGTATCTTGTATATATATTACATCATTATTATGTCACCACCACAAGTGGTGACATTGTTGTAGTCTTCCTTTTTTCGCAGCGGTTGGTGTTCGTCGTTCGTCATTCAGTGTCTAACAAATGGCAGGTGGTGACATTTTGCATGTAATGTCTTGTAAGGACGACTCAAAAGATGGCATTATTGCATAATTATCACCAGGCACTGCCAGAAATAGATCTGAACTGGGACAATTTCGATACCCCTTATTTTTTTCTTAAATTGGGAGGTGGTGTAACTCGTGCTTATATAATACCACAAGTGAGTGATTGCAAAAGCTCACCATGTGAGCTAAAAATCCTAGATTCTGCTGAATATATTGATGTTCTCTGAGCATGATAATATTGATATTTAGCTGGCCGTTCTCGTGTTGACCCTACTTCTTTTGTAGGAATTATCAGTTTTAGTTATTTCGTCTTTTTAAAGCTGATTCCATAGATGATGACATTGAACTCTGCTCAAAAAAGGAATTTTCATGATGACAATGTGTAAAGTTCATATGGATATAAAAAAGCCGTCGAAATGGCGGCCATTTTTGGCAACTTTTTTTTTCACAAACTCAAATACCAGTTGAGGGATTTGGTTCAGATTTTATATGCTGATTCCTTAGGGACATAGGGAGCCCTGCTCAAGAACTGAGAAATTTTCGTCTTATATTACAGTTTTTCTGATTCGTACCTCATTAACTCAAAATGGCCACGTGATGGCGGAACTTGCAGTACTTCGGAGATCTCTTCCAAGTATGACTACATTTAATACTCAATTCAAGGATATTTTAGACTAGATTGCAGTATTGTTCAATATTGTTGAGGGTTTTTAACATAAAATTGTGACATATTTCAGATTCAAGGATAGTTTGTTAGGATTTGCAACTCTGTGGCTTTGCTCTTTTTAGTTCCAATTAACCTGCAGCATGATAATATTTATTGTAGGCCCACATATAAAACATTTTTCATTATCTTATTAAAGCCAATTTAAAGTGCTGTGTCATCAACAAATTCATTATTGCATTTGGTGAAACAATTTTTCGACAACGAAATGATACTTATAAAGTGTTTATAACAACCGTACGTCCCTAAATAACATAGGTGGCGTGACCTTGAAAATAAAGGTAAAATATTCCTTTTCACTTTGGGCACCATCACCCTTGTTCACGAGACACTAGAACATGTATACTAAACAATTATCAAATCAAATTCCATTTGGCAGAAAACGGCCTAGGCAACTTATGTACTGTGTTCATTTCAAAGATACAATCTGTAATAAAATGCATGATTAATAAACAAAAAATATATTGGTTATGGTTGAAAGCATATATTGCTCTTAACGACGTTCATTTAATTATTGTTCGAAACACTTGACTCTATTCTAACTACAGAAATGACCACCAATGAACCTTATCTTACATTGGCTATTTATCCCCTTCATTTTCAATATTTATGTATTTTCTGACACTTTTTCGCCCATTTTTAAAAAAATGTGAACTGACCACTCACTACAAATATTTTTTTCAATTATTGAAATTAATTTTTCATGCACATTATCTTTTCCAGGTTCTGAATATCAATATGAAACGCATCTTTTTTTATAAATTAGTGTATTGAATATACTTCATCTAAACCAGATGCTTCTAGCCTATTAAAGCAAAGTTTGAATTAGGGTCAAAACCTTTAAAATTGTACACTGGCCTTCGCAACGATGAAATTAATCCGTTTCGGAACAAAATGGCGAAATCTCGAAAGAACGATCTTTTTCACGAGTTCACGCAAAATCTTCAAGACCTTGTTGGCACACGAGGTGCCAGAATGATCAAAATAGTTTTCTTAATTATTACGTAAACGGAACGGTTAGAAGTTCAGATTTTAACCGTTTTTAACCATTTTCGCACAAACGTTTAGATTTTCTTAAACATATGATGCTGACATACGTTTTGCCAAAATGTTCGTTGAGATTCTGCCTTCATCTCGATAAACCATGAAAAAAATAGAATCGCACCTTCATCAGCTGCGACATTTTGTTACGAAAACGGTTCTTGTCCATCAAAGTATGTCATTGGGCTAGATGTCATCTCGAGATATCACCGTTATTGAACCGTTATCATTTAATATCTCATTTTTATGTTTTATGAACTTACATTTTCACTGCCTCTGACTATAAAACTGTTATTAAAATCCAGATATCATAATTCAAAGCAGCAATTGGGCTTAACTGTGGGAATTATTTCTTTATTTATCGCATCGGTGAACACGTTCGGGGCAGGCTGAAATCTATATCGCATCGTCGAACACGTTCGGGGCAGGCTGAAATCTATCGCATCGGTGAACACGTTCGGGGCAGGCTGAAATCGATCGCATCGGTGAACACGTTCGGGGCAGGCTGAAATCTATCGCATCGGTGAACACGTTCGGGGCAGGCTGAAATCTATCGCATCGGTGAACACGTTCGGGGCAGGCCGAAATCTATCGCATCGGTGAACACGTTCGGGGCAGGCCGAAATCTATCGCATCGGTGAACACGTTCGGGGCAGGCTGAAATCTATCGCATCGGTGAACACGTTCGGGGCAGGCTGAAATCTATCGCATCGGTGAACACGTTCGGGGCAGGCTGAAATCTATCACATCGGTGAACACGTTCGGGGCAGGCTGAAATCTATCGCATCGGTGAACACGTTCGGGGCAGGCTGAAATCTATCGCATCGGTGAACACGTTCGGGGCAGGCTGAAATCTATCACATCGGTGAACACGTTCGGAGCGTTCTAGAATGGCTTCTCCAAGAATATGCGAATCAGACGTGGATGTGTTAACCAACCTCGCAGTGACGAAAGCGACCGTTGCCATGATGATGCAGACAGCACATCGACAAAAATCTCTGAACTTTCTCAAAATGTGGACAGACAAATGCAAGCTAGGCCGATTAAGAAAAATATCTGGCAAGCACTTTGGAAATGGAAATTTTCCGACAAATTCTGACCCGATTTGGAGTTTATGTAATCCCGATATTGTTTTTGCGATTCAACTATTCGAGATTGCGGGATTTAATATTGAGGAATCATCCATGGAAGCAATATATTCTGGTGTTTTGGGGGCTGGGTTGACTGATTCTGCTATCGTACGTTGTAAGTTTAGCCATTCTGCCGACACTCTCAACGCTGTGTTTGAACTACATGCAACTTGGTTGAATGCAGATGAGCAACATGTGTTTGAAATGGTGTTCGAAGAAGGCATTATAGTATGGGACTTGATGAAACCAAAAAGTGATGATGGATGTATTGCCTTATACGAGAAAGCAAGTGACCGAATCATTGCAGCCTTTACATTCTCAAGAAACCTGCAGGTACCAAGTTGTGACACAGGCGACGGGGTGTCCAACATACCCGACTTTGGTCGTGTGTTTCGACTAGCCCAACGTTTGTTATCATTTCTGAAGCTAGTTGATGAGAGGAAACAATCCAAGGATATGGCTGTTCATGAAGATAGGGACGAAGTTCACGATCACGTGGCAAAGCTGACGGGAAAGCCGGCAACTGTTCATCAAACTGCAGTTGTAGACCATGATGTTACTCTCGGATATGGAACAAGAATATGGCATTTCAGTCATTTATCTGAGAATACGACGATAGGGAATAATTGTAACATTGGTGCTAATGTCTTTACTGGTGTGGGTGTCATTGTCGGAAACAACGTAAAGATACAGAATAACGTCAGTGTGTATGATGGTGTCACTATCGAGGATTATGTTTTCCTTGGTCCCAGCATGGTCTTTACCAATGATTTTCTACCCCGAAGTGACCCAGCAATTGTGCGCCCATACACCCCAACAAGAGTGTGTAAAGGAGCGTCCGTAGGGGCTAATGCGACCATTGTGTGTGGTGTTCGACTCGGAGAATACTGTATGGTCGGGGCAGGCGCTGTAGTGACCAGAGATGTTCCCGATTATGCTTTGGTGTATGGTAATCCAGCTAAACTGCGTGGCTGGGTCAATAAAAGAGGGGAAATCACCAATCGTTTCCCGACTGACGAATCCAATGCACACACGCTCAATGTCAGTAGCCTTGACTGCAGCCCTGTTCCATTTGATAAATTAGAAAAATCACCAACTGAAAGTTGCCGATCAAAGTCTGTCTCGTCCGTTAACAGTAATATCAGCGAGGAAGATATGTCTTGGCCCGAAGAGGACTGCACAACAACAAAAGAGAAAAACAGTCCACAACAATTTCCGCCAATGTTCACTCTCGCTTCAGAAAGGAAGGAAATTGGAGAGGAGATCGCCAACACGACTCGGCGTATATTACAAGAGGGAAAGTTTATACAAGGTCCTGAAGTTGGCGAGCTGGAATCAGTTTTGGCAGATTACGTTGGTGTGGAACATTGTATTACAGTTGGGAATGGTACGGATGCTTTGCAAGTGGCTTTAATGGCACTGGGCGTGACCAATGGAGATGAAGTCATTGTTCCGAGCTTGACGTTCATATCTACAGCTGAAGTCGTGTGTCTGTTGGGAGCTATACCTGTATTTGTTGATATCACTGCCGAAACCTTCACCGTCAATGTTGACCTCATAAAAGATGCGTTGACATCCAGAACGAAAGTTATAATCGGCGTGAGCTTGTTTGGTTTGATTGCGGACTTTGATAATATCAGCGCGCTGTTACAGTCCACTGGACGCCAAGATGTTACGCTGATTGAGGACGCTGCTCAGAGTTTTGGTGCAACGAAAAACGGCAGACGCAGCGGTAGTCTTACCAAAATTGCATGCACCAGTTTCTTCCCTACCAAACCACTAGGTTGCTATGGTGACGGTGGTGCTATTTTCACCAGTGACATCACCCTTGCGAGAACGATGAGAATGATAGCCAATCATGGTCAAGCAAGCTTAGATGAACACAAGATTCTCGGCGTGAATTCAAGGCTCGATACAATGCAAGCGGGTATCATCCTGACCAAAATGAAAACCTTTGAGAAGTCTCTGCAATCTAGAAGAGACGTTGCAGCAATCTACAAGAAATACCTCAGCGACGAGGCGTCAGTGTTGACGTTACCTTCCCCAACAGCCGAGAATGCCCATGTTTTTGCCATGTACACTATGATTGTTGGTGAGATCAGCCGGGATGCTTTGCGGGATCAGCTAGAGTTGGTAGGGTTGAAGACGCGCATATATTGGCCCAAACCTCTACATCAACAAGATGTATTCGACAACATAGCGTGTGTTAAGATGCCGTGTCCGGTAGCTGAGAAACTATCAAGAACGATCTTCAGTATTTCTATATTTCCATTCATGACGGAAAGAGAGGCAATTGACGTTGCTTTAATAATTAAACAATCCATTTCAGTTGTTCTGAATGGCAAGTTACAAGACGATGATGAACATAAAGCTTGACTTTAAAAAATAGCTTGGACATGTAAGTCTGTAGAAATCCATTGAGCATTCATTGAAAGCGATATCATGTTTGACATCAAAGTCATAACTTGATGGGTCAATATGATTTAATTTAAAACATGTTCATACAACTTAAGATTCAGTTAATATATAATAGTCTGGTAGTAGTCAATTAGTCAATTAATTATATTGTTTTTTAAAGAGGTCGCTAATAATACGAGGTGCCTTTCTGGATTCGCATGTCAAGTAAATGGCGTTTTAGGATGATCTATGAAAAATATTGAAAATAAAAACGTCTTGGGACTTTTTAGAGGGAGGGGAACAGACCCACATCGAACTCTAATATATAATATAATAACTTCTTAATTTCTCTACTCTTGGGCAAATATGGATATGAATGGAACGAGTATTTAAACGTTTCCTTTTGTATTTTGTAAAGAATGTCCAAAACTCGAGATTTCGATTTTTATACCAAATCGTTTATGTATGCTCAGATTAGATGACTCCCCCTGCCTACATTATATTAAGTTTTTATGTCACCACCACAAGTGGTGACATTGTTATAGTTTCCTATCATTTTGTGGACGGGGTTCGGCGGTCGGCGTCTGTAACAAATGGCAGGTGGTGACATTTTGCATGTCAATGCCTTGTTTGCATTAATTTTACCAAAAACAGCATTTACAGCGTATAATACAATTAGTGAAATGCAGAAGAGTTTCATTATTTTCATTGTATGTGGTCCAAGGATCACATGTATCTCTTGATACTCTCTTGAGAATCGAACAGTCATAAAACCGTCGAGTGACTAAGAACTGATAAGTGAGAGAACGGACATTATTAATTAGAACATCTCTAACACGTTAATTCATAAGATCGTTAATCTTTGGAATATGCTTAACTAAGAGCAATTTGTTTTCTTTAATGTCACTTGTGTTTTGTTTGCATATATATTTCGATGAGATCATAATCTTCTTAAACCAAATGACTGGACAAATATTACGGGTATTTCTAAAGTGGAAAATTTATCTCTGCGGCGAAAAGAAATACAAAGGAGTGGTATCGATATTGTGAACTTTTTGAACACGCGTTTCTCTTAAACCAGTCATCAAAACATTCTGAAAATTTTACAAATCGTCAATTTAATGGTCATCTTCTTCTTCTTAATTTGAAATATATTTATACACTTTTCTCTATATTGTTTTAGAAAACACATCAGACACTTCTTTTGTTCTTGGTATCATATGTTCGGAATGAAATGAAACATCTATCCCTAGAAGCTCATTGGAACAAAACGACATAAACACAACGTGTTTAGGTCTCTCAATATTGTAATTGTACAAATGAAAGTTTGTTTGAATTTAAAAAAGTATCTTGTTAATGAAATTAAAGGGTTATCTTAATTTTCATCTATTTCGGGGGATTTTGTTTTTGCATACTTTTGCATACTTTTTGTAAAATCAACCAAAATTTCCTTTGTATAACTATAATATTGAGAGGTCCAAGAAAATGTTGTATATGCTATTTTGTTCCAACAAGGTTCGGAAAGACATTTTATTTCATTCTCAAGAATTGGTAGAAAGGAACAAAAAAGGAATATTTTCAATAATTGGTTTAAGAGAAAAACATTGTTGAATTCAGTTCACCATATCGATACCTATCCTTTTGAAACTTGCCCATATTAATTCATTAGAATGTTTATCATGATATGGGGCCCATGAAATTATGAAAAATGTGTAAAACGTACATTTGACCTACTATTGATTTTATGCTTTGCCATCATAAATATCAAGTGCAAAATGTGCATTTTGGAATGTCTTTGAATATGTGATAACAAATGGGGAAAGTGTTATATAATTTCACCGTCTTTACGTTTTAATATTAAATTTTAATAACCAATTTATCATGTCATTTATTTTAGTTATTTATTTAATTATCAAGACTTACAATCAGTGATTAATATGTAAATAAATCCCTTTGTAATTTGCAGAACAACTCTTACGGATATTCCATTCAATTATAAGATCGCACAAGTCAGTAAGTCCCAGATCTAAATCTCTTCTTGAGACGTACAACCACGATGTGGAAATCTATTTCTAATACATAACAGCAGAAGCTCCTTCTCAGAACTCTGAACAAATGCATTTTCGCATGGATTACACAAAAGATCGAAGAGGGTTTATAAAGAGATAAAGTTGTCTTGCTGGCATTTCCATGTTACTTCCAAGGGATCATTGATTAAAGAATGCATCGTTATCTCAGAAAAGATACTTTCTCGACATGGCTATGAGTGGAAAATCCTCCTATACTTGATAATAGATGTGTATTTAGATCACGTGATATCTCTTGGCCAATCAATGGCTCGTAAGTGAAGGTAACTTTCAGTCTTAATTTGCAAGATACACCCCTCCCCCATAAAATTTTCTTAATTTTCTTTGAATGTTTGAATCTTAGTTTTGTTCCTGAAATACAATAGTTGTGACATTTGACATCTTTTAAATCGCCAAACATAAATAGACTTTGATAAGTGATTCAAAGGGGGACTTACAGTTGCCTAACTAATGGAGGGGAGTGTACAATAAGATAGCATATAATACACGTATATGCAGTGCAACCTCAAACGATGAAAATGATAGACACAAATCGAGCATTTCATCTCATTTTTAGATTCTCCATTTTCCTTAGTATAGAAACATTCATAATGTCTGACTAGGATATTTTCTTCATCCTAAATGTTATGGGAAAATCCTCAATAATAAATAGTATAGTTGTTGGAACTATCAAAGAAATGTATGATTTTTGCAAGACGCTGAAAGCTGAAACACTTATTAGTGAACAAAAAGTATTCATGAACAGGGACAATCATACAATCGATATATGAATAAATATAGATTTGTATAAGAAATTGATAACCGCCAATTATCCCGACTGGCAAAACTCGGACATTCAAAGAGAATATTGGACATGCCAAGCCTTGAATTATCGAATATTTTTTCATTGAAAACAACAATTTAATGGTAAACGTATTCCGTAGAATATGTATAATCTCTCCTCATAAATAATTTCTCAAAGCATTTTGTACGGACTATTTTATGTGCTAAGGTTTATGCTAAAATTTTCGTATTTTTCGTATATATATTTTATGTATTATTTTCTACATCTCTACACTGCTCAATTTGTGATTGATTCACGAGTCTTTTCCATTTTCCAAGTCGCAAAATTAGGACGTCTTTCACTTCAGAAAATCAGTCAAGGCAGTTATTGATGAACCTCTGGATTTTGAATAACAATTTATAAGAATATATAATAACACTTATGGACTTGTATTCCCGGGCCTCAGTCGTTGGGTTTTATAATCTCGCTGAGTATACGTCCATGAACACGTTCAGAAGATTAAATAATTGTGTATGTTCAGATTTATATTGAAAAGTAGCATTTAAGATAACTAAACATCGACGATACATAAAAGTAATGTTCTTTCCTTATCGCGTACATGACAATGGACATAAATAGTACATTGTTTGAAAGCAGTTCACTGTCAAGATACAATCAACTCATTAAGGACAATGACTTTATCAAAGCAATCTTTGCATTTTATTGAATATAACAGTACTTGACTATCTTCTTTATGCTCAATGTAGAAATAAAATTTACATAATGGACCATAAAGTCGTGTGATTCAATTACTGGTTTGAATTGATTTGAACGATCCAGCACTGTGTCTTGACCAGGCCTTGAGTATAGCTATGCTTCAAAAATAGATTTTTTACATTTTTTTGGTGAAAAACTGACAAGTGAGTAATAATGGAATGTTACACAAGCAACAATGGATCCATGGAACTGTGCATATAAACTTCTGATTTGTCTGATTGATTCTGGAGCGTTTTGACGGTTGTCACAAATGCCGACAAAGGGATGCAGGAAAGAAGTATTTCAAAAAATCAACAATTTTAATAATAAATTGTGAATGAAAAATCTTGAATAAATAAACACAAGAGCTCGATGTAAACGCAGAAACACAAATCTTGATAAATATCTAGTAGACGAGTACAATTGTATTACTGTGTGTATGCTATCAGATTATCTGATGGAATACTTGAACAGGACGAGCTTTTAGTCTAGTGTTTTTCCACGTTGCGATTAATATAAATATAGCAGACATTTCCATGTAAAGCTTCAGGCTTACGAAGTCTAATAAAGTCTAAGAAATGGATGCACAGATTTGATTAATTGACCAATGCTGTTTCTAGATTTGAAATTCTTCGATTGACCAAAGTGTTCATATACGCAAGAAAAATATTATACTTTATCTTGGGTATTAACGAAATGGAATAAATTTGCCAGGCAAATTGGACAAGGTGCTCATTTAGAATGATATTAAAATCGAATGGAAATTGACGCAAATGTTGGAATCGACACATACGCGGTTATGTTTATAATGTATTTGTAATTACCAATCGATGGTCAGGATATTTACAGGATTATCCACGACAAATATCTTGTTTTTATCTGCATTTACATTCTGTCTAAGTAAACTTTCTCTATCGATGAGGAACAAGAAACAGATAGGTTGCACGCATCGAAGTGGATATTAATTTAGCAGAGCGTGAAAGGAACAGAACAGTAAATGTAAAATTTTTCTTTTCGTGATTTACTCAAGTTTAAATGTTCAGAAATGGTACGCAGTACCTAGATACTAAAATATACAATATGGCATTTTGAGGGAGATTTCTTATGATTGTTACCGATGAAGTGTGTTTTCATTTAACTATTCAAAACGCTACCTTCAAAACATATATGTGAAAGACATCTATGTGGTGAAAACCGCGCGTGGATGAGCTTGGTGGATGATGCTGAAATTTTGAAATATTAAAACTCACGATTGAAGTCAGGATTTGGAAATACATCAATACGTTTTACGATGTTGGCTGTTTTAATGGTAATTTGCGAATTTTGTTTATTTTTTCATTTTGGAATTAAAAATCTTGCATTTGCGGCGACAAAAATACTCGTTTGTCGCAATTTGACACTATGAAACCCGAATACTACCATGTTTCATATACAGTGGCGTAGCCAGGATTTGGTGACCGGGGGTTCTATTTTTATGTTATTCACAAATCCCCCCCCCCCCTTCATTAGGGTTCCTCAAATAATGCAATTTGTACAATTACACTCCCTCCAAAAGTTTGGCAATCCTAACTAACCCATTGGATTATGTGTTAAAGCATCTTTAAGTTTGAATTCCTATATGCATAATTTGTAAAGAAAGAACTATTTTGGGAGGGGAAATATAAGTCATTTTAATACCTTGATTAAGTTAAGTAGACAATTGAATTTAAATTTTATTTAACAAAAATGATGTCTTTATTTACGCTAAGCAAAGTCTAAAATTAATAACGTATACCCTGCGTGCAGAGTCTAGTTATAAACTACGAAGACGAAGCTCTCTTTTAAGAAGTGAAGTCGAACGAATGCAAAGGGCAAAAAGTAATAGGCTTTATCAAGAAACCTCTCCCAATGAATTAGCACAGGACGTAAAAATGATCTTCAAAAATTACCTTGTAGCTTTGTAACTTTAATGTTCACAAAGTAAAATAAACAGGCAACGTGCAAAAAGTCAGACAACTTATAATTAATTTTCTGCATCAAAATATTTTTCGGTCAATCCTTTACTGAATGTATATCCTGAAATCTGATTTGCCCCGAATCCACCATTATTTCGTCTGATTTCTGGAAGACCCTGGAGCATGATTTGTTACCAAGGAATATCAACTATTTCGCACGATTTATTCTTTAACTTAAGCTACTTCATCTAGGACAAAATAAATCACCTCGTGCAATGGCTTATCATTCTTTTGCAGGAATTTTGTTGGAAGCCAATTCGGATCAAATGCAAGGTTAATGAAAATTGTGCAAACACCCTATACTCCGAAAGATCGTTCTTTTATGATAACTTTTCACAACGTTTACACTTTTTAAACTATCCGGGATAGTCGTATTACTGATGAAAACATCTGTTATTCAAATAAGTGGGTCTCGGTTATGCTTTGTTTTAAAAAGTTAAAAATATTTCTTTGGACGTCCCCGGAGCTCAGTGGTAAGTCCCCCGGAGCAGATCAACTGCAATTGATAATAAAAACGTTTTGGTGTATATAAACCATATATAAATACAAGCGACTGTTCGAATATAAAACGTATTTTGTTAAGTTCAGACGGCTTGATAACAAATTAGGCCTTCATTATTTGAAGATTAATACCATATGATTTTTCAATGTTTTTTTTATCATGTAATTTATTCGCTAAACATATGACATTAATATGGAAATGGAGAGCAAGTAAACTGGAACGATAACAATTTGAATTCTATACAATCTTTTAGATGAGTGGAGTGTATCTGAAAAAAACAAAATCATTTTTTGCAATGATTGATTTTCTTTGAAAAAATGATGGGTAATAAATACTGAACAAATGAAAGAATGAATAAAGGACGATTCTCGGTTTGGAGAACAGTCTCCTGGGCTAATAATTTTTTTAATGAAAAATATAGAAATATTACCCAAATTAAACTATGAATATTCAAAAGAGGACATTTAGATCTACAAGATGTAAAAATAACAAATTGGTCTGTAGCAGGGATAATGCTCGATTTGACCGATTCAATAAAATACAAGTCTCAAATTGGGGAAAGAAGTTCATCAGTGTACTGCGCTAATATTTTTTTTGAGAAAGATCTAGAAATATTACCCAAATTAAATTATGACTATTCAAAAGAAGACATTCAAATCTATATTATGTAAAAAAATCAAATTTGTCCGAAGCAGGGATAATGCTCATTTAGATGGTTTCCGGACAACTCGGACCCAGGACAACTCGGACCCTGGACAACTCGGACCCAAGACATCTCGGACCCAAGACAACTCGGACCCAAGACAACTCGGACCACTTTTTGAAATGATGATTTTTATCAATATATATTAGGTTTTAATTATTTTTTAGGTTTATTTTGACATATATTATATATTGTGAATTCATATGTTATGTTAATTTGATGAAATTGTTTTAAATTAACATTTTGATGAGAGTTAAGAAGTAAGAAATTATTGAAGCTAAAGACCCAAGACAACTTGGACCACTTTTTGAAATGATGATTTTTATCATTGTATGGGGTTCTAATTTTTTTGTTTAATGTTTTTTTATGACATAAATTATATATTGTGAATTGATATATTGTGTTAATTCGATGAATTTGTTTTAAATTAAATTAACTTTAATTTCAAAAAGTGGCCCGAGTTGTCTTGGGTCTTCAGCTTCAATATTCTCTTACTGGTCTTACTTCATAACTTTCATCAAATAAGTTAATTGAAAGGTTACCAACTGAAAGATCTTCATCAAATAAATACAATATATAAACTCACAATATGTCCTGCCAAACATTAAAGAAATAATCCCCAGTTACAACAACCAAAAGTATAATTTCAGAAAGTGGTCCGAGTTGTCTTGGGTTTCTTGTTTCAATATCTTCTACTTAATTTTCATCAAATAAGTCAAATTAAAACATTTTTTTATCATATTAATACAAAATATGAATTCACAATATATAATATATGTATTAATTTTCATAAATGAAAAAATAAAACCACTCATTATGATAAAAATCATAATTTTAAAAAGTGGTCCGAGTTGTCTTGGGTCCGAGATGTCTTGGGTCCGAGTTGTCCAGGGTCCGAGTTGTCCTGGGTCCGAGTTGTCCAGTTACCATTTAGATTGATGAACTTCGTTCTCCAAACCGAGAATCGTCCTTTGAACAAATGCTTGTGTTTATAAATGATATATACTTAAAAATAATTCATTTCACAACGTTTTTAATTATTTAACGCAATCCGTTTTGGGGACTTGCCAGCCCAAGGGACGTCCCAAGAAATATTTTAAATTTTAATTGAAATAAAACAAAACAGATGTACACATTTGAAAGAACATGTGTTTCATCAATATTACGACTATTCCAGATATTTACTCGCCAATGTTGTAAAAATCATTCGGAGTATGGGACGTCTGCATTATTTTCAATTTCAATAACTTCATATTGGACCAGAACTGGCTTAAAACAAAATTCCTACAAAGGACTGATTTAGCCATTGCCCAAGATGGGTTATTTTGTCCGAGAAGAAGCAGCTTTTTAGTTGATTGTGCGAAATTATTGTTATTTCTAAATGTAAAATCTCATGCTCTGGGGTCTTCCCAAAATTCAAATTTCAGTTTCATTTGTTTTCAGTCGAAAATAGAGATTTGAAAAAAAAACTTATGTAAAGGAAAAGTGTGAATAAGTAAAAAATATGTACACTTCTTCATGTGGTGACATTTTGTCATATATTGTTATATTTCACATGTTATGTTAACGGTGGCTGATTATGGCTTATTTTTCAGGTGTGCACACTATTGATGGGTGCTGTATCAGGTAGGGAAGTTTAATTTTTTTTTAATTTTTTTTTTTTATATTTTTTTTAATCAACCGTCTGTGTATTAATTTCCTGATGAAAAATAAATATTTTATTGCACCGTTTCAATGTTAACGTTTGAATGATGAAAATAAATCCAACACAAGGGCTCACATCCTTAAACCTCATGGGCCACATCCGTTAAATCCTTATCCGTTAATCCCCAGGGATCACATCCATTAAACTACAAGAGTAAAAAAATCAAATTTAAAAAATGTTCATAAAAGATTTATGTTGCTATTATTAGACCATATAACTTTTTAAAATGAAGTTTGAACGCAAATCGTAACAGACCCCGAAAAAATTCCAAATATATGGCCACCATTAGAATATTGGGGATTGTTGTCTGCTCTTATGTTTTAATTTACATAAATTGCATTTTGTAATACTTTTTTGGTCTTCCACTTGTGGCAACCAGCCCTCCTAGAGTTCCACTGACGCGAGCATCAGTTCTGACCTCGAGAACTACTTTCCTTTGCACTCGCGCGAACCACGAATCGCGAGCACAGATCTGTGCGAGAGTGGAGAAATTCGTCCAGGAGCGAGAAAATGGTGGTGCATGACTAAAGATTTCACGTTCGCGATGTGAGAATCGTGGTTCGAGTGCAACGAACGTAGTTCGCGAGGTCAGAACTGATGTTCGCATTGGTGGAAGTCTAGCAACTGTGGTTACATATTTAAGTACAAACCCAGTGTATGTATGCATGCTTATATGAGATTAGCAAATTGAGTACACGCAACATGAGATTTCTTAAACTATATACTCCTTGTATTATGATCTGCACATACACTGCAATGCTTATTTTAGGTCAAATGAATATTCCTTCAAACCTATTTGGAGGTGGTGAACCAACTACATCCAGTACGACCAGCATAACTACGGAGGCTGTTACAACCACTGCCGAAACTACCACAACCACCAGTGAAGCTACAACTACTACCACTGAACCTACTACAACCATCACTGAAGCTGACACAACCACCACTGAACTTACCACAATCACTACTGAGCCTATTACTACAACCATCGATTCAACAACAGATGAATCTAATCCTACAACATCTGACCAAACAACGTCAAGATCAACTTCGATGATACCTGAATCAAGTGCAGCTGAATCTATGACGGAAAGAACTGAGACAATTGATGATGATACTATTACAACAGATATAGCACAGTCAACTGTTGAAAGTGTCACTGATGAAAATACGGAATTCACGCCTGTGGCCACAGAACAGCGGCTAAAAACACTGGTCTGTATACTAAGCATTTCAGGATTGCCTGAATGATTTTTTTTCAATTTGCGCTTCAAAATGTGGATAATCTTTACCGGATTTGAAACTCTGGTTTGGTATTTTTTACATTTGATTTGGTTGAGTACACTTGGTCCCCTTTCGTCTCTTATGTATTTGCGCGCTTCTTGTCATTGTTATCGGTGAAATTCTCATTGCTGTCAAGATCATCAATGATGCAGAAAAATGATATTTTACAACGGAGTTATTGTTTTTTAGCAAACAGTACTTGAAGAGTTAAACAGTAGTAACTCGATGACAGCGAAAGAGGCGAAAATATTTTTGGATGACATCTCTCGGTTCTCAGGGAAAATATACAATATTGTAGACCTCGTTGATATCACACTGGCACTGCTAACAATGGCTAGATTGAATCCAATGAAAAATGCGAACATATTTCAAGTGACGTCACTCACACAGGTAAGACATGAGATGTATTCATAAGCCAGTTTACTTCCGAAGACATTGCTATCAAAACTCGGGAGAACATTTTTGTGTATATCATCTACGAACAGAACCCCCTGATCATAAATTCCAAATGAACAGTCCACAAGATTTGAACCAATATCTCGATCATTTCCTGTCAGCTTTGGAATTTTTCGTTTAGAAATAAGACCAAAATTCACGATTCAAATGTTGAAGTGAACAAAATGGCGGCTGTTTGAATTCAATTTTGTAATCTCGACATGCCCTTATATGGCAAAAATATCGATGTTGCATTCTGGGAGCCAATCCTCTTCGGTCTGTTACATACGTTTGGCAAATTGACGTCCCCTTTTGGTTCAATTCAATTCATAATGATTAATGTATGAATAATTGAAAATTGGGTCACTTATCAAAGCCTGCGTTTATGTTTGGAGATGTAAAGAAATCCATCAAATCTGTCATAAACCCGAATTATCATGATTAAGGAAAAAAGTCAAGATTCACGCATCGATGGACTTTCATATGATATCCAATAATCCATTATTCTACACAATACTTTTCTATAACTTAACTATAACGTCTATAGGACGGTTTACACATCATGTTTGGTATTATCTGGGAATACTAAACCACGGGAATGGCAACTCATGTCTCCGATTGTTCTATGTCTGTCTCCGATAATTGAAAAACGTCACAGCTGTAACTACCAAAGAATTACTTGTGACGTCACATCGTTACAACACTACGGCGCCATATTGGATTCATATTCATCTCTACGTGCTGTGATTTTGGTAAGAAAATGTCTTTTTATATGTCATATATGGGCAAATAAGGAAAAACAGTATCCCCTTTGCACGCACCATCAATCATAGTCTCTGTATATGTTTTTTTTTATAGATCAATTATATGTTTTTATATGCGAAAAATGTTTTTCCAATTCAAGTTTTCCGCAATTATGAAACTTGCTTAGAATTTTGGAAAAAAAATGTTCTATTTATGTCATATTTAGGAAAATAAGGTAAAATCTGCTGTAACCTCTTTGCAGGCACCATCAATTCCAGTTGTCCGCAAATCCGAAAAAGTTGGCAAATAAAATGTCCCGTCTATGTCATGTTTAGGAAAATATGTAAAAATCGAAAGGACATTTGCGTGCATTATCAATTATATTCTCTGTGTATGATCAATTTTTTAATTTCAGTTTTTATTTCCAGATCCATCTGATGAATTAGCAAGATGGAAAAGCAGCAAAACATGTCTACAAAAAGAGAAATCAAGCAAGCTTATACATGTAGTCCAACTCCTTTGAAAAATCCGTCTGCTGATGAACTACACAAATATAAAGGATAAAATGGTTTCCCTGGAACACTGTGCTCATTAACGCCAGACAAAATAATCTCAGTGAGATTCGTTGCTTTGAACGTCATCGTACTATTACGACCAGTGTAGATTTGATCGGATACGACATCCTCACTTTGAGACCCAAGAAACGGCCAGGGAAACTGCTTACTTACTCACTAATAAATCAACTTCAATTCAAAACTACTGAAGATGGACCACTCCAAGAAATTTCGTAATTGTAGCGTCGATATGACTTCAGGAAACTGTGTCTTGTAAAAGGGCTTGTTGGATAAATATTTACAAGCTTTTATTGTTAAAAAACAGTAATTGTGGATTTACGTGATGTTCCTTCTTTCGGACACCATGTGACATCGGTTTAGTTGATGAAAGGAAAGACGGAAAGTTTTCATAACCCAGATTACTGAGATATACCACACGAAGATAGTTTTCACCTTCTCTCACGTTCTTGGAAACATGTCATAACGGTCTTACTCCATATTCGGATGGATGAAACGCACTTCGCACTTCGATCCTACTAGTGACGTGTTACATTAAGAGGATAGCAGTCGGGCATCATGTTCTGTAATGTTTCATTCGAATTGATAGCGAGGAATAACTACTACTACTACTAATTCTAGACACACCAAAATACTGAAACTAACTGTCATATTAATAACTCTTTATAATCAATTAGAGGCAATTTTGCTACTAATTTGATCGCATTCCGTTTTTGTTCCAAAATATCCTTATGTTTATCATACATGTCATAATGAGAGCAAAACATCAACGTTATTCAGTGATCATGCAAGATTTTTTACGCATGGTATATGAACAAATGATCATACTCCAGAGTTTCTATGTCATGTAATAAGCCTGATCTAGTTCAAATCATATCAAAGCATAATTTCAACTATAAATAAAATAGTTTAATTCGATGAAAACTAATAATATCGAAATCGACACTTTCCGATTAAATGCGAAGGTAAGAATCGTAATTTTCGCTTGATTCTGAACAATGATTATCGAAGGTCTACCGCCAACACAAGGATGATTGAACTTGAATTATAAAATCCATCAAAACACTAACACCCCAGTCACATTTGTCGTACGGCGGCCGTACGTTGACCGCAAATCAATTAAATCAGTGTATTTCTGCGGCGAGCGTAGGAAAACTACGCTCTCCTTGCGGCCTCCGTACGGCGTATCCAGTTTTTTACAGGCCGCAGGGAGGGCGTAGAAATTATAACTCGGAGTTATAATATTTGTTCATTTCTGAGGTCCCCGTAGAAATCAACTGACTCAACACGATTGAATCATTATTTGTCAATGTTTCACGATCACTTTTCATTTGATATTACATCCTAGCACTATGAATAACATTTATATATTGGCCCGATGTAAATAAAATGAAAAAAAACGTATTATTTATCAACAGAAATTTAAAATTCACCGTGCGGCTGCCGTGGGAAATGTGACTGCAAACGTATGAGAGTGCAGAAATTCTACGGCGAGTGTAGAAAAGCTACTGGCCGCAGAAATGATAGACCGCATGGCGGCCGTGGGAAATGTTACTGGGGTGTAATTTAAATTTATTTTCTTCGTAATCACAATGTAGCTATTCCATGTATTCTCAATCGAATCTTCAAATTATTGATAAATGAATAGACTCACGGTATAGTTACACTCCCCTCCATAAGTTTGGCAACATTAGCACCCCAATTGAACTACGTGTTAAAGCCTCTTTACATTTGATTTTTTATTTACTTAACCTGCGATGTAAATACTTATACTACTAATGGAAACGTAATTTGATTTGATTTTCAATACCTTCAAATTTTCTCAATTTTTTTCCTCAATTACAATAAGTCAAAAATTGATGATAAATTTGATGAATTTTTGAAAATCGTCATTCCCATGTAATCCAAAGGGAAATGTAGGGTTCGGGGCAAATCAGAAATCAGGATATCTTTTCAGTAAAAGATTCAGCAAAAAATATTTTCATATAGAAAATTGAATTGTCTCTAACTTTTTGGTAGACTAAGTGTTTAGTTTATTTGATGAATACTAAAGTTACAGCGCTTCAAAGTCAAATTTCGACCTATTGTATTCAAGGAAAAAAATGAGAAAATTTTGAGGTATTGGAAATAAAGTCAAGATACGTTTTCATCAATATTATAAGTTATATCATCGCCGGTTAAGTAGATAAAAATTCAAACGTAAAGAGGCTTTAACACGGAGCTCAATGGGGGAGCTAAGGATGCCAAACTTATGGAGAGGAGTGTAAATATGATCTTCTAGAATTATTTTTGAATCGATATGCTTCTGAGAAAAACAAGGTCATAAAAGTATTTTCAACTTGCTTCAAATTGACCAATTTTTTCAAAATCATCTACAAGGCTATAGTTCCTAGAAGTCCAAATATGACTTTAGATTTGAGATTTGACCTGCAATGACCTTCTCAAGGTAAAAAGGTCGAAAATATATTTTTCAACTTCAAATTGACCCAATATTGTTAAAAATCATCGATATGCTTTTTAGGAAAACAAGGTCAAAAAGTATTTTCAACTTGCTTCAAATTGACCAATTTTTATAAATTATCATCTAAATTCTAAGAAGCTTAAATCTGACTTTAGATATGAGATTTTACCTTCAATAACTTTCTCAAAAAGGTCTTTTTCAACTTGCTTTAAATTCACCTATTTTTTAAATCATCTACAAGGCTATATTTTTCTTCATACATGCATGCATTAGCCCATATCATCACATCTTGTGGAGAAAGATCTAAAATTTTTGTTGATGCCCTAATTTATTCGCAGTCTTGAATTTTGAAGAAATTACAAGACTTACAAAAACATGCCTTAAATTAGATATTGTGCAAAACTTTACAAATGTGATGCATGGAAATTGTTGAAACACATTGGATGATCTTAAAAAGGTTTCAATGGGGGATATGAGTTTAAACCATACCATATGACAAATGGGACATTATTTGCGCAGAAAACACATTTCACATTTTCATTGACCACTTTGAAGCAGTTTTACCATTCAATAGGTAAGGGACAGGTTACCTACACAATAATATATACGGATTATCATAAACATTCGTGGATTATTATAAACATTCGTTGATTATCAACCATTTGTGGATTATCATCAAACATTATTGGATACGAACATTATAGGATTACTACGAACATTACTGGATTCTAACAAACATTGGAGAACTAACGTTTCGTGATCTGGAACATTCTCAAGGATCATCAAGGATATTTACAAACATCGAGAGACAATTAGGGGTATCGCCAATTGAACTTAAGTATTACATTATATTTTATATATTATTGTTATATCATTTAGTTTTTCAAAAATATAGTACTGTACATTGTTATATTTTAATTGCTGTTTTTACTTTCTGTTATTTTCGAACGTAACACGAGTGATTATTTAGTGTCAAGTTTTGTCTCTAGTGACAGCATGTTACTGAATATCTCAACAAGTGACCTAAACTACCTGACTACAGCAGCTAAAATAAGCATACCGAAATAGTATAATTCAGTATGATTCAGAGAAGGGGATTATACAGTAAGGGATTAACAATTTTGATGATAAGAACTAGTATGTGATATGATCGATATTACCTTTTTGTCAGCATTGCTAAGAAATACAATTATACCATTCCAATAAATGATAACTCACTGTGTTACCTGGCTTGATACACATGCTGGAAGATATGCTTTTAAAATTAGTAAACCATTACCAAAACTATGGTTACCCTGTAGTATTGAAAGGCACATTAAAAATGAATATCACCCCTTCAATCTATTTTTTAAGTTTTTTTATGATTATTTTACATTTTCTATATTTTGCGTAACCAGGACATTGAATTTTCTTCATTTTCGTCTTACCAATATTTATTATATCTGTCAATTTCAAGAAAATCGCGCCGCTACGTTTGAAAATGATTAAAATTATGTCGTTTTTCCCATTGAGCTCCATTATAAAAATGGAATTTTCAAACTTAATATTTTAAAATTGTACGTGGTGAAAAGTTGCATATTGAGGAGTTAGTTAATGTTAAGGTGTAAAAAATTCAAAACAAAAATGAAAAAAACAATGCCACGGAGTTTCATTAGCATCTCTTAAAAAGCCAGCGATGGCATTAGTTTTGTGATGATACCGTCACTTATAAGTATTTGGTACAGGTCGTGCGGGCATTGTTTCTTGATTTGTAGCAATAACATTGACTTTTGCACGTTGGTAACGACACCTTATAATACATCACACATGTTTGAAGCGTATCCTCATGGAAAACGTTTACAACATATTTTACCTTGCCAATACCGTGCGCTTTTTCGATTAGTAATGCAATAGTAATCTTTCTCTAGAAAAAATAATTCTTCCAAATTCATTATACTTTCTAGCCGAAATCACCTGATAACTTCTCCGTTTATTTTGACGGATCCTCCGACGTGACCTTGAAAAACAATCACGGTGAACCAGGACCGTAGCCAGGGGGGGGGGGGGGGGCGGAGTGGGCTAGAAATTCGGGTTCGTAGAAAAAACCGGCTACCGGGTACTAAATCCTCCATGCTGGGTTCAAACTTGGTACCCGGTACGCCTATGACATTGTAAGACATAACAATTTACACTTCAGTGGACGTTTCGTCGAAAATTGGGATAACTTAAATTATGATTAATAATCAAAATCTTACACGTTGCATCATGTTAATTAACACACGTCACCTCTCTGCTAAAGTAACGATAGCTATTTACAGATTTAAATCATAATCAAAACAATTCACGTACCAACATACGAACTATTTAAAATAGAGTAAGATTGATTTTCATGTTTTTCAAATCGTCTTACAATGGCATAGGCGTAGCCAGGAGGGGGTTCGCGATCCCCCCCCATTACCAATGAGAATATGACCCCCCCCCCCATAACCAATGAAAATATGACCATGATGATAGAGGAAGAAAAGAGCCTTAAAATGCTTTTTATTTGAAGCTTCTAGCTCAATTTTCAAGGAAGTTTTACATTTTTGTAAATTCAAAACAAATCTTACACGTTTTCTAATGGTCTAATTATGTTATATATTCGCATTATTCGTTATTTGGGTACCCGGTTTTTTCAACCGGGTACCGGGTACCAAGTTTGAACCTAGCATGGAGGATTTACTACCCGGTACCCGTTTTTTTCTACAAACCACAGAAATTCTTTAAAAATCATGCAGTTTTTTACCATTTTGAGCACTTTTCGTATGAATTTTGCCAAAAACTGAAAAAGCTTACCGCGCCCCTTGGCAAAAGCTCCCCCTTGTTAAAACCGCTCCCCAACCCGGCCCCAGGTAAATCCTGGCTACGGGCCTGTGAACGAAGAAGACATGAGATACACTGAATAAAATCGTGGTCAACGAGTACTAATAATGTATGTACAGCATTGTTTATAAAACTTACGGTCGTCGGGGAAACGATGTACGAAATGTGACGTCGGTGTTCATGAAATATGACGTAATAACTCGTCAAGGCAACCGGTGATTTGTTATTTTTAACAATGGGAGACAGACATAGAACAATGGAGCAATAGATACACAATGGAGTTGCCATTCCAGGTGATTTTATTCCAAGGTATTATGTATTAATTATCTCGGTGCAACTTGATTGTTTTCAAGAGACCAATAAACTAGAAACTTATCATTATCTGCTGCGAAAGGAAAGAAGCACAAAACTCAATTGAGTAACAATGCACTGGTTCCACTGAATACGTATCTAAAACCTAGTTTTATAACACTCGTTTTAAGCGGCATAATTGAAATTCATTCAGAAAAGCTCAGTATGGCCATATATTGATTCTGTGTCAAAGATATTAACTGCCCATGGACTAGACGGATGCATTTCATCCGACAATGCAGACTTGTATGACTCATTTCTCAAAATCTCAAATGATCAAAGAAAATCTGAATTTATTGAAGAAATCGATGATAAAAAGTCTTTGAACCTCTATAAAAAGTTGAAATTTAATGCAAAAAAAAGAGAAGTATCTCATGAACCATACATACTTTTACACCTCTCGATTTAAGTTTCTGGCCAGAACAGGCTGCTTTAACCTTGAGGAAGACAGAAAAAGATGGAAAATAAGTAACGGTATTTGTAAATTATGTAACTTAAATGTTATAGATGATCCCATCCATCGTTTTCTCCTCTGTCCTCATTTCCAGAAACAAAGAACTGAATTTATACATGATTTAAGTAGTAAATGTGATGCTCCTGTTGTGTCTCAGTACCTAAATTTCCCCCCACAAATGAAATTAAAGTGGATTCTTGGGGATGATGTGTTTAGCATTTGGGGGCACGACAATGGCTGGAATTTTGATGTTTGTACAAAAAGATTTCTGCAAAAGGTGTATGTGAAACATAACACTGTGTGATTTTAGCCTATTTTAATGATTTTACTAAAAGCTTATGTCTCATATTCCTCTACGGATTTTAGTAAAAAATGTATTGTTTGTATACTACTTATATGTAATATTGACGCACCTTTGAGTGCCACTGTTATAAAAGTGACTGTCAAATAAATAATAAATAAATAAATACCTAATCGTGCCACGATTAATTCAGTCCCCAGCACTTAAACTTTATAATTTTTTCATTGCAATTTTTTCCTAATTGATGTGGACTAAATATATATTTGTTTCTATAGCGATTTGCAGATACGATCAGTACAGTGATATCAACAAACAACTTTGACACTTGGAAGCAGGTAATGATTACTCAATAAAATCGTAATCTTATATTGTTTTCAAACGACTTACACGAAATTTAAAACAGTAGCTTATTAAAAAATGTGGAGAAGTAGTTTATAGGGTCTCTGCTGAATTCTCAACCTTAGAGAATCTTGTTTTAATCATACCAATCATATCAGCATGGACGCTAATATGTTCTATTTGAAATATTTATAAGAACTTTATGATATACAATGTCCGACAGAACCTCAGATAGATACTTTTCACCAGATGTAAATGTTTTTGTCTCAGAATACAACTGCAGCGGGTCCAAACTTGTTGTACGCAGTGGAAACATTTACTGGAAACGTTGCCATACGACTGATGAACGCAGATGATATAAAGACTCTTACTGTGAAAAGTAGGGCAGTTGGTGAGTTGAATTGATTATATGTGTATATGTATATTATATAGGGTGTCTATTAAGTATTTCTACACATACTTCGTATTGTATATTGTAAAGACACTTTATGGACACCCTGTTGTTTATAATGGAAACACTTGTTCACTACCAAGCATATGTGCCTAACCTAGCATTCTAATAATTGCATTTTGCGGTGAATAGAGTGTACAAATTAGAGGTTTCTTGTGACTTGCTCTATCGACCTAAATCATGTGGACAAGTGAGCTCTATATGAGATCGTGACCAGTCATGTGGAAAAGAAATCACCAATACCCCAAAACTATGATCTAACGTACAAAGGAACGACCTAAGGTGAATATAGTACACATGTTGTTTATTAGATATCCACATAGACAAGGCTGAGAATAGCACGGCAGATATCAACTACTCAGATGGCGGTGGGACACAATTTCGGATTGCGCGAACTCTGTTGCCGGATGACGAATATGCTGTAACTGCTGTGATGTTTAGGGGACTGGAGATTGTATTCCCAGTGATTGTAGAGAACCCAAATATAACAAAGTAGGTATTTGTGTATAAGGCTGGTAGCCAGGGGGAAATCATTTCATGAGAAATTATAAAAACGTTTAACAAAAACCAAAAGGATCGGCTCTGACCACATTATTCCCCTTCATATTCTGGAACATTATTTTGTAGTGGGGTTATTCGGACATGTATAGATCATGATAGGAATCGCATATAAAACAAAACATCTCTTCGTATTTCAAACAAACAAACAAACAAACAAACAAACAAACAAACAAACAAGCAAACAAATAGAACAGACATGCATTTTCCTTTTATCATGTCCATTGCAGTTTCGCTATAGGGAGTAAGATACTGAGTGCCACCCTGTACAGGAGAGACCTCGCAACCCCCATACCTCTGTACAATATACCCGGTCTCATTCAACTCATCTTTAAGATGGACCAGCAAAAAGTGCCAACAAACCTGAAACACCACTGTTCTTTCTGGAATTACGATGCTGGGTAAGCCATGAAGATTATTCAATTAATATCATGCGAAGCAGTTTCATCTGTTAGTTGATCATTTTTTTACCCCTTCCAACCTTCCCTCGGCAAGGGAGATTGAACCTTTTAGCCCACTCAAATGGGGTCTCGATTTTTGAGAAATTGGACCAATTATTCAACAATGGGGAGTCTCAAAAATGGGTCTAAATTAAAATCAGTCGATAAAATTATAAAAATAATCAAAATCATACAAATGCACAATTTTTCTACTACCACGGAAAGTTTTATTTAATCTAACTGTGACTTTGTATACTGTAAGATTAATTCGGGAATCACCATTAAGTTATTGTAACATTAATTCGGTAATAAGCATTAAGTTATTGTAACATTATGAAGCGTACATTTTACTGTACATAGACTTTCTAATAAAAGAGACAATGACATGGGTGCCTGGTCAAATGAAGGATGTGAGACGTTAGATTTCCCTAGCATTGGAGATAGCAAAAATGATGACAAGTTGCAGACAAGTGTGGGATGTGAATGTAACCACTTAACAAGCTTTGCCGTCCTCATGCAGCTGGTGGAGATAAAGGTACGCGAATAGAATGCGAATGTTGGAATCACAATCACATTGATTCAATTTTAAGAATTATTGAGGAGAATTCAATTGAAATAAAGTTTATGATCGTCAGCAATATTGCAAAAAGTTAACCATCAAATTAAATACGACGCCCATTAAAAAAATACCGTATCTATGGAATGGATAGTGGTATAGATTTTTATAGAGGGCCGCTGTGAAAGAAATTATGGTCCCCTGGGGATTATGGTCCCCTTTCTAAACGGCCCTTATTGGCCCTGATTGTGCATAAGATAATAAGGGAAAGAGTTGTATTTAGGTCAGCATATAAATCAGTGGAGAGTAGGACCAAAATTTGAGAGGACCTCCTACCCTTTTACACCGGGCCCGTAGCCACATTTTGCCAAGGGAAGGGGTTCACCTTTTTGAAGATTCGGGAGTTTTTTGACAATTTTATGTGTTTTAGTTGAGTGCAACGGACAAGGCTGCCTTAGAGATGATCACCTACATCGGTTGTTCTCTATCCATATTGGGAGCTATTCTCACCATACTAACCTTTGTTTTACTAAGGTAAATACATTTCTCTTGTACTGAACATCAAATAGTGTATGGTAGTGTATGTATAAATGATTTTGGTATAGTTATATACCGAAGGCTACCTAACTACAGGAAAGATTTGATTTATATAGTTCTCATTATTTCTCAAAATATACAACAATTAGAAAATTATTTTAACTTTTTTGTTTTCACGTTTATATATCCACGGACTCATAAAACATACGGTTCAGATCCCATCTTCGCGAGTTCTTTTACGTTTTTGTGTTTCGTTCACACAGGCTGTTCACAGACAGGATCATGATCCACATTAACCTCGCTTTGGCGATCATCTTCTCTCAGACAATCCTCCTTCTTGAATCAACAATTCCACGTGGAACGGTAAGTCATTATTACCCGATCAATAGAAAAGAAGAATAGCTGTTTTTTTCTCAAAAATGCCATGGGTCCTTCATGAAAAATATGTACCGTATGCACGTATACGAGGGTTATCCCAGAAATAATGCACTATATGTTCTAACTATAAACTATTGTATGTACATGTAAGCTATAATCCATGATACATCCTCCTCCGAATGGAGAGAGCGCATCGGAACGTACGCATGCACATCTGCAACAAGTTCCTTTTCCAAAAAGGAGAACCTCGGGATTGTGTACATCGTATAAGAAGGTCTGTGATCGGAGGATTGACGAACTTAATTCAAAATTTCAATAATGTAATAAGTTAGGCATGCTGAATTCGTCCTTTGCCATTGCAGTCTGCTTGTGTGGCAGTGACGGTCATGTTGTTTTACTTCAACATGGCAATCTTCTGTTGGATGTTGGTAGAAGGGATTCAGATTTTCCAACAAGTGGTCGTTGTATTTGTCTCCGACAGCAAAATGAAAGTCTACTATGGTTTAGGCTGGGGTAGGTATTTAAAACATACACCATCGCCGTAAGACAAACCGCAAACCTTTTTTTTGCCTCACGGACATGTTTTTCAGCTTAATATGTAATTGTTTTTGATGTATTGCACTTTAGTGCATGATCTTTTTATTTGGATAATCTTTTCATTGATGAATGACACTTACATATGTCTGAGACATCTGTATGTACACGTTTTTGCGGTCCGTGTTTCTGTACCGCTCCGTACTAGTGGGATTACAGCATTAAATCATTAGTCACGTTTGACAGGAAGGATTGACCTAATTGTTGAACATTCATTGTGTTATGGCAATTACTCGTATTCCATATATCTACTCGTGCGTCTTACCTGCTATTTCGTATCATAATCATTTCTCTAAATGTCATTTCATTGTCGACCTATAGATCTAGGTGTAAATTCTTCTATTGTAGGAATACCAGCGATGATTGTATCTGTGGCATGTGGTCTTATCAATAAAAACCTTGGACAACATGGAGTGTAAGATTAGAGTTTTGATATATCACTTTATATTTTGCAATTAAGGCTTTATATTCAAATCGTTTCAATGATATCGAAGGTACACTGTTTGCGCTTTTCAGTATCGGAAGTTTGATATGTGCGCATAATTTATAAGGCAATCCTAGTATGAAAGTGATATGTTTTAGGTGTTGGCTCTCTCCGAGAGATGGTTCTATTTGGGCATTTGCCATACCAGCCCTTACAGTTTGTGTGGTGGGTATATCACATTCAAGTATATCATGTGTAAAAGTATTAATATACAGTGTAAATATTAAGAATGATTGTATCAGTTATATTGAAATCAAGGAAATGAATGGTAAGTTGGAAAATAGTCCATACATATGAGGAGCTGTGTACTTTTCTTTTTAATTATCACAATCAGAGTGCAAGCAGCAATTTAATCTACTAATTGTAATACACAAAGTCATACGATACACATAGCGAATACAATTTAGTGAAATAACGATCACATATTGTAACCAACAAAATAGAATTTCATGATATATATTTTGTTCCTGTACAGTATGTTGCATTTAGATTAACTTAGTGATACTTGGGAGAGTTCTACAGGTCATATCAAAATTGAGTTCATCCATGACTGGGGATCACGTGACAAAGCTAACCCACCTCAAGTAAGTTAGAACGTACAATCGCCTTAGAAACTTTAAAACTACACTCCCAATCATAAGTTTGGTAAGTTTTATATTGGTTTTCGTGTTAAAACCTGACTATGTTTCATTTTGCCTTATTGGAAATCTTAGTTGACACGCTTATAGAAGGGTGTGCATATTGGAAAAACGATGTAGCAAGGATAAGCAATATTTGACTCTGAACTACCGAATTAATAGTTTTACTGAACGGAACGAGAAGTCACCCAACAAAACCCACCTTAAAACACTTATGCCTCCTGTTTCCAGGAATACAGTTAAGGCGTCCGTTCTGCTTCTCCCTATTCTTGGTTCAACGTGGCTGTTTGGAGTCCTTGCTTTCTCCAGTCACACCGTTGTGTTCCAGTACATCTTCGCCACCGTCAATTCGCTTCAGGGACTTTTCATCTTCTTCTTCCACTGCATCGGGAGCAGTGAGGTCAGTATACCATTATTATGTCACCACAAGAAGTGGTGACAAATTGTTATAGTCTGCAACTTTTTGCCCGGTGTTCGGCTGTTGGTGGTCGGCGACTGTAACAACGTTCGGCGGCTGAGGTCTGTAACAAATGACAGGTGGTGACATTTTGCATGTTAATGCCTCAAACAATATTGGTACGCCCATCTCCATAAGTTTGACAACCGACATTTCCCACGTGGCTAGCCTTTTAAGCGTTTTTATGTTTTATCTTAAATAATGTTCCCCACAATACAGGTATGGTATGCACTGGCGGATTAGGGGGGGGGGGGGGGGGGCTGGGAGCCCGGGCCCCCCCTCCTTGGGTGGGCCCAGAAAAAAAAAGTTGGGCCCAAAAATTTTTTTGGGCCAAACAAGGCCTTCAGGCCCCAAAAAGTGGGCCTTTTTGGTCATTACTGGGCCTTTTAAGGCCTTATTTTTTAATTTCAGGCCAAATTTTGAAGAAAATGGGCCTCAAAATTTCAAAATTTTGTTCTCTGACGTTTTGTTCTCTGACCTAAAATTTGCCCCCCCCTTGTTGGTTCCTAGATCCGCCCCTGGTATGGGAAGTGTTTTTAGATAGTCATATCTTTGAAAGTAAGTGTTTCTGACCATAAATACGATATTCCCCATTGAAAGAATATGTTTTCCTCCAAGTAAGGTACAAGTATGAGTTTTTCATATTGGCGTCCCCATCTTTACATAGCCCATGGGTATCATTTCGAAATATCGTTCGAAATACCACCCACGTGGCTTTATTAAGACGAAAAACATAGTTTTTATTCATTAAAACGCAAAGGCGTTTTTAACGAGAAAATCAGTTACATGGTATGTACGTACTGTAAACTATAGAAAAAGTATTTGAACCAGGAACATCACTAGATACTAGTAGATAGCCTACATGTATTAGCCAGGTTACGTAAATTCTTGGACACCCAGTATAAAATTAGTATCATGTTCTCTCCAGATACTCTAAATGTACTCACAAATACATAAAAACATGATAAATGTCACATTTAGATTAAAAAATAGTAGATGCAACCAAAGGCGTATTTCTATAACCAGTGACATCTTTAATTCAATGATTTTTCTGTTTTTAGGTGAGAGAGGTGTTCATGAGACGCAAATCAACGTGGGAGTGGAGTAGAGGGTTAACTGTTCCTAGTGGTAAAGTGGAACCTATAGATGGCTCTGGTACAAGAAGTTCATCCGTCCAAACTCCACAAATCATTACTGCCCCACAGATGACAAAGCCGCCACCTTTATACTGATTGTTCTCAGATTCATCACAAAAGAGCATATCAATCAAAATATATGTACAGGGTGGTCATAAAATATGTACTGTATACATTTCCGAACCTGTATATATTGGCTCTTAGTAGACACTGGCCTAAAACTCCTTTAGATTTTCAGGCAACTATAAACATGGTCGTATTTAAATATACCGAGTGTTCTCAGGCTCATTGCAAAAGAGCATATCAATCAAAAAAATGTTTCTTATAAGACATAAGTCCAAAAATCTAATTATAATTTTAGACAACTATAAATATGGTCGTACATGTACTAGAATAGTATATTTCATAACCTCACTTTAAGTTTAGTTATAGTTTATATATACAAGCTATATAATATACAGAATATATATTTAAACGATAGCCTATAAGATATAGAAATAAAATATATACATATATTTATTTATTGATTTCTCTATTCACCCTTTATAGGGTGTTAAGAGTAAAAAATAATTACAAAGTTTTATTAGTATTTTTTTGTTTGGATTCATTAATTTCTCAAACGAGAAATCTCGCTTGTACCCCATGTGACAACAAATCCAGAGGGAAAAATATTTGTGCAAAATTTTGCAAAAGTATTCAAAGCTGTTCAGTCAAAGTCAGTGGTGGATTTTTTCAATTTGTGAATCACAGAACATCACAGATGTGTAACAAAATTATCATAAAAGTTTCACAGTAAAAAAGATGTTATTATGGGGCCCAGTGTACAGTATCTCATCACCCAAAATATGACACCATGCCAACGTGTGCGTAATATGTATAATGACATTTGATTGGATGGTATATGGATTGAGCGAGTCCATTACAATTAAGAGATACCTTAAGTGCAGCTGGGTGAACAGAGTGCTGAAGTAAGGACATTTAGAGCAACTAAGTTTATTATATTTTGCGATTCAGTACATCCAGTGCAATGACTCGGCTGTTGAGTGCAGATTTTAGATCTTCGCATTTTGTTCGGATAACTAATAATAGCACGTTAACCTCATCAACTACCCATAGTAATGTGAAAACAGGAAAACAAAACTTGATTCTATGTCAGGTTGATATGTCAAATGTTATTGTTGATGTGAAATAGTTTAACATGATGACATGTGTGCTATTATTTAGTTATTATGAAAGACATTTTCGATGTAGCGGTTTACGTTACTGTCGTTTATAAGGACACAAAAAGATGATTATGAGCTCTTATAAAAAATACAAATGATGAAACACCACTTTATTAATAATGATACAATGTGATCATTGTACATATTTATTCATAAAATGTGATCACTGTACATATTTATTCATAAAAATGTTTATTTGGAAGTGTTCACTTTCCTTCCATATTTTGTAAATTATTGTACTATTAATTGTAACCTGCAACCCCTAAACATGATCTGTCCAATTCGATCCAACGATATTTGTGTTATCTCCTTAGCAACCACATGCTTCAAGTGCATTGTTTATTAAGTTCACCAGCTTTATGTATTTCAACATTAATCACAAGGCTCAAACAGAATCTGAGGAAATTGCTGATTTAGTACACGTTGAATATTTGTTAGAACTTACAATGACAATGGGGGCATTTGCACTAAGAGGCAAAATACAGGGTGGGTCAAAAAAGTCCATATTTCTTAATTGGCAATAATTTAATTATGCAAACTGTTCTTTAATTTTTAGTTGGAGATGCGTGAATCATAAGAAAATATTCAGTTGTCATGATAATAAATATTCTAAGCAATTTTAAACAGACAGTAGCCGAGCCTTAATCAGCCCAAAATCAGATAAAGGATCGGAAATGTGACCTTCACCATGGCATAACTTGTGGGCAAGTAGTAAAGAAAACAATAAAGCTCGTTTCAAATAATGAACATATTGCCTTTAACACGTTTAATAACCTCATTTAAAGAGGTGGATAGGGAATTACAGCAACTTTATCTCATAAACCATGGACTGGCATATGCTTGTAGCAAATTCGCAAAAAGAGTCCATGAAACTCTGGGCCTTTTTATCTTCCATTTCAAAGGTAATCTGATTAGGTTTTCCTTTACCTGTTCATTAGAGGATTGAAGATCAATGAAAATATTCCTCTTGATGAGACGAACCAACCATGAAAACGTTACAATATTCTTTGTGTAAGTTGATGCATTTCAAACCAGTGCTTACGATTTATTAACGATGGTGCAGTGAACTTAGATGTCACTTTGACTTGGAATAACAGAATCACTTTAAATTTAATACATGAAATATATTCGTTAGAGTTTAATATATCTCTTGTCAACAAAAAATGTATTATTATATTATGTATATCATCATTCTTAATAAACAAAAACAATCCAATTTATAAATTCTTGAGTTGATGAGATTTGTCAGAGTTTAATGTTTTGTTGTTGAAACATTGATCGTTGTGCTACTAATCACACAAACACAGTGCATGGAAAAAACGCAGGAAAACACTGTTTCAACAAAGTATGCTATAATATTATACAGATCCTATTAAGGTAGTTGTACATCCAGAGGTCTGAAAATGTATTTTTCATAAAACGTTCGTACCATTGATTATAATCAATTTTGAGCTCAACCATTTTATCAAAATAATATAAAATTGTAGATTACAAAGATTTTAATATTCATAAATATATAAAAATACATTGTACATGTATTACAGTAGTTCTACTTTGTCAAACATTGACTCAATTGAGAGATGAAAGACCAGAGGTATGCAGAGATATTTATCTTTTTATCAATTTTGAATTGTCCATTTATTCGATTGCTGCTCAGGTTGTAATCCCTGCTCCATATTAGCCTGGACCAGCTCATTGCTATACATCTGAGGGAGTGAACCCCCCGGTTGTTGTATTATAACAGGTTGCCCCTCAAGTGAATGATGCTGAATATAACCCTGGGGGTGAATCCTAATTTGCTGGCCAACAATGCCATGATTTTGCTGGGGGGATTGATCAATATGTTGTTGTATTACAGTACTTTGTGAAATTTGATCCTGAACAGAATGATCCTGGGGATCTATAGGTTGTAAAGTTCCATCATCGGATAACTGGAAAACTTTGTATTTTTGAGAGAATAACTGCCGGTTTTCCATTGGAAGGACCATACCAGTAGGGACATCTATTGTAGGTTGCTGTACTACAACTTGACTTGCACCTGGAAATAATGTTAGAAGTTCAAAATGATGTTTTTTAAAAAAACAATTTGTAGTACAGTACTCCCTGTTAATTTCGCAAGTTTTAATTTTTTGATTTTACCACAATTGAAAATATAGCGTATACCGTATCTAAATTCCAAGCGTACAGTATTTTCACTTATTATGTAAGCTTGAAATTTACTTCGAAATATGTGTACTCTTATAGACAATCATACAGTAATAAATAATCATTAGGTATAGTATGTTCATCATCAGGCCTAAATGATGGTGAATATAATGTTAATTGAGTAAAATTGATGCACTTGAACAAAATACAGTACATGAATTGTCAATAAATCCATCTCCTGAGAATGACCTGCCATTTTATTTCTCTCTCATTCATATATAAATCCAACTTCCAAGAATGACTTACCATCTTGTTTCTCCCTCATGGCTTCCAAGGCTGCTTCAATGGCTCCAAGCTGGCTCTCCTCCTGAAGTTGGGTAGGGTCAATGTTAATTGTAATGGTATCAGTATTCCCAATGGTGTCTGTAGTACTGGGAATATTGTACACAGTAGCTTGGATGGCATCAGGTGCTGGGTTCTCTTCAGGCTGTGCAATCTTAAAAAGAAAGGTAGAGTATTCATTTTATGGTTTTGTCACAGGCTTAAGGTTTATAGAAATCATTTTTAAACAAAGATGGCATAGTAATTGATCCGTGATAATACTGGATTCTGCTGCTGCGGCCATCTTTATATTGGCTCAAAACTTATAACCATAATATGTCACCACTTTTTAGTGGTGACATTAAAAAATGGAACCAAAATCAACATTGTGAGATGTTAAGATTGAAGAGGTTTTCGTATATACAGGTATGTATAGGAAGTCAATTTAGTCCCTAACACACATGGTTACCTGTTTAGTGTTGTTAACAGGCTGTGTTCCAGTGTTATGTGCTTCAGCCTCGTGTTTCTCCAGACGTGACTTGAACATGAATGTCTTGTTACACTGCTTACATTGTAGTAGGCCCTGGCCATGCACGGACATAGTGTGTTGATGTAGGTTAGATTTGCTGGTGAATAATTTCCCTACAGAAACATCAGAGATAAAATACATGAAAGCATTGGTGATGGTGTCCAAATACCAACGATTTATTAGTTTTGTCTGAGGTAAGAATGATTTTTTTGTAAAATGTTGATTTTCTTGCAAAATCAAGTGATTGGAAATTCCACATTTTCCAATTTTCGTTTTAAATGGGAGAGAGAGCAAACCAATTTCATTTTTCCTCATTCAACTTAATGTTAACCTCACTAAGAACACACATATTGTACTTGATTGATTTTTGTCTTCCAGTAATACATGTCATTTATAAATACATTCACATCTTGCATCTTTAAAACTATCTCATTTCAAATTTCAAAACTGTTCTTTATCTACTTACCACAAAACTGACAAGGTATTTTGACCAGTTTATGCCGATCATGTATAGTAGTAACATGCCTCTGCTTATTATGGCTTTCATGGAATCCTTTTCCACAATGTTCACAATGGAACCTGAATTCTTTAGTGTGTGTAGTCAAGTGTTTCTGGTAGGCATTCTTTGTAACCAGCTACATGTAATAGAAAGCACAAGTACATGTAGGTTGCTTTTGGATATAACTCAGTGAAGTTTGGGAAGCCCCCAAAATTTGAGTTAGGTAAGCCTTCAAAACTGCCTTATTCATTCAACATAAAAATAAGAATAATTGAGGCACCCATAATACTATATTTATAATTAGTACAAAGCATAATACAGAAACCAACATTAGGAAACAAAATTATACTAATCCCTTAAAATCACATCCTCATGATATTAGATATCTGACAAAGACTTCTTGAATTAGAAACAAAAGTACAAATTTAACATATTATTTATTTCCTTCATAATCAAAAAAATACACAAAATATCTACTACCAATTGCCATAGGCATTCTAGGTAGTTTAAACTACGATAGAGGATTAATTACAGTAATCATAGATGGTTTATTGGTAATGTGAGAGGTTGGGAGGGAGGGGGGGGGCTGTCACAAGATACAAATGAGAATAACATTAATTTGATGGAAACTTATAAAAGTACAAATAATTTTCAACAAAAATGTTACCTTTCCGCATATATTACACTTGGACTTCTTCTGTGTGTAATGAATTGAGTTGATGTGCTGCCACAGTGTATTACCACAAGCAAAGTCTTTACCACATAGATGGCACTGTACACGCTCAGCAGTATGGGACCTCTGGTAAAAGGAAATCATGAAATGTTTACAACACTTCATTTTGCTTTTTACATATATCAGTACTATTGACAGCTGCTACAGCACTCTTGACCTCTAGTGAGGTACTGTTGACTGCTACTTCATGCAGTAGCAACAAAAATGCAGTTTTGCAAACAATGTGTAATAACTACTATTGTAAGCATTTTAGTTGAAGAAGGTTGATCTACGATATATGTCTGTAACATGTATGCAGAATATAAAATAGTAAAGTATGTGATATTGGTCTTAAAGTAAAACATTCGTTAACATGTTAACCTCTCTGTTTATTCTACCAGAGATTACCTAACTCAACTGTAATACTTGAAATAATTGTTGACTTCAATCTCTTTCAATAGTGCTTCACCAATTTTGTAATTTAAACATCTAATAATTATTTTTGTCAAGGGTGGTTCAAAATTGTATATAACATAACATACCTTTAAATGACAGGTGAGAATCTTAGAGGTGCGGAATGTTTTGCTACATATAGGACAAGTCGCTTGTAGTCTCAAGGACTCTTCTTTAGTACAATGAATCTCCTTCATGTGAACTTTGAGATGGTCCCTGCAACACATTAAAAACTGTTAAAAAACCATAAGGACAAAATTGGGTTAAATACATGCACAAGATGTCTGAAATCTTTAGGACTCTTACAGTGAATCTCCTTCATGTGAGCTTTGAGAAAGCCCCTGGAACACATCAGAAAGTTCCCTTCCCTTCAGTCAATAGGGCAGCCACAATGGTTGAAGAAAAAATCTATTGCCAATCAATCAAAACAATGGATAACCATGGCAAATAAGAGAGACTACAATCGTTTTTTCAGAAAATTAAAAAAGAACATTTGACTTTGGGCATTGAAAAATTCAAAGAATTGATGAGGAAATCAAAGGCTGGATAATTTCAAATGAATCAATATCACTCCAGATATCCAGAAAATAGTCACAGATATTGAAATTTTCAGATAAAAAGAAGAAAATTTTAACATAGAGTTTACTTACGAACAAGCAAACTCCTGTTCGCAAACTTTACAAGTAACTCTCCTCAAAATCTTCAGCTCCTTTATGTATATTGGTGTCAAAGGGTCATTTGGATGCATTTTCGTCACATGATCAAACACTCTTGAGTAATCTGTCAATTTATTCTCACAAATACGGCAAGCAATGTTCTGTTCTCTGCAATTTTTCTTTTCACATCTTTTTTCAAGTTCATCTATAAGGATCTGGTACTTGGCGTGTCCTTTATGTTCGGAAATGATGTGACGCTTTATTGGTTCAGAGTTTATGTATCCATACTTATATGGTTTCATTGGAAGGAAATATTTTGAGCATAGTCTACACTGGAAGCCTTTAGTGTCTATAACTTGCTGATCTGCTATCTGCAAGGAGTTTTCCAAAGCTTTCGATACTTTTGGATATGTATCAGTTTCAGTATTGTGCATGAGGTTGATATGGTCATTAAGTTCAACAATATTCGAATGAACTTTCAGACAGAATTTGCAATGAAGCTTGCTATTTGGATCAGGTTGTGAAACATGCAACCATTCTAAATGCTCATTTGCATCATCTTGCGTTTTGAAATACAAATCACATGTTTCACATTTAGGATGTTGATTGGTTAATTGCTTAACATAACCGTCAACCTCCTCTTTCTGGTCTGTGTGCTGTTCATCCATATGAACCATGAGTAATTTGGGATGAGAGAAAAACTCCCTGCATATTTCACACTGGATTGGTATCCCACCCTTTATTTTCTTGTATTTCATTTTACTTTCTTTTTCATTTGTAATCCTAGTCTGAATTTCCTCCAAATATTCAGAATCCTGTTTATGGTGGCGCGAAACATGCAGCTTTAACATAGGGTCTGATTTAAAGATTTTACTTGTATCACAAAGTCTGCATTTTACAGATGATTTCTTATTGTCAGGTGAAGTTATGTTTTCCTGGTTTTTCTTATTGTCTCCTTCTTCAGTTTCTGAAATGTATTGCGACTATACATTAGAGGTGTCAAGTATTAACCGGTTAACCGGTTAACCGCCGATAATGCCTTGACCGGTCTGTGTTTTTATGGGCGGTTAGTTGACCGTGTATAATTCCGTTATTTCCCGCGCTTATTTTGCATGCTAATCCGTTTGGTTTTAAAGTGTCAGTTTCACGTAAGCTACTCATACATGTCATAAGTCCGATAACTCCTTACAAACATCCAATCAGCAACTTTAATCCCTGCCACATTGCTTTCCCGCGCTTACTTTGCATTTTAATCTGTTTGTTTTTCAAGCGTCAGTTTCATGTGAGCTACTCATACATGTGATAGGTCCGATAATTCCTTACAAACATCCAATCAGCAACTTTAATTCCTGCCACATTGCTTTCCCGCGCTTACTTACATAGAATAGAGTAAAGCTTGACGAACGTAAAAATAAACGCCGATAAATCATTTTTCCAATTTTTTCAACTTTCAAGATCGAAGATGAAGATTTCATTTGAAATTATCAGTTCAAATTTCCCGCCGGTTAACCGACTTTAACCGGTAAAAACCCCGGTTAACCGGTTAATGCTCAAGCGGTTAATTGACACCACTACTATACATAAATCCTCTTATTTTGGTATTGTAGCAAACAGCACTCTTTTCTTAATACTTGTGCAGTGCAGTTTGCAAGTGTATACTTTTACCAAAAGAAACATTTGCAGAAAGCAGCTTCTTGAAGCTATTGTGAATTTTCTAATTTTCTAATTCAGTTTTTTTTAAAAAGCTTGCAAGGTTTTTAAAAGGACTTGGAAAATTATTTGTTCATTTAGGATGTCTTTAGAAATGAACTTGGCTTTTAAAAAGCTTAGAATAATATTTTTCTCTAAATTTTATCAAAAAGCTTGAAAATGATTCACTTCATTAGCTGTTTAGAGAGGTTTGGAACATTATTTCTTGTTTTTAAAAGTTTCTAAAAATCTTGTAAAATCTTCTTAAAAAAGGCTTGGGACTTTATTTTGTGTTTTACCTTCATTTTCTTGATTCTTAGCTTGCAATGCAGCAGCATCCTTAAAACATAAATATATAGAGAGTTGGTTAACTCACAACATTGAAAAATAGGACAATTTAACAATGAGCAGATTGAATAATAATTTGAACCTACAATAAATGGATTCAGTAATAGATAGACCATGGTCTCATTGGAATTATGAAATCTTTTAATGCATACACTGACATCAAAGAAGTATAAATGTACATGTACTTGTTCTTATCAAAACGTGCAAAAAATTGTATTTTTCAAAAATGAAAAAATTAATCTTTTTGTTTTATTTAACAAAGTTGGAGTACCTTTGAGTTGTGTGCAATATCTTGATTATTTGCTTCACTTGACTCTGTGCGCTCAGCCAGACAGGAAATATCTTCTGGCTCAGTTAAGGGCTTTGTATTCTCTCGGATTTTGCTTTCCTTAGAGTCTGTGTCTTCTTCATCAGAACCAGTGTGGAACTCATCGTATTTCTTTGATCTTGTTGTTCGCCTTCGTTTTCTTGGACTTGATGAATTTGTTTTAACTGAATCAGGGGCTAAAGACATAATGGTATATTAGGATGAAAATGTTGAGCTCAGTGTATTATCCCATGATGTTCCTTTCATATTTCATAGTTAAATGGTGCTTTAAATGATTCAAACCAAACTTTCAAAACAATTGATTGGCAATTGTTATCGGCTTTAGTACAGCATTGTATCTTTAAAAGCTGTATCTAGTAATTTAGTGATGAACTGCCCAAAATTGTTTTACATCTTTTACAAAAATGCCATCTTTATTTTCACACAATATTAAAAGTGCATGTACAGTAATTATGGGATAACATTTAGGGATGTTGACTTTACTACAGAGTTGTATATACTACAGGTACCTTTCTGAATCTGTTGACTAGTTAGATCACAAGAGACATCACCCCCAGGCTCAATCCTATGACTGTCATCCTTGAAACAAAGACAAACATTTAACTATTAAGTGCTGTTGAATCTGTCCATGCAAAAAAGTATAAATTCTTAAGAAATACAAAGTAAATATGGTAGATCCCAAAAAGAGTCAACTGATTCCAGATTAAATAATTATCTTACTTTGGCAGTTCCAACATGTCAAAAGGTGCTGTCTGTTAAATTACATATATAAGAAAAAGTTGCTAATTTAAACAATCAATATGTAAAGATTGGACGCAGTGTTCTCCCAAGAAGTTTATTTCAAGTGGGTGCATTCTTGATTTCACAACTTAAACCAAATGTGGTCAAAATGCCAATTTTTCATGATTGTTTTCTCATTTGCAAGTTGGTGCAAATCAATTCTCATGTGGCATGCCTATTATTAAAATCTCAAGTGACTGCATGCTGGGGAGATCACTGAAATGAGACCTCAAAATATTACCTTGATCACTACAACTGGAATATCAGGGTCAGTGATGTCTAGGGATGTCTTTACTTTATCTAATGGTGCACCTAGAATAGAAATTCTGCATGTATTTTTACACAATATAAAACGCTTTCAACAAAATAGAAAAAAGATCAACATACTGTAAAACGGGTATTGTTAGCGAGGGGTAATTGTTAGCGATTGTTAGCGATCGCTATAGTTTCGCTAAAAATTCAATTCGCTAAAATAAACCGGGGTTAAAATAAACCAGGCGCTAAAATTTGCAAATTCCCGGGAAACAACAAGAATACTAGTATTTAAGGAGCGTTTCGTTCAGTGCTCGACCGAAAAATCAACGATTTTAAATGCTACCGTGATTTTGTGATTAGTCAGATGAGATTACAGTAGTTTGGACCAATACCATGTGCGTTAGAAGTCTTACATTTTGATAATTCCTCTGTCATGTCTGTTATTGATTCTTCTGCCATAAATGATACAATTTCTAATGCATTTCGCTAATTTGATTTTTTAAAGATTAATCTTCATTTCGCTAAAATTTCCCGCGCTAAAACCCCCTAAAATTGAAAAATCGCTAAAATTTCCCGGTGTCAAAATTACCCGTTTTACAGTATTGATTCATGAATTTACATTTTATTACAGTTCTAAAATTGTTATTGAATGTCCAATAAAATTCACATCATTTTTGCCACATGTACATTTATGCATAATTGTAAGACACAATATGATAATGATATCTCAGGTTTTTAAAGTAATACTGTTCTTATATCTGATCAGTGTTTTCAGGATCAATGAACTTACATCTCAGAGCTATATCATATTCCCCTTCAGCAATACATCGCACATACAGCACAACTGACTCAGTTTTCTGATGTAACACAATCAGAATTGGTTGTGTCAATAGGCAGCTCTTCACCTTATTTGCAACGACCTCCTTAAAGATGCCCCTCAGTGCATCATTAATGTATGTCATCTTTAGATATTATCTACATAGACACCTGGAAATAAGTTTCATAATAATAGCAACATTAAATCCCCCTTGATTTAAGGATTTAACACCTAGACTAACTCAATGCATTATCTGCTGAATCATTCATCAAAGGTGTTGGTTCCAATCTTTGAATGACCACGCAGGAGTAATGCAAAGTTTAGGAAACAAAGCCTGAGTGAAATGAATTAACCACAATGCAGTCTATGGGCTTAAATTATTTTCACACATTACAAAATATTTTCTAGAAATCACCTAAAAAGATACAAATTCACCAAAAGAACTTTTTTGCAAGGGTAAAGTTGGCAAAGTATCAATTTCAATCTGTATTTGATAGAGTTTGACAATTACTATTCAACAAGTGACCTTGGGATAATTGTTGGTTATATAATGCAGTGCAGTTATATGAAATAATGTGTTCGGATTGGCTGGAATTGAACACACCTCACATAGCTAAATGTTGGGCAGTATTTATGAATCAATGATATGAGGGTCTGTTGGTGAACCTAATATGTCTTATCGTGTAGACCCATAACTTCTACTTTACAAATATATCAGGCATCACAATCCTCACAACTTGATTTCATAGGTTGCAAATATCTAATTTATTTAGTTAAACAGAGCAGATACACTTAAAAGATAGGAGCATATGCCCTAGTATATTAAATAGTTCTCTGTGGTAAATTCAAACCAAACAATGAGACATGGGTCGAACTTCGACATACATGTATGTTACTTCATCATGGGGCTACTTCGACCATGTTGTTATTTCGACCATTGCAAATAATTAATATTTCTGTGGTCGGCAATCTTTGATAAGATCTCGTCTGTTCAAGATTTCGATTTATTAAAATTTTCAAGAAACAAATTTGCCGGACTTCGTGAATTGGAAATATAGACTAAAGGCATTTTCACGAATAAGTGACACTTTTCCATTTCAAAATGTCAAAATTTTTTTTTCAAGTTTTCCTTATAGTTTATGAAGATTTTTACACTTTCATATGTAAGGCTTTTGATGATGTAAAAATTCCTAAGTATCCGCATCTGCAAATTTACAAAATACTGTCATCTTTATAGGTACTGAAATTGGCATTACGGACAATTCACTCTCAATATGCTCATAAACCAACATTCAAAACAGGAATATTTTTGTTTCTGACATATTTTTTTAAGTCTTATATCATTGATAACACATTTTGTACAACAACTGGTTACAAAATATGAAGAAAAAGTAATATTTGTTTTGAACATATCTACCTCCTCACCCAATGAATTAGATTTTACAAAATAAAATCACATTATTAGATAAATTCACATTGCAGCCCCAACAAAAGTATCCAATTTTGTGGACCCTTTCCACGGTCTTTCAATTGCTATCCACTGAATTATCTGTGTTTGTTTCAAAATCTGTCAATTTATGTTTAAATGATGAAAGAGGTAGCATTACGGACACCTCAAATTTGCTCGTTTTAAATTCTTTTCAGTTTTAGGTCGCAAAAGTAAGTTTTGTTTGAAGATATATATATACAAAACCTTTTCGTAACAATTGTTTATCAAAATAACTGAATTACTATGGTGAATGAACTTTATTTAGCCCCTTTGCCTAGGTATACAACAAACATGTAGACATACATTGAATTTTACAAAGAAATGTATGATTTAACAGCATATACTTTACATTGAGCAAGATAACAAGAGGAAAACAATCTGTACCTGGGCTGAACAATTTAAGAAGTGAAATCACTTGGATGTCCTATTTAATTATTTAATTAATTATAGTAATTTTATCTCAAACATTATGGATATCTCTGTTCACCACTGATTACTATACCCTTGTTTGTGTTGCAATTTGGCATGTTTTGACAAGAATGTTATATGGTAATATCGTTCTATTTGAACCATATTACTATTTTAGTTTTGTCCGACAAATTAGTCTTGCTTCAAGACACATACCCGCCAAACCAGGCAATTCAAATCAATGAACACAAGCTTTTAAAGGAAAGAACAAGGCAAGGTAAAAATTGACTACACGACAAACTTTAAGGTGTAGGATATCAAATGACACAAACAATTTAATATAAATATATAAAATTGAAAATGAATTATACTTTTCATCCAAAATGAACTTGAAGCACTCTTGCTGCTTTGTTTTTGTGTACTTGCTGTTCTTTGGTCTAGTTGTCACAGAAGATTAAAACTCATCATCCCCACTCTACATTGTGTTTATATGAATTCAGATATCATGTTTTTGATGCAATGCTTTTTTGGTACTTCATGAGTCATTTCAGAATGTGTTAACAATGCGCTGAAATCTTTGGACTGGATTCTCTATATCACTATTATAAGATATATTGCCTTTTAAGTGCAACATTTTAAAAATTTTCTTTCAAGTACATGTTTCCTCTTATTTTCTTTTGCTGGTTTGTATTTTTAACCTAATATCTTTTTCCTCCTCTGCATACTTTGTTTTCTCCATTTTTTTATTTATACAGGTTATTTACTGCTTTGAAAATAAGTTATTTTTGCTTTAAAAATAAAATCAATAGGCTTGAGGTGTCCGTAATGTTTTTTAAAAACTATTTATTCTTTTTATTTGTTTCCATTCATTTCAAAAAACTAAATCTAGTTTTGACTCCATATGCCCAGTAAAGACTTGGAATTTAAAATCAATTTTAATTAATTTCTGCCTCATTTTTCATCAGTACTGATGTTTGTAAAATGGACCCCAGTAGCTTATGGTAAAAAAAATTTCAAATATTATCAGTGGCAATACCAGTTTAAATTTAATAAACATATGTAGAGAGACACTTGGGAAATATTCAACAGTAATTTTTGGGATAAAGTAAGCTAATTTCACAATTTGAATTGATAAATCATGTAGCATTACGGACACCTCACTACATTTCAGACACCATATCTGCTTCTGGATCAGAAAGTAAAAGGTCAATCATTGTTAAATTATTATTTGATTGATAAGTTGTGTTCATTTCATTAAAAAATAAGAATAGTTAAGATATAAGTACTGTGTAGATTGTAGAAACTTTGCCATTACGGACACCTCATGGTTTGTGACTCCTAAAAAATGATTCAGAACTTTTATTTGCTATTTGTTAATTAAATAATTCCAAGTGAAAAGCTTTTTACAAGTTATATATGAATATGTTAGCTATTCAAAATCATTATATATGAAGGGAAATACTCAGCTACAGATTTTCTGTGCTAAAAAACATAAAATACCTCTCCAAAAAATGGAAAAGTGTTACAGAGTAGTCATGATATAAAAACGGTTACAACTTGGGCTATATGACAGTGTTTGAAACAATTTAAAAAACATATTAAAGATAAATGATTTAGCTACCACTTTGTATTAGAATTGTCGATCTATCTATGATATTAGCCCTTCTGTGATCATGTAAACATGGTCACAATTTAAGTGAAATGCTTGTTACACCAAAAAACAGCATATTTTGGGTCATTAGTTGTTGATTTTTAAAATAAGCAACAACATATTGTATTTTTTCATGATGTGCATATAAGACCATTATGGTACCAACTTCTAGAAAGCATTGTTTTTCTTTTATACCTTAAATTGAATAAATAAGGATGCTGTTACAAAAAAATACCGAAAAGTGTCACTTATTCGTGAAAATGCCTTAAGCCAATGTCGAAATAACCCCATAGTCGAAATAGACCCATGACGAAGTAGCTCCATAAGTCTAAGTTTGACGCATCTCCCCTAGATTCTAAATGCCATGTCGACATTCACATTCAATTGATAAAAACATAAAAAAATCCTACTGTTACCTGTAGCCTAGATATCCAAATAAGGACAGAGCCGTGTAGCCAGTATTATCCACGTCTTTTTTCCAGACAGTTACCAAAACTTAATCATAAGTTGTTTTCTTGCAGATGTAGTATATCATGCACACAAATGTAGAAAATGGAGAAAAATATTTTTGAAATTTTCTGAAGTCATTGTCCAATGACGGGGTTGTACTAAATACCACCTAGGTGCCCCACACCTAGGTGCCCCACACCTAGGTGTCCCCATTGAAATGCCTTATTGGCATATTTTACTACTTTATTTTAAACTAACATTTTTCCAAGTGTTAATATGGTACAAAATAAAGTGTTTTCATGGAGCTTGTGTAAATATTTCTGTTTGGTTATGATATTTTTAATTTCTTAAAAAATTTTGATCGATGTCGAAAAGTCATTTGTTAGGATAATATTTCATAATTTGCTCACTATAAAATGCTACAACTTCACTATTTTAGCAACTAAAGTAACACATATTTCAAATGTGAATGCACACTTTAGCATAAACAGTGTTTTATTACGGTACTAATAAGTGACCATACATGAGCAAAATTCCAGGTGCCCATTTTTCTAACAATAAAACTTTTAACATTTTATTTTCGAATCTTCTTTGCAATATTCTCGACTACAAATTATGATTTCAAGCCTATTAAATGTCAAGTTAATATGACAAAGGAAATAATACTATATTCAAAACGTGTACGTGGTTTTAAATGAAATTAGAAATCCAGGTGCCTAAGGGGACACCTATGTGGTATTTAGTAACACCCCAATGACGGAATTAGGGAATCACGAAAATTGATATTCAATAAAATCATTCAATGCAATGGATGTAAGAATATTATTCTGTAACTGAATGTCCACATGAATAGGAATGTCGTTTTTATTTATGAGATAGCGTTTTGATATTGTTTGTATCGACAGCTTATCGCTATGAAAGCAATGATCTAAATGATGCCTACCAAAATGGTAATTGCGGGGTGAAGAACAAAAGGTCAAGGTCATTTAAAAATGGCAGGTCGAGTTTTCGGAATTTCGTTACAAAATCTGGTGCGTAGAGCATTGGTGGCTAATATACCGCTTAGTAAAAGTGGGCTACGTTTGAGGCAGTATTCTAACTTTCCTGCAAAGTCATTGTTATTATCGATTAGTAAGTTCAATGATACCAAAATTAATAAAATCTAAGTCAACTCAACCTACAATTTTTTGTGACATCACATCACATTCATATTGGAGATCTAATGTGATATTAGAATGGGGTATTTCAACAACAAACCCAATACGGATTAATCTCTGAATTCTTTTGGGCCAGATTGGTTTAATAACTTCCGTGCTTTGTATTCATACACAGCAAATTCAGGATTGAGCGATACTAATTTCCCTCGACAATATGCGACAGATACTTGACAGTAATATAGCAGCACCTACCATCATACGATTCCACATTCTTGTGTGAACTGTTCTTTTATACTCCTCAAAAAAAGTTAAAAACCATGTGAATGGATATGTACCTTGACTCTATTCTCTATATTTCAGGAAATAATATTGTTTTCCTGGTGATATTCAAAAGATCAACAGGGAGAATAGAGAATAGCATGCATCTCATTTAGTGCACTAGTCTTCACTCTCTTTACCTGGCAATATACAGAGAGAGAAGGATAAAGGGGGGGGGAGTACAGGGTCTTTTAAGCAAGACTATTAGTGCACTGTCAATGGTGTTTCATTCAGTGTTGTCAAAAGTTTCAATGTTACCACAATTTGAACCAAATTTTTCCAACACTGTCTCCGACCAAAACTTTTGATTTTACATGAACGATATCAAAGACAAATGGGGATATGGGATGATGTGTTTTTATTCATGAGGTTCGTTTGCTTTCTTGGATCTCATTATTTTACGAGAAACATTACAAAATCAGGAATTAATTTCATGCACATGAAATTTACTTGATTTGATTTTTATGTCATCACAAGTAGTTGTGACATGTTGGTATAGTCTCCAACTTTTTGTGGAAAGTAAACGGTGGTCAGCATTCATCAGTTGATGTTTGGTGGTCAGTGTTCAGGGTCTGTGACAAATGGCAGGTGGTGACATTATGCATTGTTTTGCTTTGTTAGCGGACTATGATAAGAAGTTAAACACACATACAGATGTCAGATAGTGCAGACAAGGTTTAACTTGTTGATCTACGATTAGAATCGATGATGAATGATGCATCATGATTTATTGGTTAAGTGATGATAAGCTTATTATCAATGATATGAACAAAACTCAAAATATTTGTGAAGTTATACACAGATTGGTTTCTCATTAGATGAATTGTAGTGTTGCATACACTATTTTCTGAACATTATTATTGTATAATGCATGATATTGCTCTCTGTATTTCAGGAGGCCAGCCTGTTTTCCAGAGACACACACGAAATCTCTTCATTCAAACCCAAGAGACGCCAAATCCTAACAGCTTGAAATTTGTACCAGGAGTCCAAGTCTTGGATTCAGGGACTATAGACTTCCCATCAATTGCCAAGGCAAAGAATTCACCATTAGCGAAACAACTCTTTCGCATTCAAGGTGTATCATCCATATTTTTAGGATCAGATTTCATAACAATCACGAAACAAGATGATGAAATAGAATGGAAGTTGATCAAACCAGAAGTGTTTGCTGTTGTAATGGACTTTTTCGCAAGTGGTCAACCAGTCCTCACTGACACAGAAACAACACCAGATACAACAGCAATTCACCCAGATGATGATGAAACAGTTGCTATGATTAAAGAACTCTTGGACACTAGAATCAGACCTACAGTACAAGAAGATGGAGGAGATATCATATATGTGGGTTTTGATCAAGAGACAGGCATTGTTCAGTTGAAGATGCAAGGATCTTGCTCTAGTTGTCCTAGTTCAGTGGTCACATTGAAAAATGGAGTACAAAATATGTTACAGTTTTATGTTCCTGAAGTTCAGTCTGTCGAACAAGTTGAGGATGAAGTTGATGATGAAAATGAGAAAGTTCTCAAGGAGTTGGAAGATAAGATAGATGATAAAGGAATATAGCCTGATCAGGATACTATTTAGATAAAAAATGTATTTTAATTAAAATACAATGCAGTATCTGGAAATGGGGTGTTTCTTAATACATGGTGTCCCAAGAAAATTGTAATCAAATGAGACAGGAATTACTCTTTGTTCCTTCAAAAATAAGTTGAATTTTCACATGACAAAGAATATTAATTTTTCAGTTTAGCACCGAAAAATCATAGAATTTTGTAAGTTACTTCTTTAGAAATTTGATATTTAGATGACATGTTCTAAATGACCTCCATCATGATCAATGTAGAACAGATAGCGATTCCAAACATGAAAATGGGTGATGGTACAAGCTTTTCTAAATAACGTGACCTGATATAGCTTTCAGATTTTTATGATAAATGAATTATCTGTCAGATAACTGAATGTTCAAGAATATTCCTTCACTCAGAGTTATTTGTACAACATTGAAATATGGGTGGAGGGCTATACTACAACTAGCTTTTTTCCAAAACTAAATAGATTTACCGGGTGAAACTATCAGATGTTTATGATAACTAAATAGTCTGTCCAAATTTTAAGAATATTCCTTCATCACTCATGGAGTTATTTCATGTTCATCTCAGTACAATTTTCGTGACACCCTGTACATACAGGGTGGGCCAAAAAAAACCACCCCCCTAGCCATTACTCCTGATAAATATTTATTTTTTAACATGTACACCAACAATGATATGTCATTTTAAAGATAATTTAATTTGCAACAAAATGATATATAATAGCACCATTTTCAACAACCCCATATAGAAATATAACCAATTATGTGACATGGGGGTCAAAAAACACCTTTTCAATTTTCATCAATTTTGCGAGCAAAGGCCTATTTCTACCAAATTTTACTGTTTAGCAAAAAATTGCAACACCGCATGAGTCTTTCATAATTGGATATTATATATTGTTTTCATTCAGTTTTTGAACCATGCATGCTCAATAAACATGTGTATGCTTATAAAACAAATTAATTTCCTCTTCAGTCTGTTCAAATATGGCTCAATAGATCCACCCCCCAGACCCATCCTCTGATCAAATTATTCGCTTAAGACGCGGAAGCCATTGGTTGATGGCATAATTGATGGATGTATGCGGAAGTACCATTCAACTGCTAGTTATTCTTTCTTTTAGTTCATCTACATCCCTGATAGGCTGGGTATCTTTAAATACCAACTGTTCTAGATACCCCCAGGTGTGGTAATCAACATTATTGGCATCTGGACAGCCAGTAAGCCATTTGTCCGGGCTAGAGATGGTGTCATTTCGAATCTCCAAAACTCCAGGGTAGCATTGAACCTGTGTGATGAAGCACTTTCCTATCAGAAAATGAAATTTCTTTCACATGTTTCTATATCCTTGAGGAGTCCTTTTTAACACCTCATGTCATTAACATTCAGAGTATATTTTTGCTCCTGGTTCAACAAAAACAGGGCCTGTACGGTCTTTCCTTTTTGGGAAACACCGAGTAGACACCACTACCCTTTCAGAAAAATGTCATCTCGATTTGAGTAGCCTTTTATCGCAAATGTCCCTATTCTTGCTTACTGATATATAGAGTCTATCCTGTTGATTACATGTATAGTACTTGGGGCATTTAGAACAGTTGGTCTATGAAGATCACTAGGCTATCAGGGATGTAGACAAACTGAAAGAATGAATAATTACGAGTTCGATGGTACTTCCACAGAGATCCATCAATTATACGAATGGCTTTCGCGTCTTTAGCGAATAATCCGATCAGAGGACTGGTCTGGGGGGTGGGTCTATTGAGCCATATTTGGACAGACTTAAGAAGAAATTAATTTGTTTTATAAGCATACACATGTATATTGAGCATGCATGGTTCAAAAACTGAATGAAAACAATATATAATATCCAATTATGAAAGACTCATGACAATGTTTCAATTTTTAACTGAACAGTAAAATTTGGTAGAAATAGGCTATTGTTCGCAAAATCGATGAAAATTGAAAAGGTGTTTTTTGACCCCCATGTCACATAAATGGTTATATCTCGAGCCAGGGTTGTTGAAAATTGTTCTATTATATATCATTTTGTTGCAAATTAAATTATCTTTAAAATTATATATCATTGTTGGTGTACATGTTAGAAAATAAATATTTATCAGGAGTAATGGCTAGGGGGGTGGTTTTTTTTTGGCCCACCCTGTATATTTGTTATTCAATTATGGATGTAAATATGAAATAAAACTTTCAATATCATATCAAGGTAGTTATTCATTGGTAAAAGCTGGCTCCATGCTGTAGCAAAGGAGCAGTGGCTTGATTTGTGGTCAGGTGAGTGTTTAGGACAGATACCTTTCTTGATATTGCAGGTCTTAAAGATTAATAAGAATTAGATACTTTGTTTTATGTCCTGGCTAAATTCAAATCATGTGAGGGTTCAAGGTAATCAAATACACTCAAACTAAAACACCAATTTGTTTGCGAGGAATTGTCTGGGATTTCTGGCTATATAAGTGTATGATGTACCAATTTGCAGTGACAACGGACGCTATTAATACCATGGGCTTTTAAGAGAGTCTATTTAAAGCCTATGTTATTACATAATAGTATATAGTTCTATACAGTATGCTTTAAAGATGACCATAGAGAGAAAATGCACAATTCACATTCTCTAAAGTTTCAAGCCCACTAAGCTTATTAGTCAAGGTTGCATGGTTGCAATGGCCTTTATATAAAAACATAATTTGGATGGATTTACTGAATTATACCAATACAAATAATGCCATTTTAATGTGTTTTTGTTGCACTTTGGAACATAATTAATACTGTACGCCCGGTATTATTCGCGTGCGATTAACTTTCGCGCTTTTCGCGATGGTGTTAAAATCGCGAAAAATTATCGTCGCGAAATTGCCAATTAAATCCCCGGGAATTTGTTTTTACCCGGGGCTCTGATGCATTTCGTCAACTTCTGATCCCTCCATTAATGTAACAACATAGTAGACGAAAATATACAAAAATGTGTTTTTCTAGGAACAATAGTGTCTAACAAGTGCTGCCGCAAACAAATAAGTGCGGGAAGAACAACACAACAAGAACAATAGTAAAAATCGATAACTTTTATTTCAGTTCAATTATATTCACATGCGGTACTAACTCACCGGGGCGTATCGAAACCAATACGCCCCGCAAAACCGTTAATTTGAATTTCAAATCTAACCTGTCTTTGGAATATCAATGATTGTGTCTCGCACTACACCGTTTTTCTTCAAACTTGTTCCATTAAAACCTTCACAGAAATACCTTTCAGTCGAGATATTGTCTTTGTATACAAAGTCCCTTGTTTTAGCGGCGTTTTGGTCCCCAGATGTGAGAAGTTCCCAGATGTGAGAGTTTATGACTACAAACGTGTATCTAGATAAGGTGTATAAGTCCAACGTGGCGTTTTGGAAGAGAACGGGGCGTTTTGATCAATTTCGAACAGATGTACATGTACCCTGCGCGCAGAGTCTAGTTATAAGCTACAAGACGAAGCTCTCTTTTAAGAAGTGGAGTCGAACGAATGCAAAGGGTAGAACAGATGCGTAGGACTTTTGGAAATCGGTGCATTTAATGTACCTTATAAATATGTTGATGCAGAGATGGAGGGTTGTAATGGGAGTCCTTGTGCAAAATGTAGGGGAGAATAATAAAAGAACTGACGATATATCGAGGCTTTTGGTTGAAATCTCTGAAGATTTGCATCTTCTCACATCTGGAGACCAAAACACCGCTAAAACGAGTGACTCTGTACACAAAAAGCAATGTCTCGAATGAAAGGTATTTCTGTGAAGGTTTTAATGGAACTTTGAAGAAAAACGGTGTAGTGTGAGACTCACAATCATTGATTTTCCAAAGAAAGGGTAGGTTTGAAATTCAAATTAACGGTTTTGCGGGGCGTTTTGGTTTCGATATGCCCCGGTGAGTTAGTACCGCGTGATTCATTTGCAAAAATGTTGTCTTCGGTTTTGAAGATAAATGATTTCCCTAACTCATCTATTCTCAGTCGTTGTAGATCAAAATGTTTTCTCGCTGAAAGTCGCGCATCTACTGTATGTCATACTGTACTTATTGAAAGCTTGTCTCTACATAACTTTTCACAACATCATGAACATCCTGCATCTGGAGTAGAGTCTGATTTATGGTATTGGTATGACCATTGCTGTGTGTGCGTCATTCTCCAGAATCATGCCTCGCGCTTTGGGACATTTACTTATTAATATCTACCCTTTGCATTCGTTCGACTTCACTTCTTAAAAGAGAGCCTCGTCTTCACTCTTTCAGTTTACAATAAATCTCTGATCTCACCGAGCCAATCAGAATTTGTCGTCGACTTCTCTAGAACATCCCCTAGACGACTCATCCTTTGGCATGTTTGACTAATTTAATGTTATAATATTATCAATTCATATTTGATATTCAAATGATTTTTAAATATTTTGCTTACGAATGTGATCAGTTGTAAGTTTCAAAAACATATATTACATGAATACTGGCACTCATCTCGATTATGCTGTTACCGAAAGGAATCGTATGCAAAGGTCAAGTTGGCAAAGCATCAATTTCAATCTGTAGAGATAAGTTGTCACCTTGACAACCATTCAACGAATGACCTTGGGTGAGTTATTGGTTATGTAACCCAGTTAAGTGCAGTTATATGAAATATTGTGTTTGGATTGGCTGGAATCGGACACACCTTTTCTAGCTATGTGTGGATTCAGTTTTAGAAATATATTGGGAACTATATGAATTCGGTTCTGATTCAGTGATGCGCAGAAGTTGTGTTATGCCGAAATGTCGTGGTTAAAAACCGAAAGCCACAAGAAATAATGAGTACTTATCCTTTTCAGTTAAGTAATATCATCATTATTTCGTTTAATGGTATCGACCAATCACATGACAATAGAATGGTAAATGATAAACATGAAACAATAGCATGTGTTCGTGTAACTATAAATATATATATTTTTCTCTTGAATAAAAAATATGTTTAATTGTGAACAGTATTTTTCTTCTTTGAAAATGTTATTGAGTACTGTTAATGCAACCATGTCTATCAACTATTGATAGAGTGCATCTCATTACAGTTTTATTATCATTATTCGGCAAAGCTTCGACACTACATATGTACATGGCCTTCCCATCACCTGGAATCGCCTCCGAACATTCCGGCAAATCTCGCCATGAGTTTCAGTCCATCAATACCGTGTCTCGTCATCACTCCGAGAACTTCTTCTGTTTCTTCGTTAGCTGTAAAAAGAAAAATTATTTATTTATAGTTATTGCACGATCCACTGGCGATTGCAACAGCATTGCCATTGATTCATTGTTAATAGTGGCCAATCTGAATGGTATCAAACTTCGGCGCGGGAGATACTTATAATGCGCAACTCTGGTAAAAACGAGCTATTTAGGTTTTTGGGGAATCCACTAATCATTTTCATCTTGCTTTGTTAAAGGCCCACTTTGCATATTTTAAACATTTCGTGGTAAAATAAAGTCTTACTTTTGAATTTCAAAGTAATTCCAATGGATTGATAAGTACTTTGTCTCTCATTTGACACCAAAATCATCTCAAATGGACCACATCGAAGCTTGCAATATGTTATCAAAAAATATTTTTGATCTCAGTCAAGCTTTATAAATCAAGTTTTCATCAATGTGAAAAAAAGATTGGCAAGTTGTTTGTATAACATGATACATTCATTTTTATAGAAGTGTCGCCATCTCTTAAATCAAGAGTAATTTAAAACATGCACTTTGTCAAAAATGTGCATGCACTACTAATGATCTCTGAACTTCAAATGCCGTTTTCTAAATTAGTTATTTTCCCTTGTTTTAATATTACTGCAAATCAAACGTTGTATCATAATTAATTGAGTGTGTGAGTAACATGTTTCAATGATTAATCTTTCTTTTTTCTTTCAAATTACGCATAGTGGAGCTTTAAATTAAGCACATAACAATTTCAATGAAATAGTGAAGACCTCTGTCCTCCAATGCGTCATTCAATTAAGTTAAAGGCTATCTATATCAGATATATACAACTTTTATAATAAGTGGTAAAATAATGGTAACTGTCTTTGCTATTTTTTGTCAATATGGTATATTAGACCTAGAAAATGAAAGCTTATGTATATACGTACTCATACACTGGCCAATACTTCTGCTCATGACGTAGCCACGACAGCAGACGATTTTGTCATCCGGGCACCCATTGAAATTAGGGACTATTTTATCACGATGGTCGATCACTACTTTACAACACCAGTGACTGGAATGAACAGAAGACAATGACAATAATTATCAGTATTTGATGCAAATGGACGATTTCGAAATTCCTTGCGCGTTGCAATAATATTTTTCAGATTTGAATTTTTTAACTCAAACAGTTTCGTTACACCAAAGAAGATAGCCTAATGCACTCCATGCAATGTGTATATCATTTGCGGATATACTTCGCTCTTTGTTCGAGTCAAATAACGATTCGTTAGGAGTTAAAGTTACCAAAAAACTGCACTAGCACATATTAAATGGTACAATAACTAATTCATAATATTAAACATATGTTCACTCTGGAAGTATTAGAGAGACCCAGAGTTCTAGGGACATTATAAACTTTGAAAAAACCCAAATCCCAGTCATTTCATATCATTCGTTAAGTGATCTACACAACTCCAATCGCTTAGGATTCAACGGATTCTAAGAGATCAAAGCTAATACAATATGTTGACAATCCCCGTTTCAATATTTGCCGCATAATCTTTCGGCCTTTTAGGTTATAAATTTGTCAATATTTTGATTTTCGACCATTAATGACGTACTTGGATCCGAGATCCATTGTCCCAGGATTCGTGACGCTATTTCCATTATTCTACGCCATGACTATGATTCCCATGGATTACTGTCCCCTCCATCTTCGCACGCTCCGGTCTTCACTGCGTTCATTCCGACTCGTCCCGACCGACGGGAGCCGAGTGGACGAAGATGGTCCCCTCTATACATCCATGCACAAGTTCTCTTAAAGGCCCCAGAGTTTAAATCACTTTGGCTTATATTTTAGTCTTACCCAATGTTATCAAAGTATGATATGTGGAACTTTTTTTTTAATTTCAAAAAGTGGTTTTTGAAGGACTTTGTTCGAAAAATCGTAATTTAATTAAAACTAACTTTTAGAGGTCACACGTACGCGTGTCTTTAATATACGTGTTTTTGCCGAAAAAATTAAGAAAATTGCTTCATAAATAAACGAGAATTCATTCATGCATGACAATGGTACAACGAAAAATGCATTTCAAAATTTCAGTTCTCGTAGAAAACAATGGTACAACAATATTTAAAAAATAATAATTTATATTCTTTCTTTTAACCTGGTTAGATAATTCACATTGATTTTTAAATTTTAGAATATTTAGAAAAGATTGATATTAAAAGTTATTTTTGAGTGATGTCACTTTTATTTAAAAAATGGCGGGAAATTTGAAAATCTGAGAAATGAAAAACCGATGACTTTTTTCAAATATTATTTTTCAAAAAATCTCTAAAATATCTTTTAAAGTCATACCAAATAATATATCGATGGTAAAACATATTTTCAAACAATACATGGGGACTTTAAAACGTGAAGGTTGACCTTACTGCCGTCCTATAACAACAGATCGGGCCTTTTAATATCTCGTGAATCGTGAACACTCTTCGCATGAACTTACGTGTTATCTTTTTTAGGTTCTTCAGCCGAACGCCTGAATCTTTCCAATCCAGCTTTGATAACTTCCCTTGTCTTTGGCTTCATCTCTGCATCTGTCTTCACAAGGTATTCCAGTTTTCTGATATTTGATTCTTGAGTCTGTTTTAAGGCAATTTTGTTGAGTTCCCTCTCTGAGAAACTATTACTGTGTCCATGACTAACATTGGTCAGTGACGCCAATATAAGAAGGCAACATCCAACGAAGAACCTGTGATCCATTTTGAAAATATTTAAGATTTATTTTATCTGTCTGTGTAGTGTTTCGATACAGCTACAGTCTGTAAACAGTTACACAGTAAGAATTATGTTTGCAAGTTGATATCTTTTAGGTTATTTATAAGGCTCTGCTGGAAGAAGTGACGTTTAGAATCTTAGAATTGAGGAAGATGAAGGACAAGTTTCAACCAATCAGAGGTCATCTGACAATTCAGAGGTTATATTTGCAAAACAAATAGTAATCTAAGAACTTCCCATTCCCCTGCAAATGATCATGAATGACTCCGTGCTTCATTTTTCACCCTTCTATCATTATCGGTTTCATTTCAAAAAATTAAATTAAACCCAGTGGACGTACATGTAATTGATACATTTTATATTTAAAATTCGGACTGAGCTACTTGTTTTGTTTTAATTGGACTTTGTTGATACAAATGTTTTTCTGATTATTCCAGTTAAGAGACGAGATTATGTGTATTTGTATTTGTTATTGTCAAGATAACCATTGAAATCGCTTTGTTTTGTTGTGAATTGCGGATGTACGGTTCTTGTTAGTTCGAATATGAAGCAACATACATGTAGGCCCCACAACTAAACAATTGAAAACAGAAGTCATTTCCACTCAACTTCAATGAAACGTCTCAAGAACGGTATATTATTTTTTTGAACATGTAACCTAAGCGTTACGAAAAATTCCATATTCAGTTCTAATTCCAAGAATTTTTCCCAGCGAATGGCCTCCAAGATATTAAATACCCCATCTAGCATTTTGCAATGTTCGACATAGGAAGGTCTCAAAATCTAAAAAGCACCACACTTTATCATTGTCATGTAATTGTCTAATTGTATTGTTGGGCTGGCAAGCCATACTTATTTTGTATTACGTCATTCTGGACGGTGATCGGGGCTTACGCCATATTGAAATAAACTGGACAAAGTCAGCCAATATATCTCTTAGTGTTATTCGAAATATAACGTAACAGAACATGGTGTCAGATGTGGGATGCGAGCCTACGGGGATATAAAACCACAGAGAAAAAGTAGGACATGTAAAACTTGTCTGAAAGTGACCAGATTAGAGGTATTTTTGGTGTTTAACTTTGATTGCCGGTGAAATTTTGTGCAAATTTCGAGCATGACATTTTTGCGCACGACACGGATTACATCATTGCTTCGTGCACACGACACGGATTACGCCATTGCTTCGCGGAGATATGCAAATGCCATGGATTGCGTCATTGCTGCTGTACTACAGTAAGAATTGGAGTCCAACTGATATTTAAACTTGTGAACTGTACTTCTACTCTTGTGTATTAACTATCGTGATTATATTGTCATCTTTGGATTATGATAATGGCCAAGATACAGCCTCCAAACCCTTTTAACTTTGATAAACCCAATGAGTGGATTGCTTGGAGAGAAAGGTTCCTGAGGTTTAGGCTAGCTACAAAACTTAACAAAGAGGATGATATTACACAAGTCAGTCAACTTATATATATTATGGGCCAATCCGCAGAGGACATATACAAACAGTTTACGTTTGAGCCCTTACCAGTTGCTGAAGATGGCCAAATACTTGATCCGCCAGACAACAGGTACAATTTTGATGCCGTTTTGGGCAAATTTGATAACTATTTTGTGCCAAAGATAAACATTATTCATGAACGAAGGGTCTTCAACCTTAGACAACTGGGAGAGTCAGAAACAATGGAGGAATATATCCGAGATTTGTATAAACTGAGTCAACATTGTTCATTCGTTGACAGAAACGAAATGATTCGCGATAAGATCATCGTTTCCATCAAAGACAGAGACTTGTCAGAGCGAGTCCAGACACTTGCCATGACGTGTGATCTCACCCTAGAGAAAACTATTGAACTAGTTCGTAGTCATGAACTTATAATATCACAGTCTCAAGCTGAAGGGAGACCTACTGATACAAGTAACGTTGATTTTGTTCGTAAGCGACCCCCGCAACAGAGAGCTACACGACAAAACTACAGAAAACAAGACCAGGCACAACACAAAGCAGACAAACACAAGTGTGACAGATGTGGCTACATTCACAGAAATGATAAATGCCCTGCTAAAGGAAAAACCTGTCATAATTGCAAGAAATTAAATCATTTCTCAAGTGTGTGTAAATCAAATAAGAAATCTGTTGATAAAAGAGTTGTACATGAATGTTATGATGAATGTGCTGAAGCCGATCTTGACACTACTGAGTTTCATGTAGGTGAGCTTGTGCATTTGGTTGATTCTGCCAAGTCACTGATTGTAGATAGGCACACAGAGCCACCATGGCGTGTGACCTTACCCATTTGTGGTAAATTGATGAGTTTCAAGATCGACACAGGCGCTGATGTAAATGTTATGAGTAACAATGCATATGAATGCCTTACACCAAAACCTAGGTTACAAAGGCATGATGGTCCTCCACTGAAGTCAGTAGGTGGGGTAATAGATACAAGAGGTTATTTTATAACAAATAGCAATCTTGATGGTACCAAATTCTCAATGAGAATATTTGTATTAAATGGGCCAAAGTGTGATAACTTATTATGTCGCAGATCTGCTAAAATGTTGAATCTAGTTACTAAAAATGTACATGTTGTAACTCAGACCTCTCAGAGCGAGGCAGGTAAAATTGGTTCTGATCCTGGTAACCATAGAAATAAAACTACAATGCCCCCTAGTAACAATACTTCTGAAATGCCAGGTCATGTAAAAGACCCCATAAATGATAATGAATTGTATGGGGAAGTGGGTACAATGAAATGTGAGCCTGTCAAAATTGAGTTGAAGCAAGATGCTGAACCATATGCTGTTGTGGTACCTAGGCGCGTTCCATTTCCTATAATGAAACCATTACAAGAAAAACTCGAATCAATGGAATCCAATGGTGTTATTGCCAAGATAACTGAGCCTACTGAGTGGTGTTCACCCATGGTCCCGGTAGTTTCAAAATCAGGAAAAATTCGCGTGACGGTTGACTTTAGAAAACTTAATAAATCCGTTAAGCGCGAGAGATTTGTCTTACCAACCATTGACTGTATATTACAGAAACTTTCGGGAAGTTCTGTCTTTTCAACCCTCGACGCCACAGGAGGTTTTCATCAAGTGCCACTTAGCGAGGTAAGTCAGCGTTTAACAACGTTTATAACACCCTTCGGTCGTTATGTATACAAGAAGATGCCACAAGGCATATCGCTTGCTCCAGAAATCTTTCAAAGAGAAATGTCGCGCATTTTGCAAAATTGCCCTGGAGTAGCAGTATTCATGGATGATATTATCGTTCATGGTAAGAATGTTGAAGATCATGATAAAAATCTCAAACAAGTCTTACAGAAAATCAAACAGTCCGGTCTAGTTCTCAACAAGGCGAAGTGTCATTACCGGAAGCCCGAGCTCGTATTTTTAGGGCATAAAATTAGCGCTAATGGAGTCTCGCCAGACCCAGCCAAAGTCGCCGCGATAGTGGAAATGGAAATTCCTGAAAATGTTGAAGAATTACGACGATTCTTAGGCATGATAAATTGGATAGGTAGGTTTATACCAAACTTATCTACAATGCTTCACCCATTGAATGAACTTTTGAGAAAATACACAATTTGGACATGGGGAAAAGCACAAATGGATGCCTTTGAAACAGTGAAACAGAAGGTAAGTAGTAAGCCTGTTCTAAAATACTACGACATCAATAAGCCATCGCGTGTTAGTGCTGACAGTAGCTGTTACGGGTTAGGCGGTGTCTTAGAGCAACAGCATGGAACAGATTGGTTTCCTGTTCATTACTGTTCTCGTTCATTAACTGATGCCGAACGCCGCTATGCTCAAATTGAAAAGGAACTTTTGGCAGGGGTGTGGTCAATGGAAAAATTCAGTCAGTATTTGGTCGGACTAGAATCATTTGTATATGTGACTGATCACAAACCTCTGGTGCCAATTATAAATCAAAAGGATCTTGATCAAACACCGGTGCGATGCCAGAGAATGCTAATTCGTCTCATGAGGTTTAATTGTATCGCTGAATACAGACCCGGAAAGACATTAGTCATAGCAGACACATTGTCTAGAAAACCGCTTAGTAGCATGGAATCAAACACTGTAGAAAGTGTGAAGGAATATGAGAGTTTCATATATGATAACCTACCAGTCGCGAAGTCGCGTCTTGAGAATATTCGTGACTTGTCACAGATTGATCCCGAAATCTCAACAGTCATGAATTATGTTCTTCATGGTTGGCCGGAATATTACAAAGACGTGAAAGAAGTTGCCAAGCGATACTATGATTGTAGAGAATCCTTGAGTGTTGTCAATGACATACTTATGTATGGTAACCGTATCACTATACCGGCTGCATGTCGCAATAATATTCTTGATCAAATTCACGAGGGTCACTTCGGAATTCACAAATGCCGTGAACGCGCCAATGCGACAGTATGGTGGCCAGGGCTTACATCACAAATCAAAGAATTGGTGGCCAAATGTAAGCACTGCCAAATTTTGAAACCTAAACAGAGAAGTGAACCATTAATTCCAACAAAATTACCAGATCGCCCCTGGCAGCAATTAGCAACTGATTTATGTGAATGCTTCAAGAAGCAATATTTAGTCACAGTTGATTACTATTCTCGCTATCTAGAAATTGCTCATGTTAGGGGTAGTGTCACAACAACTCAAATCATAAACAAACTCAAAAAGATATTTGCCAGGAATGGTATCCCTGAAGTGTTAGTATCAGATAATGGACCACAGTTTAGCTCAAAACAATTTGCAGATTTCGCAAAAGAGTTTGATTTTAAACATGTAACATCAAGTCCCAGATACAGTCAAAGTAACGGTCTCGCAGAAAGAGCCGTCCAAACTGCCAAACGTATTCTCAAATCAGAAGACCCCTTAAGCTCCCTTATGAATTATCGGGCCACTCCAGTCAGTTCTACAGGTAAAACGCCAAGTCAATTACTCTATGGTAGACAAATCAGAACTAAACTGCCAGTTTCGCCTGAGAATCTAAACCCAAATTGGCCTGATAAACAGGAAGTTCAAAACAATGATGCTAAAGCAAAATCACTGTATGCCAAACATTTTAACAGATCTCATGGTGCAAGAAAACTTGAGAAACTGTCCCCTGGACAGTCTGTGAGAGTGAAGCTTGATCAGGAAAAGGCATGGAGTAAACCATATAAGGTTCTCAATCAAGCTCACACTCCTAGGTCATACATTATCAAAAGTGACAGTGGAACTTTGTTCAGGAGAAATCGTAGACATTTGATGCCAACAGGCCATGATCCTACTCCTACTCCTGAACGGGGTTCTAACATGCTTAAACCAATGGTGTTTTTGTCAAGCAAACATCCCAAGGAGGGAGGGATGGATAGTGGTGGTCAAAATACTAATAATGTTCCACTTACTAGTAATACTACACCAGTCTCTCATAGCTCTATTATCACTGAACCAAGTTCTAGTTCTCCATTAAGGAAATCAAAGAGGATTGTAAATCAGCCAAAATGGCTCAAAGACTATGTAACTTGAAATAATACTTTTCATGCATATAAACTGTCAAGTCTCATAAGACAGTAGTGTACATTCAGACATTAAATGATTAAAGCTCATAATAATGTACACATAGTTAACAGTTTGTTTAGATAATGATTTTTATAAAATGTTCAAACAACACAGATTGGTGTGGATTACGTTTTATAATGCATGTTTTATTTTAAACATTTGTATTGATTATATGTTAGACAATCTTTTGTTAGAGATGTGTATAAGAAAAACAAAATCAGCATACAGTATTTTCTACTACCGTATTCAACATGATAAGTGCACAGGATGAATACAGGTTTGAGACATGGACTCATAAGCAGTGAATATTGACTTTTGATACCCTGCTATATATATCTACAGATGAAGACTCTCAAAATTGTAGACACTTTTGAACATTTAAACATAGGCCTATAGACTGATAAAATTACTGTATCATTCAAAAAGAAAAAAAAGGGAGATGTCATGTAATTGTCTAATTGTATTGTTGGGCTGGCAAGCCATACTTATTTTGTATTACGTCATTCTGGACGGTGATCGGGGCTTACGCCATATTGAAATAAACTGGACAAAGTCAGCCAATATATCTCTTAGTGTTATTCGAAATATAACGTAACAGAACAATCATAAATAAATGAAATAAAAAATCAATTGCGGCCCAAGGAGCACTGTAGGGATGCTCGGGCTCTGGTACCTCCGCCCAACCGTCGGTCCCATACGTAGGCTACTAAAATGGGCATATTCTGCAGGTGAGTATGGCATATTCCGCAGTGAATATGCGACTGATGTCAGTGAATACCCGATACTCACCTGCGGTCTTTGTCATAATCACCTGCGGAATACTGTGCACTCTGCGTGCAGAGTCTAGTTACGATAAACTAGCCGTCAGTGAAGACGAAGCTCTCTTTTTAGAAGCGAAATCGAACGAATGCAAAGGGTAGACTGTCATACTCTCATGCGGAATATGCCATATTCGCAGGTAAACTGCACGTGTAAATCGTGATTGCCTGAATACAACAGTATATTAGCACATGTGTTTTTGAAGGTTTCCATCTGGTCTTTGTCGACCGCTGGTGACTTTGGTTAAAAATACACTGATCGTTCCACAAACGTAGGTAAAACAATGCAACGATATAATTCCTAGGTGAATCTATCATGCACCGTAAGTGAATATGCATTTTGGAATATGATAATATATTTTTGTATCGTGTTTACCTTGTAACACCATGTATGCGCCCCGAGTTTTATAAACGGAACAAATCTGCAAGGGTATCGTTTTGGGAAAATATCGGTGGGGGAAATACATATCATATCATATCATATCAATATTTATTTCAAGTCGGATATTTTTTTGTAAAATAAACATTAGCGCAAGCGCTATTGACCGACATATAGACATAGAAATCTTTAAAATAAAATTTTAAAACATGTAACAGTGTTAACAAGATACTTAAATATCATATGTCATGCTAAAATAAACTTAGGCTACATAGTGACACAGAGAATCTGAAACATTTACATTTTACATTTACATTTTGCGCATTTGCAGTTTTCACCGTTCTTAGTTTTTTGAACTCTGTTAGAGATACACAATAATCTGAGATCACTGGGTAGATTGTTCCAGTATATACAGTACACGAGAGTTCACGGGTCCGTGATAGGCCTACATAGGCCTACGTATGTAGCATGCATCAACTCTAAAGAGTGTCTGCCATAAGTTACAGTATTGAAAGATGGAACATTTAGAGTATTTTTGTGACGTAAATTGTAACTAGCCGGTATCCTGTCAGTAGCCTAGGATTTTATTTCAAGCTAGGACTGACAGGTATGTTCCCTCACCTTTGAAAACAAAAACTTTTTTAATCCTCCACCCTCCCTGTAAACTTTTAGGTCTACCCGGTTTATTTTATGTGTATGTGTATGGTTTGTAAGAGATAACAGACTTAAAGTGAAACCTGAGTGGAACATAATTCATATCACCATCTCTTTCACATTCAGAAAATTTTCCGAACAAGTTTCGTTTGAAACTTTAGTCTGTTCGCATAATTAATGGCTTCCAAAGAAGGAAAAAATTAGTAAATTCGATCATATTTCAGGAAATATCAACACAGACCATAGTAGAATGTAAGTTTAGTTTTCATATTTATGTAACTTAATAAGTTTTTTATTGTTTTAGCGTAATATTGCGCACAATCTATCGCTATATTCCAAAGTTCTAGGGATTGAATTTGGTGTGGCAAGAAATGTGGGTGATAATGTAGTATGTATCCAACAGACCGAATATAATATTCGGTCTGTTATGATTGATATATTTCCTATGGAAATCGCGGTGATATTTTTTGCACATAAATTTCTCGTTTATTACAAGAATGTTCACCTTGAAAATTGGTGAATATGTTGAAGAGATGTTCATCTTAAACTAGAAGCAAAAATATTTGTATAAGGCGGGTACAAGTTGATATAAAATAATGAAATGTTCAGACTCACCAAAACTTCAGGTTGTGTTTATAAGTACATCGCGAAATCAATGTCAAGGACGTTTGAGTTCACGAGATCCAAACGAGATATGCAAATTTTTTGAACTTTGACAACACATGACCACTTGATTACCTCGGCCTTCTTCATGAATATTTCCGCTCTATTTACTATAAATGAAGAAAATTAATCGGGATAATGATAATAAATGACTAGATCTAATAAATTCCCGCACAAATGGAATTTATCAACACGCTTCCGTCCGCTCCACGTGTTATTTGTTTACAAATAGACTGACGTCACTGGCTAAATCTCGTTTATCGTGAGAATTGGCATTGCCAAAATGGCTTGACCTAATCAATGGCTTCGCTACAAGAAGCGTCTGTACATTTTATGAATATCTTCAGTAAGAGGACAATATGCGAAAAAATAATATTGTAAGTACTTTACAAGGTAATCATTTTATCATTTAACAAACTTATTTGTAACATTTATTCAACACCACATTTTACAATAGGTAACTTACAGTCTGAATATTTATTCAGACGAAGGATACAGTCTAGGTGATAATGTAGTCCAACAACATTAGACCTAGCCTGGGCCTCGTTTCTTATCTGACATGTCTTATGGCCCCGGCTAGGTCTAACTTCCATGATGATTTTGCCCTTGATGCGATCATTTAATCGTTCAGCAGGTTTCGACATGTGGAACAAATTAAACCGTAATAAGATGGTATCGTTACAGAAATAATGTGATCAACGCATGCATACATACCTTATGAATAACTACAAATCATCACATACCCTCCTGTAACCTCATCGATGTATAATTATGAAAATGTTGGGAGAAGGCTTTTTCTTAGTTTAGAAAACTCTGTTCTGGTTCTGGTAACATCGAAATGGCAAATCCTTTCAGGAATAAACCGCCGTTAGCAACACTGAACGAAACAAGTTCATAAAACGAAACGAACCCCGGTTATCCTATATATAAGTACAAAATATTGTAATACTGTAGGAGGCTTGCGATAAACATTGAAGTTATTAAAATGTAACAATTGTTACAAAGCATGTATGCGGAGTAAAATACATGATCCCAGTTATAAACAATTGAGTGTATTCCTAGGTAGGTTTTTGCTAGCAGAAAACCATAAACAATTACCATAATTTAATATTTAGGCACAATTATTCAACACAATCACAATCTAGCACAATCAATGACATCTATATTTCTTTGAGCTGAAATTACCAGTAATCAAATGCATCAATAATGTTGCGAGTATTGCTTTTTAAAGTTTTTATAAATAACAATAGAGTAAACTTGGGTGAATACACGCGCTGTTTGAATAAAGCAAAGATTCGTGTCATACTGGATGGTTATAATAAATATCAATATTGAAGAACAATTTCGTTTCGCTGACCAAGTTTACTTTGGCGACGCACAGACAGACATTGCCGGTTGAAATATTCGTCTCATAAATTGGTAAGAATAAGACTCATTTTACGATTAAAAATGAACATTTAACACAATAATATTATGTGAAATCGCCTGATGAAATGTGGTTTTATATGATTGTTAAGTATCAGTGTCATATTGACGAGGAAAAGTGGTTTCGATAGATCCACAACTTGCATCAAAGGAAAGAATAGCATGGAGGTTAAACTCAATAATGGCCCCAAGAAAAAATTCCTAATAGTAAAGAACGCCGTTATTGAGTTTAACGACGTTGAACTAGTGATAATGGAGAGTGAGTATTCTCCAGAGGCCGGCGGCGGTATATTGCAGTCCCAGGATGAACCTTGCTACTGGTTTCATTCAGTGCAAATTCTCGTTTTCAAAATTGCTCAGAAAATGACAACTTTGACCCAAAACAATGAAAAATGGCCAAAGTCACATCAGGATGGTAAAAAACTGCATGATTTTGATAGAAATATTGGTCATGGGGGCTCCCTGAACCACCCCTTCTCGCGGCCACGGGCCTGATTGGACTTTAATGAAATTGCACCAAAGAAATATGGGGAGTAAGTCACCCCTCCATCTTATATTGTGTGAGTTTATATTCTGTGTTTATATTAGAGAGAGGGAGGGGTGACTTACTCCCCCTGTAAAGAAATGAAATAAGTTCCTGGGTTTGCGAGGTGAACTATTTGACTGCGATGAGGCTGTACTGAACAAAACAAAATAAATTTCTGGGTTTGCAAGTGAATTCTTGGATTGTGTTGAGGTTGCACAGGCCCATAGCCAGAGTTTGCCAAGGGTGTTTCACTTTTTGAAACATTCCAAGGGGCACAATTTGACACCTTTGGTCCAAACATGCCCAAAATCATGTTTGCTCGAATCCCCCTGGCTATGGGCCTGTTGCACTAAATGAAACAAAATAGGTCCAATTTCCAGGCCTGTGAAAAAAAAAATTTCAAATCAAATGTTTGACATTATACACAATTTTCGAAACAAATTCGTGACATATACAGAATTCATTAGCACATTAGTCCTTTGTTTCAAAAGCTCTGCACATATCAGCTAAGATTTTGAACTGAAGTTAAGAGAGTCCTCAGATTAAGTTTACTCACTATTGCCATGTCCAAAGATTTTTAGTTAATATTTTTACTCTTGCAAAATGTATGCCTTGGCTAAATAAGTAGACTGACAGCTAATCATTCTAATCTGTTTCATCCTGAGCTCAAATACATGCCTGTATAGTGTATGATATACACTGTACATGTATATATACAGTGTGCTATTGCATTTTTCAGCAATGTGTTGACTCGATATAGGCTGCCGATTCCAAATCTAAATTTGGAAGATTTCATCTTACTTTACCACAGTGACAATGGCAGAAGGAAAAGGAAACAAAATGTTGAGGATTTTATGTCTCCATGGGTACAGACAAAATGCTAAGGCATTCCGTGAAAGGACAGGGGCCTTTAGGAAGATTATAAAAAACAGAGCAGATCTAGTCTTCATTGACGCGCCTAATCAGGTACAGTTACTAGAAGTGAATCAGTGATATAGTTAGTCAAATTTTTGGTAGCAAATAGGTTTGAGGTACATGTGGTTGAATGTCTTTGCCAGTATACATATAATGTACCATAATACCATTTTGGTATATGGTAGACTGGTTGAGGTAATGTCTAGTCAAGTGAACTAGCTGAAAAAATATGCAAAGATATTTACTTTTTAATTATGTCTTGTTTAATTACAATGTACAGAATGGTTATAACTGGCTGAATATTTGGCACTAGCCTAGCTACAAGACCCTGTGACCCCCCCCCCCCCTCTACTTGACTACACACCTTGCAGGCCTGTCAACTGTCCCGCAATTTGCGTATTTGTCACGCATTTGCTGAAGAATTTGAAGTCACGCCAGTTTTTTTTGCGTGACAGAAAATGTCACGCAAATACGCATTTTACCTGGTAATTGTCACGCAAAAATATTTCTGTAGAATTTTTTTCGAAATATGTTTATGATACGGTAAAAATACGAACGTCGGAAAAAAACCGAACGCAACTTGTTCGGATTTGTCACGCGAATCCCGTATATGTCACGCATGTTCATTGGAAATTTTCGTACCTACCCCCCCCCCCCCCCCCCCCCGTTGACGATATCGCGAGCGTTGCGAGCGCGAAAAATTTGAGGTGATCAAAGTTTGGCAAAGGTGCTCAAACTTTGGCCAAAGGTGTTTAAAAGTTGGCCAAAGGTGTTCAAAATTTGGACAAAAGTGTTCAGATTTGGACTTAGGTGTCCAACATTTTGAAGTCACTCATATTAGGTGGTCCCAAGTTGACAGCCCTGACCTTGTCACACAGTTGTGGGGGGAGGGGTAACAAGGGCACAACAAGGGTAACAATTTAATATTCCATCATTTCAACCACAGTAATTAGACTGCCAACTGCTGTTTTAGTGATCTGTTGACACATGATGAGAAACTCCAGAATAAGTTTGATAATTCATATCATTGATCAGTTTCAACTTTTCTTTTGTTTTCATGAGACAAATATAAATAAACATAAGAGATATTCTGTGTATGAGGTTCAGGTTCAGGATAATTAGAATAATCCAAGTATTGAAAGTATATGAAAACAGCTACATGTATACCCTGCATGTCTGTTTTGATAGAAAAATATCATTTAGTAAGTTAGTGAATGGTGCCACTCTTCTTATAGGTGACAATAAGTTATTGTATTTTGCTCTTCTTCATCTACATTATGAAGTGAAATTATTTCTAGTTCTGTGATTGCTTTAAATTATTTCTTAATATTTAATTTAGAAATCTATTGTGTTCCAGGTGCCTCCAATGGAAAATGTTGAAGACCAGACTCCTGACCAGAAGGGTTGGTGGTTCTCTCGTCAAGATGATTATTTCAATGCAACCGAGCAAGCCAACTGTATTAAAGGGTACAAAGACTCGTTACTAGTAATTGAACAAACTTTCCGAGAACAAGGTCCATTTGATGGTGTATTAGGATTTAGTCAAGGGGCTGCTATGGTAGCATTATTGTGTGGGGAAATGCAGAGAAATCCAGATGGACCATTCCAGTTCAAATTTGCAATTATGGTGGCAAGTTTTATAAGCAAATCAATAGAACACCAAGAATTATTTAAAGAGCCCATTACTATACCAACGTTACATGTGTATGGTGAGACAGATAAAGTGATATCCGGTGAAATGAGTGAAGAACTCCTAGGTAGTTTCAGAGAGCCTACGATACTTCAACACAAGGGGGGACATTTTATACCAGCTACCAGTCAACAGAAAAAAGTTTATTTAGAATTTCTGGACAAAATGAAACAATCAACAAGTTGATTAGAATGTAATTTATTGATAAAAATTTACAATCATTTCTTTCAAATACTGTCATTTTCTAAAAAATCATATTTGTGGTGTCACTATCAATATATATTCTTTAATCAGATATATAGGGGTTATGCACTGGGAGGTTTTGGATACAGGGAATATCCCGAGGGATATACAATGTATCTTCCCGAGGGACCGAAGGGACCGAGGGAAGATGTATTGTATATCCCAAGGGATATTTCATGTATCCAAACCGACCGTGCATAACTGGTGTATCTCATGCTTGAGTGGGTTTAGGGTAGATATAACCTTTTCCACCTTTTTCAAATGAAAAGATATTTATATTTAACATTTTCGTAATATTCTTTTTGTTCAATACAATGAAATTGTAACATTTAAACTTAAAAAAATTAAATTTTAAAATTATAAAATTAAAACTTTTGATATTCAAACTTTTTTAAACTTTTGAAAAAATTCCGGGAGCGGGATGGATATATTATATCTGCCCGCATTTGGCCTGGAGCGGGACATATACAATATATCCTGCCCGCTCCTCAGATACGATATATATTCCCGGGTGATATCTACCCCAAACCCACTCAAGTATGAGATACTTAGATTTATTATGCACCTCATTAAAATACTCAAATCTGATTGGTTAAGAGCTGCAGGGTCTATATTCATATGTGGCAGCAAGATCTCGTTCTATACAGTATTGAAGCTACGAGATCTCCAACCATCCTGTATGCCAGAATACCTATCCTCGAAAAAAATACTAGGTTCGGCTTCTGTTTTAGTAGACCCATTCTTTAAAATAAAGTATTTCTTGACAATTTAACACAATCTTTTATTTATCTACAGTAAATTAATGGTAGGGATATGGTATTAAGGTAAGGGTGCATGATGGGAAATTTTCTGCATCCCTCAATTACTCAGATGCGAGTAGGTAGTTACCAGTTTCGCCACCAGGTGGCTGATTCGGGGGAATTAACATGGCAGGGTATTACAAAATTCCTTTAAACTTGCATATGCATCAGTTTTAGTGGTTCACTTTTCATATTACCTTTATGTATCTGATAGTTATACAAATTAAAATATGTCCAGTAAAAGAAAATATTATCTACCCAACACAAGAAAAGATATTTCACCTTTTGTGGTTTTACAACATGGGGTCTATGGGGAATCTCCCCGACCTAGAAGTCACATTTTCAAAGGAAATTAAATTTTCAAAGTTGATAAACTCTTTTCAAAACCACATTTCTAAATGTAATTTTACATGTAGATTCCAAATATGACATCAGTTTGACTGAATTGTGAATTTTTAATGACTTAAATCAAGATTATTTCTACTCGCATCTGGGATATTGAGTCACATGTTATTTTTCAAACAAGAACCACTCCTATTCCCTACATAGTCTATATCTTCCAGTTTTGCACAAAGAGTGCACGCATGTTCCTAGAAAAGACCTGTGAGAAGAATGTTTTGATGAAGTGTATAAAAAACAATAAAATTCAGTGAAAAAATTCAGAAATTTTTAGAAATTTTTTTCACTGAGTTTTCTCGTTTTTTATACATTTTACAAAACAAATCTTCTCACAAGTCTTTTCTAGGCACATAAGTGCACTTTTTGTGCAAAACTGGAAGATACAGACAATGTGGGGAAGGAGTTATTCTTGTTTGAAAAATAACATGTGACTCAATTGAGGGATGCAGAAAATTTCCCAACATCAGGCCTGTCAACTTGGGAACACCTAACATGAGTGACTTGGAAATGTTGAACACCTCCCCTCAAAATGTGGACACCTTGGTCCAAATCTGAACACCTTGATCCAAATTTTGAACACCTTGGTTTAAATTTCATTACATCTTGCCAAATTTTGAACACCTCAAATTTTTCGCGGTAAAATGCGTATTTGCGTGACATTTTCTGTCACGCAAAAATAACTGGCGTGACTTCAAATTCTTCAGCAAATGCGTGACAAATACGCAAATTGCGGGACAGTTGACAGGCCTGCAACATGCACCCTGGCCTTAACCAAGGGAGGTGCATAATAAAATAAATACTGGATGACCATGAGGTGGGTATGCCAGAATACCTCTCCGAGGAAAAAAATACTAGGCGACTATTAACTAAGTAGGCATGTGAAAAGATGTACATGTGCGTTTATAGTGACATGGACAGGGTGTATACTTCATGTACTTACATAATGAAATTAATAGTTGTCAAGTACAGTACATTGTACTGTACACAGTGCACATGTGTACCCGAGTGTAAGTGTACCAAATTAAGCATGGCAGTTAAACGCGCGTGGAAGATACAACACGAGGGTGATAACATTTGAGCAAACTGATGTTTTCATTGTTTCAGAAAGATCTGGTCTAGTTTCTAGATTATGTCTATAACAATATCCTAGACAGTGAAATTTCACGGAATTTCATAGTTAACTTACAAAAACGGGGAATATACTATATTCAATATAGTATACGATATCAGGGGCGCGCGTTAGAAGGATTTGTCAAGGGGAGGTGTGACTTTTGGATATGGATGGATCGTGCGTGAAGCATGAATCTAAGGGGGTCGGGGGGGGGGCATGCCCCATAAAATTTTCAAATTTAGACCCTCTCTGCTGCATTCTGAACATTTTATCAGTACAACATTCCCAATAATAAAAACATGAAAAAATTGTGTCTTAGAAAACTAGCTTTATGCTTGATGTAGACTTAGATAATGACAGTATCATTTCTGTCATTATTCACATTTTGACTTTAATAAGCTGTAGAGCCCCCAACTCCCTCCCCCTTCTTACTCCAATGAGTATAACGCGCAGGTCAATTTACCTGAGAAACGGTATAACGCAAATTCTGATTCCTTGTGTTGTGCATTGCCGTTACCGCGCGTTAAACCGTATACTATACAACATTCCGAGTTTTTATAGGTTTAACTCTTTCCGGGAACTCTGTCAAGTTCACTGTCTAGGATCTTATATTGGACATTTACTTAATTTGGTACACACCTTGTGATGTATAGGGCTACATATTTTTTTTTATTGGTGATTGACCTGATACGTATAAGCTTTTCAATGAAAGACAAAATTCCTGCGTGCAGAATGATAAGCAGGATCCGAAAAGCACTTCTTCATGTGATGTAATTCAGCTGCCCTGTGCTCCTCCAGATTTTCGTACCATTTTTCCGACCGCCTTGACTTCGAATGGAGAAAAAGTCCAGCATCAATGCTGTTCCAAATTGCAGTGACTGTTCTATGAAGGTTGTCCTGTAATTCGTAACGATTTCTGAAAAAATATTTTAAGGAACATTCATCATTCTTGTAAATAGTACTAAGAATATTTTAGAACTTCATTTCAAACTATACTGGATGTTATGTAACTGTGTCTTATAATTATGTCACCATCAAAAAGTGGTGACAAATTGTTATGGTCTCCGTTTTTTGTGACGGCGGTTGGCGATCGGCGGTTGGCGATCGGCGGTTGGCGTCTGTAACTGGTGGTGGTGACATTGTGCATGTTAATGCCTTGTATAAATGATGCAAATACTCGTAAATTATACACACGCTGTACTAACTCACCGGGGCGTATCGAAACCAAAACGCTCCGCAAAACCGTTAATTTGAATTTCAAACCTACCCCTTCTTTGGGGCGTTTTGGTTTCGATACGCCCTGTCGAGTTAGTACCGCGTGTTACATACGCCCATAACATTCATATAACATAACATGACATAAAAGAGCATAACATAAAAACATAATATACTTAATAAATGAGGTCGTTGAATAGAAGCAATTTGATTCTGAATTAACGTATGCGATATAATTACCTTCCGAGGAGAATATCAACAAGGCCAATGGAGTATGCCTCGCTAGCCATTATCGAGTCAGTGCCAGACGTGAGACGAAGCGCCATTTCTTCACCAATTTTCTTTGGTAGGAAGTACGTCCAATATTCAGAACCGTATAAGTTCATGTTTTTGTATGTTGGAGTCAAAGAAACGCACTACAATGACAAGTACATTGGTCTCATGAAATGTTCAGATTTTTCCAAATTAACTCCCCATTAACTCTACAAAACGATCAGTTTAACAAGATGGATATGATTTACGGCTTACGAACAACTCATCCCCTAGACAACTCATCCCTAGACATCTCATCCCCAGGACAACTCATCCCCTGGACATCTCATCCCCCAGACAACTCATCCCCTGGACAGCTCATCCCCTAGACAACTAATCCCTTTTCATAAATTGTAAAGTTTTTTTTGAAAATAAATATTTATTAAATACATTTTGAATCATTCTTAATATTAAATTTCACTTTATTGACACAATCATCTCTTGTCCTTATATCACATGACTTAATATTTCATGACAAAAAATAAAGTTTTCTTTCTGCATAATTTTGAAACATGAACTTCAGTAACTTCATCTGTGACTACTGTGAAAAAATAATCTTTGGATTAAAGAATATTTGAACTATGAACAACAAACATATAATGACATCAAAGGAGCTTATGACATCGAAGGAGCTTCTTCAATCAATGTTAACATAATATTAAAATTAAAGGTAAATATTTACAAAACAAATTACATATTATTGGTTGACTATCTCCTTGACAATACCATAGTATTACCATGGTATATCATAGTTTTCTTTCCAGATTTCCCCTCAAGAAAGTCTTTGTTCACTTGTACTCGGAAGACAACAGAATCGTCGCTATAATACCTTAACTATTGTTATATAAATGGAAAGAGTTAGAAGTGCAGATCATTTTTGAGGTTATGTTTACGGAACAAAAGTGGGGTATAAAATCGAGGATTGTGTTGTCTTCTTTGTTTGCACACATGCACATTTTCTTCCAGACATATGATATTCTGCCTACAACTGGGGGAATAAGAAAGTTTGGTGAAGTACAAGGGCTTCACGTAGATAACCAAGACATTTGGTCATAAAAATCATTTGAATAATATATGAATTAACTCAAACGTGTCAAAGGATGAGTCGTCCAGGGGATGAATTGTCTAGGGGATGAGTTGTCCAGGGGATGAGTTGTCTAGGGGATGAGTGGTCCGGTTACCTGATTTACGTAATTGTACCTGTATCAATCTTCCAGTCAAAGCCTGATGTTATACGACATCTGACATAAATTTTTAATATATTAGGATAATAAACCCTGTATTCAAAACCTCCCAGTACAAAACCCTTTTACACTGTCATTTTGGGCCATCCAAGTGCCCTGAATTTTAATCAGACAATACCTTATGGGCTATAGTATAGTCTGCTGCTGCGCTCATCATACAACCTCCAGCACCAGCGTTTCCTTGGAGACACGCTATAACTAGTTTATCTTCCATTTGAACATATTCTTTGATGACACCATCTATTGCTTCTATGTTGGCATATGACTCAATGTGTGGTTCATCTACCTGCTCGATCACATTCAAGTGAATTCCTATCAAATGGAAAATGATTCAACATGATTAAAGTAAAAACATGATTTACACGACGCATTTGATTCTTCACAGTCTAGAATATCGCAGTGGATTTGTATCTGTACGACGTGGGCTGCAATTCTTCAATTGGCTTTTCCAATAAAATGGCCCTCAGACTGCTAAGAAGTACTATAACATGTATAAGTATATGTTAACATTTTCGTGATATTTGATTAAAAAATTACCAGTAGAGAAGAACCGTTTTCCGCCCATGAGAACTACTATGTGTATATCGTCCTGCAGTTTGATGTTTTTTAGCGTGGTTTGGAGGCGTTGAGACTGTGACACGTTCATGGCGCCGTTATAAAAATCAAAATGGACGTATGCAACATTATCTCGCCTCTCTACCCAAATATCCTCGTAGTCAAGCGTGTTCATTTCAGCCAGTGGTCTTGTGTACACCATCGTTGCTGGTAACTTTATGTCCTTTACTCCTGGGATTTTGTTTGACTAAAACAATAAAGGAAATGCATGCCGAAATACTGTACATGTGATATAATTATGATATATAATTTTATCGTATGATCTGTAAGATGAAGCCCTCTGTAGCCTTATTCATAAAGCCAACATAGGACTTACGTCAACGTATCGTATTACGGAAACTTATTTTGGTATTCATAAAGCAAACGTAAGTTTACGATGAACGTAAAGTCCTGCGGATCTTACAAAATATTTACGTCAAGTATCTTCACCGTGTAACTTTACGTCCAGCCTTAAAAACACTATTTATTCGTACGTTTAGTATCCAATTACCATGAGATTTTGTGAAACACTTGTTTTAGATATAATACGTAATGTTAAAATGATTTGTCATTTGCTTGACATCTTCAAGTTTCTAGCTGGTTCCAAAGACAGGTACGAAAATGTCATCAATTTCTAGGTGTCCAAGCGTTAACAGCAACGTATCTTTCATATACGTTCAACGTAAATTATTTTCAAATGCCAATGCGTCATCATTACGTAATAGAAAGAAAGAACAAACGCATGTAAGCAAAGATGGCTTTTGTGGTAGATGTGCGCATCTTTGCAGTAAGACGGTCTCTTAGACGAGAGCGATTGCTTAGGGATCGTAGCAATCCCCTCGAAATCTTTGATGATAGGGAGCTTCTTACGAGGTTCAGATTACCGAGGCATTTAATTTTGGAGTAGCCAGCAATTGGTGACCAGGGGTTCGATTTTTTATGTATCCACAAATCTCCCCCTTCATCGGTGTACCTCACATAAAAGCATTTTTTGTATTTGTCATACATACAATTTACACCCCTCCAAAAGTTTGGCAACAATTTGATTTTCTATATTGAAATAGTTTTTGTTGAATCTTTTACTGAAAGATATTGAAATCTGGTAGCAAAATCATACATTTTATATAACAATTGTTTAATTGTTCAATGAAATCCAAATGAAGGGTTAGCATACATTGAGACAATTTTGTTAAGGGCAAATTACAACATATCTCTAAGGAACATATTTTTAACGAGCTACCATTGAAAAAGTCGTCATTCCCAATTCATCATTCAAAGATATATTATGTCAAATTCTGGCATGCTATTCCCACACTTTTAGATGATTTTTGAGAAGAATCCAAATCAAAAGAATTTTATCTGCCATTTCATTTTGTAATAGAGGAGTTCATAATGACCTCATGAACTTACAGTTAGTTTCTGAATACTAGTATATTCAAAAGCAAATATTTTTGAAGATATGATACTTAATCATGGCGCACAATAAAAGTCGTAATGGCTGCACGAATACTCTCAATTGGTACTGACGATAGAAGTGACAGATGACAAATAGTATATCAGGAAGCAATGCATATTGGTAGGGTTAATGATGAACTTTTCCCCTTAAGTGACACATTTACGATTCTAGGCCGAATTTCGACAATTTAAGCGATATGAGTCAAGAAAATAGTCTTACCTTTCTATTAGGATGGGTTCATGTGCCAAAAATAACTGATCCATGGATATATATCATTTTGAAATTTGGATGCAAGAAATATTTTTTCGGAGCCATGTTTTTTACGACTCATTAACAGGAAATAGATTATCTAAATGAATGAATTTACATCATCAATCCTGGTTTTGACTTAAAAATTTACCGAAATAGATATTAAAATGATTATTGACTATTTTTTTTATTAATCTTATGCAGTGATTCGACTGTCTTCTAAAATTTATAAGATAGCTTTAGAATTACAGTGTTATTTCATTATGCCAGTGTGGCCTAATAGAGTAAGGCGCTGGACTAAGGTTTTGATAGCTTGAATCGGTGGTTCGATTCCCGGTCTATACTAAGGTTTTTTTCTTTTTTATTTATCTCTCAGACACAATTTTTTTTTAAAAATCTCTTTTTATACAACATATAGTCATATCTATCACTTTTTGAGGTTTTAGATTTTAGATACATCATAAATGTGTTACTTTAACTGTGGATATAAAATACTCATTCGAAATACTTAATAAATCTAGTCTTATTTGATATAATCCTCCTTATGCCTTTGCTTTCCTCAGCAAAAGATGACTGCAACTGGCTTTTTTTTATTGGACAGAACTTTCCACTGCAAGTAATGTGTGTACCTTTTTAGCTTACACTTGTATTTAGTACCAGAGACATACTCACCTAATTGCCTCCCTTAATCCATTTATTTGCTAAACATATATAATTAAATTAATTAATGACATTAACACGATCCACTAAAGTTTGATATTCTTGAAAATAGAGTAAACACTAAATACACTGAAACAGCAACAATTTAATCTTAAAATTAAAAAACGTGCATCTGCAAAAACCATCCTCCGATCACAGGGCTTCAAAAATATATTCTTTCTTTTTAGGGGGAAGAAGGAGGTACGGATTCTGGAAACCTGCTTAGGAGGATGGCAAAAACAAAACTGATTTTTTCGCAATGGATTTATTTTTCCTTAAAAAGTGATGGATAATAAAAATATGTTTTTAGAGCATTTTTTATAGCCATTTTGTAGGGAAAAAATGATGAAAAAATGTACAATCTTTTAATTTAAAGTATGACCTGAATCGATTGCAAACTTCATATTTGCACATTTGATGAAATGAACCATTTGTGTCATATTGTTTAATTATAAAGTTTGCAATCGATTCAGGTCATAGTGTTTTTTTGGTATTTCTGTGATAATCAATGGAAACCAATGGCCTCTGTTGGGATCTGCTGATATCCTCATGTTAAGTCAATGGTGCATAGCCCCATGTAAGTCAATACTACCTTATTGAACGAAATGATCCCTAACTCAGCTTATGTGTGCCCGAGCACTTTGATATTTTCCAAAGTATTATATGACATTCTATTCTTCATGTTACACCTAAGAATGATTCATTTTGACCATAGGAATATTTGCCAATAATCGCACCTCTTCCTTTACTATTTTTTCCTACTGGTCATATAAATTGAATATATGTTTCTGGTTCTTGCAATGAATTTTTCCACAAATATTTTTTTTGGGAGAAATCCCGAACCCATCGAACCCCCGGTCCCTACGGCTATGCATGATAAGTTCCCCAACACGGAGGAACTGTGCCCTTCCACCATTAATTCAGGTATCGTCAAAAACAATAGTACTTTTGTGTAAATCAATGAATGAGAAAATGAAGTCGAAAGGAATACGATAAGCTTTTATATAGGGGTATAAATAATCAAGGAGCAACCGTGACAATGAGGAACGCGTCAAATTACGCGTGCGTGAACGATGCAATCATATTCAAATACGTACATGCACGTGATCACAAAATTGGGACATGATATGGGAGTATGTAGTATATTATTTTCATTGCGTAAGTCCTTGCGGAAAGTTAGACGTAGATCTCCAATTTCCGCATATGTTTATAAATACGACGGAGAGATGTTTTTACGTCCAACGTATAATTGAGTTACGTGGACGTAAATGGAAATATTTACGTTGGCTTTATGAATAAGGCTTCTGATTGGTCAGTTCTTGTGCTGTACCAATCTGTATTGCTACTGAGATTGTCCCCGTTGATCATCTCCGTCGCAATACAGAAAATATTGGTACGGAGGGGACAATCTCAGTAGCAATACAGCGGACCACACGATAAAACCGTTATTGAATGATTTGAAATGCAATACAGGATATATTCTGTCTCGATATTCTGTATTGGCACTCGACTTCGTCTCGTTCCAATACAAAATATCTCGAACAGAATATATCCTGTATTGCACTTCAAATCATTCAATAATATAAGTTATTGAATGATTTGAAGTGCAATACAGGATATATTCTGCTCGAGAAATTCCATATTGGAACGAGACGAAGTCGAGTGGCAATACAGAATATTGAGACAGAATGTATCCTGCAATACAGGATATATTCCGCTCGAGAAATTCCGTATTGGAACGAGACAGAATATCGAGACAGAATGTATCCTGTATTGCACTTCAAATCATTCAATAAGGTTTTTATCGTGTGATCCTCTGTATTGCTACTGAGATTGTCAAATCAAATCTTTGTTATGAATTTCTTTGAAAAGTTTTGATAAAGATGTAATTTCAAACTGCAATGTTACAGGTGCAATTGCAGTGGAAAGAAACCTCCAAGTATCATACACGATTACTGACATCATACCTTCAAATGAGACACCCACAATGATGAATCCTCTCCACACTTTATGAGTATCGCGTTGTGTTTCATGCCTATTGGCTCGCCTGGTTCAGCAGATGATAAGAGATCGCGCATTTCATCGCCACAGTATAAAAGTGGTTGCGTTTCTTTGGCGCCAAAAAACCGAATCTCTCCATCAATCCCCTGAAATTAAATTATTGAAACATAATTTGATCATGTTTTAATTAGATTACAGACAAAAAGTTCTAAAAAGCAAGCCCAATGTCACGTTCAAGAACCCAAGCTCTTACTATTGAAAATGGATTCTAGCAATACTATCTAGCATGAATCTTCTTGTTCAGATTCGATAGAATTGAGTTCTTCTGAGAAAATGGGGATTTCAGCAAGAGAGTATTGACTTAACACAAGGACTTAACATAAGTACATGCAATGACACACCATTGAACAATGATCAAGCTTCGGGATACCATCATGTCAATAAATATACTAATTGTCACAATTACAGCCCGCGTGTCCTCTTACTTTCAAAAAACCATGTGCCCCAGGTTGGGTGTCAAACATTCGTATAAGGCGAGCAACATCGCTCGCATGTTGGTTCCAGTCGATCCTTCTATCTGCCTTTTTTATCTTTGGCTGGAGATTTCCTTTGATGTCAACAGCACCATATTGCCATGGTTTTGGTGAATCCCCTTGTTTAAATTTTGCTACCGCTCTCAGTACTGTATCCACAGCATTTTCTGTAACTTCAGACACATACAATTCGGTCTTTGTGGTGTTTCTATCAGATATTGGGTACATGCTGTATGCCCAAATAGGACCTCTGTCAAACTCCTCTTCTGCTTGCAAAACCTATTGGAAAAACAATCAGAATGTTTAGGGGTGATCCACCGACTGACACGAATTTAAAGCCATTCATACTTTGCCAACTTGAAGCCACTCATATAGATTACAGGTTGAGCAGATAGGCTAGGGAGTTTTCCTAAAAAAATTCTGACAAGTTTGTATGGCGCACGCCCGTCCGTCAAGACAGACGCACGCCTAATAGCACAATACGACGACAATCAATATCACGGGAGAAGGTCGTTTTTTGAAGAATCCACTGCATTGCTTGCTCCGCCACATCGTTCATAGTTATATTCTATTATTTTTCAAAAGAATTATAAAGGCAAGTGTACCTGTTCGAAATGAGGTGTATTTTAATCTGTGTTTAGATTTTCAAGGATGATAATTTATTAGAAGCATTCGTTTAACAGTTATAATGGAAAAAACGATCATTCAGAGTGTAGGACGTTCGCGCCTTTTTCAGTAGCTTCGTCGGGTATTAAATTATAGTGGACGTCCGACGAATTTGAAGCACGATTGTGTGAAAATATTGAAAGGGCCATTCATTGGCTTATTTCGACGTTATCAATGTTTGCTAATATTTGATTTATGAAAGAAATAAAAATATTACCATAACAAAAGCTGAAATATTCAAAGGATCACATTTCAATCAACACTATGTAAAAAATCAAAATTGTTGGCGACATTGATAACATCAAAATATGCCGATGAACTTCATTCTCCAAACCGAGAATGTCCCTTTCAACATTTTCACACAATTTTTTTTTACTGGAAAGCTGCTTATTCGCAAAAATGACCTTGCACATGCAATGACAACAATCGTGCTTCAAATTCGCCGGACGTCCACTATGAGAATGGTCCTTTCGTGTAATAAAAACGACCTGCTCTACGACATCATCCAGATTAGTAGATGACATCCAGTGAATATAACATTAGAAAAATGCCAAAAAACGTGGTGCGAATCGCTTACTGTAACTCCCCAATGAAGTGCCTTATTCTTTATCGCAAACTCTAGTGATGCGGGACCCCGATCTCCTGGGATTCCTGGGTGCACAATCAAACATGGTCGCTTTTTATTACTCCAAATCCTTTCTGGAACTCTTCTTGCAAGAAATGGGCATATTATAATGTCAAAATCTCCTTCATCAGCAATAGTAAAGTCATGCTCATTATGAATTACTTTGACGTCCACTTCAGCTCCGAAACTCCTCAGTTCTGTTGCAACTGCCAAAGAAAGTGTGTTGTATGAATGGCAAAGGAGCAAACACTTTGTAGAACGTATAAGGCTAGCCATCTCGGACTCGTTATTTCCTATCTGTTCCCTCTGTGGAATACTCAAAAACTGCTCATCTGAAAGAAGCGAGAAGCAACAATTAATTTACTGACCTATATGAGCCCAAAATTTGGGCTTTGTTGTTATACATAGCCTATATTAGATTTGGGCCAAAAAAGTGACACTTGAGTTTATGTGTTGAAGAATTTGTTGTAACCAATTATTCCATCTCGTCATTCCCTTATATCATCGATCGCACGCTTGAGAAATTGAGAACGGTTTTTCATGATCTTTACAAAACGTCCATTCTGATACTCATCTCATCTTTCTGCCTTCAACTACAAGAAACAAGCTAACAGAATGCGATAATGTCTCTTGATGCAAAATGTCCATCATATTTATATGGGATTTATATAAAACAATTTTTAATCATCCTTCAAGATCGGCCCTTCACTGCTTTCATAGCAGATCATGAAATAATGTAATCCTTGGAATGTCATGCAATGAATTACTCTTGGGCCAAGGATGAGCGAGAAGAAACCGCTTTGGACGCACTTCGTGTATTTTGCAAATAACCCGTGTAAATTCCTTGTTAATCACTTCCCAAAGATGATATGAGATATACATAATGAGGCTACAAACCGTACATTTTTGTTGCTTATGCGAACCCATCAGAACATCTCGACTCGTATTAATTGTCTGATATTTCCGTCTATCAACTTGGTATTTTGTATTTGTTTGAGAACATATCATACGACCAATAGCCTGGTGTCCACTGAGAGACCACTTCGCACTTTTCTGTACAATTCTTAACAGACTCATCTTCGGCAAAATCAGCTTAATCTTTGGTTGCAATGTAATCTACAAATCAAATACTCCTCGGAATTAATTATTGCTATTTTTATATTTATTACAAGTACTGCTTTTTATCATTTGTGCCTAGCTAGGTCACAGTTTAGATCCGATTCATCGGCAGGTGCCCGACCGGTCGCAGTATTTTATATAAAACGATATTTCAACTTGCTTCAAATTGACCAAACTTTTTTTTCATGTTCAAGTTCTCAGGACGTTCACATCTGACCTTAAAAGACCATAATGCAGTATGGCAAGTGATTTTAGACGGTCATATCTTTCAACATGAGTACTTTCTGGGCATAAATACAGTGGTTTTTATTAAAAGAATTTGTTTTCTTTCAAGTGAAGTACCCATGATGATAAAAATATCAATCGAACTATTCGAAAAATTATGAATAGGGACCCCATGTCGCAGATGTCGCACGAAACTGGGGACAATTAGCATAACATAGCGTCAAAATACCAAAACAAAACAATCAGCAGTATAGCTGTATAAGGCGCAAATGTCAAAAACGCCGAGTGTTACAAGTTTTTTCAACCTAAAAATAAAATAATTTATCCTTATTTAATCATAATAAAATTCAGAGGGTAACAAGATCTCGAGGACAATATTCTTAAAATGTTTTTGAATTTTGAAAAACGGTCAGGAAATCCAGTTGAGGCGTTAGTAACTTGATATGTATTGAATTTGTGGTAAAAAATCGATGCGTTACATTTTTTCAAGTCTCGAAAATCAGCTCTTATTTTAATATTATTTGTAAAATCAACAAACCGGTTATTGTTTTGTAAATTTCGCGAGGACAATATTGTGCAGTTAATTTTTTTCAAATTAGACCTAAATTAGAAGGTCAAATATAGGAAAACTCCTATTAGTCCCTGATCTGATTTCCAAAAGGGCTCTAGAAAATGTGTTTCGTTGTCCGGTACTTTACCACATAAAATGATTGTACCGTTTGAAAGAACAGACTTCCCTCTTCAAGAAAACACCTCTTCTATTGATAGAAACAGGGGCAAAAGGCACCAAAATAGGGTTAGACAAGGTGGTATTCTGAAGTCTCATTTTCTAGTCATCACGATTCTAAGAAAAACATTAGATGGATTTACTTCACATTTTCACACATGTTACATGGAAGGAAGTTCTAGAGCTGATTAACTTTCCGGCGGCCATCTTGCATTCTGGCAGCCATCTTGGATTTTTTAAAGATAAATCTTGTCATCGCGATTCCAGAAAAATCACTCTACAGATGTACTTCAAATTTTCACAAATGTTATATGATAAAAAGTCCTAGACCTCATTAGTTTATCGGTGGCCATCTTGCATTCTGGCGGCCATCTTTGAAGTTTTAAGATAAATCTTGTCATCACGATTTCAGGAAAACCAAACGGATTTACTTCAAATTTCCACACATGTTACATGGTAAGAAAATCTAGAGGTGAATAACTTTTCGGCAGCCATCTTGCATTCTGGTGGCCATCTTGGAAATTTTGGGATAAATCTTGTCATCGTGATTCCAGGAAAACTACCTTACAGATTAGCTTCAAATTTTCACACATGTTACATGGTATGAAGTTCTAGAGCTGATTAACTTTTCAGTGGCCATCTTGCATTCTGGCGGCCATTTTGGAAGTTTATAGATAAATCTTGTGATCACAATTCCAGAAAAACCACTTCACAGTTTTACTTCGAATTTTCACACATGTTACATGGTATGAAGTTCTCGAGCTGATTAACTTTTCGGTGGCCATGTTGCATTCTGTCGGCCATCTTGGAAGTTTTTATTAGATAAATCTTGTTATCACAATTCCAGGAAAACCACGTAACAGTTTTACTTCAAATTTTCACACATGTTACATGGTAAGAAGTTATAGAGCTGATTAACTTTCCGATAGCCATCTTGCATTCTGGCGGCCATCTTGGAAGTTTGTAGATAAATCTTGTCATCACGATTCCAGAAAAAACACTTTACAGATTTGCTTCAAATTTTCACACATGTTACATGGTAAGAAGTACTACAGCTGATCAACTTTTCAGTGGCCATCTTGCATTCTGGCGGCCATCTTGGAAGTTTTTAGATAAATCTTGTAATCGCGATTCAAGGAAAACCACTTCAGTTTCCTTCAAATTTTTACAAATGTTACATGGTAAGAAGTTATAGAGCTGATTAACTTTTAAGTAGCCATTTTGCATTCTAGCAGCCATCTTGAACGTTTTTAGATAAATCTTGTAATTGCGATTCCAGGAAAACCACTTAACTGATTTGCTTTAAATTTTCACACATGTTACATGGTAAGAAGTTCTACAGCTGATCAACTTATAAGTAGCCATTTTGCATTCTAGCAGCCATCTTGAACGTTTTTAGATAAATCTTGTCATTGCGATTCCAGGAAAACTACTTAACTGATTTTCTTGAAATTTTTACACACGTTACATGGTAAGAAGTTCTAAAAACTGTTCCAAAAACAGAGTAAACAAAGCACATGGTGAACAAGATCGGCCTAAAACATAGCAGTGTGGACTTGATGTCCCAGAAAGCAAGATGGTCGAAGAGTTAATCAGTTGAAGAACATCTTACCATGTAAAGTGTAAAAAATTTGAGGACAATCTGTTAAAAAATAGCTCAGAAGACAACAGAATCGTCGATTTAATTCCTAACTTAAGTTACATAAAGGTTTGGGTTAAAAGTGCAGATCTGAACTGTTTTTTCGAAATACCGTTTATGTAACTTAAGTGAGGAATTGAATGTACTATTATGTTGTCTTCTGAACTATTTGTTCGCAAATATGCACATTTTCTTAAACATATGATACTGATACACGTTTGTGAGAAAAATGTCGTGTGAATTCTGCCTTCAAAGTGTGAAATAAGGAAAAAGGAAAAATCATACCTTCGATGTCCCCACATTTTGTTACCGAAACAAGCGGTTTAGGTAACCAGCATAATCGAGTGGATCACTAGTGATATACTTTAGTAGTCTTTAATAATGTTAGGGAGGATGAGTTGTAAGGCATACTATGTCATGTTAGATCATGATCTATACTACTTTTATTACAATTTACCAGTTACACTTTCTCCATGCTAGGTTCTGTTATAAATTTTGTTCCGTTTCCTATGGCATCCGTTGATTATTCATTTACATTCACAATGGTCGCTTCCTGGTTCATTTGTTTAGGTTTTATGACTGTTAAATTCTTTACTCTAGTTAAGACCACTTTATAAACAGGTTTATTATTACTTTTATGACTGTTAAATTATATAGTCTAGTTAACACCACTTTATAAACAGGTTTATTATTACTGGTGTAACTAACACTACGAAAAAATATAATTTATTTATTTTTTTCTATTTTTTTTCAATTCAATTCACTTTATTTCAAATGTTTCAAATACAGTGTTTAACATTGACATGAAAAGACACCCCGAGGGGTGTATAAGTTCCATGTTTAACATACAATATAGCATTTATTAAATTAACAGTCAGGTTATATGGAAAAAAAAAATGACAAAGCATAAACTACATCACAATAAAATACAAGTAATGAGAAGAAAGCATTTTTCAAAGAAGATTAAATAATGACTTAGGAAATCAAACTTTAACTTTCGTTCAAATGATTTGATATGTTTAGACTTTTTGAGATCAGGTGAAAGAGAATTGTAAAGTAATGGGCCACTTGTTTCAATTGATTTTCTTCCAATTTCTGTCCTGAATTTTTTTACAGTTAGATTCTTATTAATTCTCGTGTCATGATTATGAATTGCTGTTCCTGGAACAAATAGATGTTTGAACTTTTGAAAAGGAAAATCTGGTGATTCTGAAACAGTTTTCTGAACAAAGCTAGCGGTTTGTAGTTCATTGATGTCAAATATATTCAATATTTTCAGTTTTGAAAAGAGAGGTCCTGAAGAAGCTAGACGATCAGAATAGGTGATAACTCTCAAGAATTTCTTTTGCAGAACAATCATACAATTTTTGAATAAGAGTTTTCATGGCATTTCCCCATAAAAGGTTACAATAGCTTAAGTAGGAATATATCATGGAGTAATAGATAGTGGTCATTGTATACCAATTCAGCTTTGAATCAATAATGACACCTAGAAAATTGATTTCTTTAACTTCTTCTATAGGTTGTTCATTAATTTTGAGAATAATATTGGTTTTTATTAGGATCCTTCTTTTTATTAAATATCATATATTTTGTTTTTTCTACATTAAGAGTTAATTTATTAGATTTCATCCAGTTAGAAACAGTTTTTAATTCAGCATTCATATCTGAGACTAGAGTTTCAAAATTTTTATTGGTAAGTAGGATATTAGTATCATCAGCATATAAGACAAAGTTTAGTTTATTTGATATTAAATGTATGTCATTTATAAATATTATAAACAAGAGGGGACCTATGACTGAACCTTGAGGGACACAATATTCAACTTTATTTTTACCGGATCTATATCTAATATCTGTAGTTGTAAATTGATCAATCAATACATCTTTCTTAACAATTTCTGTGACCATAATTCGATTTTCGAGATAACTTTTGAACCAGGAAAGAGCTGTTCCACGAATACCATAAAATTCAAGTTTTTGTAATAATATTTTGTTATCCACTGTATCAAAAGCCTTAGTCAAATCAATGTATATCCCAATGCTAGTTTCCCCGATATCTAATGACCTACGAATATTTTCAATGAAATTTAGAAGTGTCATATAAGTTGAGTGCTTCTTCCTGAAACCATATTGTTGTGAATATAAAATTTCATATTTTTCTAAAAATGTTGTCACTTTTACATGAACAATTTTTTCAAGCACTTTAGAAAATACACTGAGAATTGAAATTGGTCTATAGTTGTTGAATTTATCTTTAAGGCCTTTTTTTATAAATTTGAATTACTCTAGCTATTTTTAATGCATCAGGAAATGTACCAGTAGTTATTGATAAATTGAATATCTGAGTAAGAGGAGTTGACAAAG